TGTAGTGAGGCGACCCCGCTCACAGTCAGAATGTTGTTTTTCTTGGTATTTTGAGCTATAAAATTACCTGCAATTGAGTAAATATAGAACTGTTTAATGTCACACTGTGGAACATTCCAGGCAGAGCAATGACGTAGCCATAGAAACAAGCAGGTGACAGATCCCAATAAAAAAGTTACACAGTGTACTTTTAAGTTCACAGTAAACAGTAATCTTATGTTGGCCTTCAGACCATAGAAAATTCAATGGCAAAGGTACAGTTCCTTTTTTACTCATATTTTGTTTTCTGTTTTTTTACAGAAAAACTCTCTGCTCAACAATGAAGACCCCAACTGAAGACTTCATAATACCATTGTTTTTGTGGAACTACGACTATTTTAATCAACCCTGGATTTGATAATTTCTGTTATTTATTTAATTTAAAAGAGGAGCAGGACTCACTCTTACATAATTCATAGTTTTATTGTTAATGTATTCACTGTAATTTCACAATGCTGGAGGATTCGTCAAATTCAGATGGAGCAAACCACAACTCACCAACGCCTTTTACACCAAAAAATTTATCAAATCGAAAAAAAGAAAATAATTTCGAAATGCAAGATTTAAGCAAAACCGATGGAGAAATAAATGGAAACTTGGACGAATCGCAGGTTTTGGTCGAGATGGGCGTCGCCAAATCCAGTAACGCAAACCAACCATTTTTCGCCAAGACTGTTGAAAATAATTTGGATAAAAAACTCCCCACGAATGTAAATAATTTTTCAAGCAATTTTTCAAGTTCAAAATCAAGTCTGGAAAGCGGTGATACAGATTATGGGAATGGCTTTGAGGACAGTGAATTGCAAGAGAAAAGTGGAAAGAATTCTACTATGGTGCATTTTGGCGATACGATAATGGAGGATGAGAGGGAGGTGGAATCTGACCATTTTGGGGCGGTTCGTGCGAGTATCGACAGCGCCGCCGTGAGGTGGTCAGAGGATGGTGACGAGGATGGGCGCAGTGTTCTGTCCAGGAGGAGCGTGGCTGAGTCTGTCTGCTGCTGCTTCCAGGTAAAAATCATGTTAACAGTGCACTGTGGAACTTTTCTTCTGGCAGGTCTGCCGTCTGTTTGTGTCCATGAAGATGTTCTTGCTTTGAATGTTTCACAGTATGGTTTTAAACTTATCTGTCATCATGGAGACAGTAGCAAACACCTCAAATTGAATAAATGGAAGACAGATAAGATTAATGCCGTACAGAGAAAGATTCACTCAGAGCAAAAGGCACAAAGTAAATGCCTTTCCTCACTCATATTTGTAGTTTCTTCAGTCCTATTAGAAGAATCTAATTAAATATCTTTCTGAGAGGTATTTAGAGCAACTTTTCAGAACTTTTAACCATGTTATAGTTATTTCTCCTTCTCATTTACCCTCTCAAAGCTGTATTTAGAGTGATTCATGCATGTTTGAGCAATCTTCCAATCACTTATTTTCAAGAGGCCATTTTGCCGATCAATTCCGTTTTCACCTCCTCCAGTATATGCCCAATTTTATTTTCTTAATATTCTTTGAAGAACACCTATTGTCTGCTATAGTTTTTATTTGCACATTTTAAAACAAGTTAATAAAAGAAATTGAATCCGTGGACTTGGCGTGGCGCTAGAAAACTGCAGTATTCTATGGAAGCAGACATCACGGTAAACGTCATCACAATGAAGAGCCATGAAGTTGTCAGCCCCTTTGATGAATAGCTCACACTAACAAGCAGTGGATTTTTTTTTTTTCATTTGTACCAAAAAACAATGCTATGGAATACTACATATATTGATATACTGATTATGAAGAATTGGAGAACAAAATAAGTACAGAGAAGAGGGTGTATGCTGGTGCCGGTGAAAAAGGGGTTTAATCTGCAATATGATGTCTTCAAAATAAGTGATTAAAGATTACTCAGACATGCATGGATCACTCCAAATACAGCTATGAGTGAGTAAATAAGAAGAGGAAACAATTATAACATGGTTAAAAGCTCTGAAAAGTTGATTTTATATAATAGCTGATTTTTATATAATAGAATGAACGGTGAAATTTCACTTAAAAAAGGTTTTGCTATTCTAGACAAAGCAAAAACATCTCCATGGAAACAAGCAAGTGGAGCCTATAAGAGAAAGTTTACATAGTGCAACTTTAACTTTTGCCTCCCCTTCGTCTTGTGATGTGACCTTTGACCTCATGCAGGCGGTGCACAGAGGATGCCTGCGCTGTGTGGAGGAGACACCCGCCATGTTGTCTGGGCTGGTTCTGTCTCTGTGCTTTTGTGTGGCCCTCATCATCCTTCTCACCACCACTGGGAGGGTAAGAGACACCTACCACTTCTCTTGATATATGCAACGTTTTCAGGACTTTTTCACATCCAAAAGATATAATATTTTGTTTTAAATTGTTAATTGCTATAATATTTTTCATAATTCTGAGACCACTGGGATCGGTTTAATATATTTGAAACTGGTCCATCATAGTTTTCCCCAGAGATTTTGGGAGACAATAGTGGCACACATAATTATGATTTTATTATTTAATCTTATTCCATTTGTGGAGAACAAATGACATTTATTGCATATATGTAATCTTTAAAGGTCCTATATTATGCAATATTGACTCTTGTGAGCTCAAATCCATATTATAATGTTGTTACCTCATCACAAACATATCAGGAGTTCTGTTTTGTTTCATTCACACATGTTTGAGTAATTCTTTATTATTAGTCTGTTCAAAATGGTCTGTTCTACCTTGTTATGACATGTAGTGGTAGTTTTCATGTTAACAGCTAACTTTTCCCTTTAGTTCAATAGAGATGGGCAGTTCCAGGTCTGAAATCATCCAAATGATTCTAGTGAAGGTGTATGGAGTTTAAAAACACAGCACTTCTTGTATTACCACATGACATCACAAGGTGGAGTGCTTTTTGTTTAAAAGAAGAACTCCTAAATATGCCTAAATATGTTGGATTTGCAAGTTAAACATGTGAATTAAACAAAACACAACTCCGGGTATGTTTGTGATGAGGAAACAACATTATTACATAGATCAGAAAACGGTGTGATATGGGCCCTTTAAGCAGTCCTTTATGCCCAGAATTGTTACTTTTAAATGTTTTTTTAAGAATACAATGGATAACCAAGTGTGATTTTGCAATGCCAAGTTTTTCTTTTTAGACCATGTTTCATAGCTTATTTAATGAAAGAAGCATATTTACTGAATTAAAATTTCATAAATTTATCCAGGAAAACCCGCACTAATTTATGATTCAACAAACCCACACTGGGCTTATATGATCAACATGGCGCACGAGTCGAAGAGTCTGTGAGCCAAACCTCGAAAGAATCGGCCATGACAAGATCCTCGCAAACATTAGAAAGATCCACTCGCAAAAAGCGATTAATTCTAGAAGACATACAGTAGTTGTGGATAAGCAAGGCAATGAAGAAAACATGGGTCCTACAACGAGTGACATGTTTATATGTGCGTTGGAAGATACAGTTTCTACTGTCACTCACACTGCAAATGTTTTCTTTTTAAATTTTAGTTCAGTAAATGTGCTTCTCTCATTAAATAAGCTATGAAACAATTTAAATAGCAAATACCTTGATGAAAGTGACGTGAGTGTGTCTTGATGGTACCATAGGAAATCTCTTTGTGGTTTATGTTCTCTAGCCATAATTCCCTTTTTTTTCTGATAATTCCCTTGTTTGAGCTCCTGATGAGTAATTTCCAGAGGAACAGTGAAGAAATGAATAATTTTATCCCATTCAGAGCATCTAGAAGAACCAAATACACAACAAAACCTGCCCATGTTTCTCTGATACTACTGAAGTCAATGGCATAGCGTGCCCGGTGTCATGGCGGCGTAGGTACCGTTGCTATATGGGTCACGTGACGGTGCAAAGCCTCTATTGCAACATTTCACTGAAACAAGCAACAGATATTCATTGACATGTTTTTATGCATGAGAAATATTAGTACAGGCAGAGATGAAAACAGCAACTTTCTGAGAGATCATCCTTCAAATGCATACATTTATTAAGATATAACTCTGAGAAAGATAACGATTAGGGAAGATCATTACAACATGATTAAACGCTCATAAGCATTTTGTCCTGTTTAAGATGAGTCATGTGACCTTTAGTCTTATGTAGTTATTTAATTGAACGAGTCAAGTCACACACACTTGACTATCCCAGCCGTGACAATGGAGAACTCATATGGAACGAATTATGGGGCCTATAGCTCAGAAAAATTATAAACTTTTGTAAATGTGTTATATTTATTGTGCTTTGCGTAACTTTATTATTATGGGTCTGTCACTTGCTTGTTTCTATGGATATATCATTACCCTGCTTGGAATGTTCCACAGTATGACATTAAACAGCTCTACCTTACATTTATTCAATCACAGGTGTTTTTATTGCTCAAAAATACCTAGAAAAAGATTCTGACTGTGAACAGGGTCGCCTCTACACAGATCTAACCTGTAACTTGGTCTGGTTTGGTCTCGATGAAGATAGAAAGGTTTAATGCCATACTGTGAAACATTCCTTACAAAGCAATAACATCTTCATGGAGAAAGGCATTTGACCACAAAAGTTACAGAATGCACCTATAAAGAAGGGGCATTACACAAAAGCAGTTTTGTCACCTTTCTCCCAAATGTCAAACTAGTAGAAAGCACAAAAAAAAACCAAAAAAAAAAACAACAAACAAACAAACTAACAAAAAAACATTTATTTACCATTTAAAGGGGCTGTACCTGATTTACAATAGAGATATTGTAAAGGCAGTTCTTGGGGTCAAAATAAGATGCTATGTTGTTGATGTAATTATAAAGTATTTTTATTCTTTGTGAGACAGGAAGTAAGGCTGGTGCATTGTAAGCATGCTAGTTGTTGTTAGCATTAGCGTGAGGACAAAACTCCGCTCTGGTCTCTGTTGTGAAAGTTGTGAAAAGCTCTTATAAACACATTGTGGTGATTAATTAGGGTGTTCTGAATGCATAAGGTAAGTAAGGAATAACTTTAAACCACTACAAACTGTTTACATTTAGCTAGTTCTGTTTTGACCGTAAAAATGTGTATTCCTTTGTTTTCTTGAATCATACAGAGTCCCGATGTGCATGTGGGTGCCTTGTCTGTGGTCTGTATAGTCTTGTGTCTGAGCACACTGCTGCTGGTGTGTTTACCCTGGCTGGCCACAGTGAGGCGCTGTGGAGGAGCCCTGGCCCTGTTTGTTTGGAGCACCCTCTTCATCATCGCTGTGGTCTTCATCTTCACCGGGGGACCAGTCACCGCATGGGAACAGGTCAGATGCGTCATATGTGCATTGTACTGACCTGATAGCATTTAAACAACTACCTAACCTAGCAAAACAAACAAACAAAAATAAGAATAAAAATAAAGTAGTAACTGAGACCATTTTAGATGCAGAAAATAAGAAATTCAATCCAGTCTCCAAAAGTCAAAACAAAATGTAAAGTACTTTTTTTTTTAAATCTGTGTATTTATGTCAAATTAAAGGTGAACTGTAACTTTTCTGATGGAGAGCAGGGTACCTGGTAACAGAATTCACCCTCAACCCCCCTCCCACTGCCTTATCTTCAAAGGGCCCATATTGCACTATTTTCTGATTTGTCATTATGTTGTTTCCTCATCACAAACACACTTCTAGTTGTGATTTGTTGTGGCTATATTGACTTGTCAAAGCCTGATCTCGTCAGATCTCAGAAGCTAAGCAGAATCTGGACCTGGTTAGTACTTGGATGGGAGACCACTGGGAAAATCAGGTGCCACAGTGGGGCGCCAGTCATAACAGTTGTTGTGTCCTTAGGCAAGACACTTCAGCCACATTGCCTAGTATGAGAGTGGTATGAGTGTGAGGGATGGTGGTGGTCAAAGGGGCTGATGGCGCAGATTGGCAGCCTTGTTTCTGTCAGTCTGCCCCAAGGCAGCTGTGGCTACAATAGTAGCTTACCATCACCAGGTATCGAGTGAATGAACATATGTCTGTGAAAAGCGCTATATAAATAAAACAACTGACTTAATTTTGTTTCATTCACATGTTTAACTTAGAAATCCCGCATATTTAGGCTCTTCTCTCAAATGGAAAATACTCTGTTCCACCTTGTGATGTCACGTGGTAATACAGGAAGTGCCCCACTGTGTTTTTAAATTCCACACACCTTCACTTTAATCATTTGAATAATTTCATTTCTGGAATTTCCAATCTCTACTGAACAAAAGGTAAAAGCTAAAACAGAGTATTTTGAGCTTTGGAGACTAATAATAATTAAAAAAAATACGAAACAAAAAAAATAATGAAACAAAACAAAACTCCAGGTATGTTTGGGATGAGGTACCAAAATTAAAACATTGTTATAAATAATGATTATTATAATATATATATTATTTCTACTGTGACTCTGCAAAAATGTAGACAGGTTTTGGCCCTTGTTTATTATGGTTGCCAGGTAACAGAACTGGAATTACCTACTATGTATGTGACATCTGCTTCCAATGAATGAAATGTAAAATCCTGATCTTGGTGTGTTAAAGGTACATTGTGTAACTTTACTCGTGGAGGGTTAGTCAGATGCTTTTCTCCATGGAGATGTTATTGCTTTGTCTGAAATGTTTCACAGTGTGGTATTAAACTTCTTCATCTTCATGGAGACCAAACCAGACCAAGTTACAAGTCAGATCATTGGAGAGGCGACCCCACTCACTGTCAGAATGTTTGTTTTTCTAGGTATTTTTGAGCTATAAAACCACCTGTATTTGAATAAATGTAAGGTAGAGCTGTTTAATGTGATACTGTGGAGCATTCCAGGCAGAGCAATGACACATCCATAGAAACAACCAAGTGTCGGACCCCCATTCAAAAAGTTACACAATGCACCTTTAAAGGTTATCTCTCTGTTTTCTCAGGTGGCGTTCTTCCTCTTCCTGTCGTTCAGTGTGTACTCAGTCCTCCCTCTATCTTTGGCCTGGGCTCTGATGGTTGGAATCTTCACCAGTGTGGCTCACATCATCATCATCAGTGTTTATGTCCCAGTGACCAGCCCCCATATGCCAGACCTCGCTGTGCAGGTGAGACGAAACCAGGACTAAACCAGGACTAAACCAGGGCTCAACCAGGGCTCAACCTGGACTAGACCAGGTTAAAACAAGAATCCAGGGCTAAACCAGAACTAAACCAGGACTAAACCAGCAATAAACCAGGGCTAAATCAACACTAAACCAGTGCAAAACCGGGGCTACACCAGGACTAAAGAAAGACTAAACCAGGTCTGTGGTGCAGACTGGAGCTGTCTGTTATTTGCATCCAAAAGGACAGTTTTCTGAGTTTGCATATGAGCTGTGTGAGGCTATGGAGATTTGCAAAACAAAACAACACATGTAAATATTACATTATGTTTTTGGGGAAGTCCGTCCCTTTAGTTCTGTTTGAATGGTGGCTCTGGGACCAGATCAAAATGATATCATTCATTCTTTCATTCACACACGTTCGAGCCACATGATGTCACAAGGTGGAACAGAGTGTTTTCAGTTTGAGAGAAGAATTTAGCCTAAATATGCAGGATTAAACATGTGTGAATGAAACAAAACACAACTTGATTTTTGATGAGGAAACAACACTATAGCATAGAACAGAAAATAGGGCAAAAGCTTTAAAACTGAATTCTTCTCTCTCCTCTGCCCCTTTCTCCCTCTCTTTCTTTCTCAGCTGGTGGCCAATGCCCTCCTCTTCTTGTGTATAAACTGTGTTGGAAGTTACCACTTGTGGGCGACAGAGCATGACCTCCGAAAGTCCAACCAGAAAAGAGAAGAGTTCAGCGCCATTCGCTCACAGAAGGAAGTCCAGAAATACCAACAGGTAAAAATCCTGATGGGCTTCTAAGCAAGCAGATACAGGACTGAACCAGGACCAAACTAGGACTAAACCAATACTGAACCATGATCAAACCAAGCCTAAACCAGGAGTAAATCAAGAATAAAGCAGGACTAAATTAGGACTAAACCATTACTAAATCAGTATTAAACCAGGACTAAACCAGTTCTGAACCAGGACATAATCAGAACAAAACAGGACTAAACCAGGACTTAACCGGGGCTAAACCAAGACAAACCAGGACTAAAGTAGTTCTAAACCAGGACCAAAGAAGTACTAAACCAGTATTAAACCAGGACTTAATCAGTTCTGAACCAGGACTATACCAGGACGAAACCAGGACTAAGGTACATTATCAGTCCACACTCAAGACCTCACTTTACAGGTAAGACGAAATCAGGACTAAACCAGGGCCTAACCTGTAAAGGTGCATTGTGTAGTTGTGGAGAGGCGACAGGTGGGTTTTTTTGAGCCAAAAATCCACCTGTAATTGTATAAACGTAAGGTAGCTGTGCTTAATATCATACTGTGGAACATTCCAGACAGAGAGATCACCATATCCATAGAAACAAGCATGTGACTGGCCCGCTGCCAGAAAAGTTACGCAATGCACCTTTCAAATAGAAATGATAAAAACATATTAAAACAGGTCTGGTGTTCCCTCTCATACCACCCCTCCCTCTGTGATCTGTGTCTGATGCTTTGAGTTTATTGGAAATCGTTGTGTTTAATTGTTCAGCTCTGTGTCTCTGGAGGGTATTGCCTGGTTACTGTATGCTCTTGGCCAGAGGAGAGACAAAGGATTAATCATTGACCTGAAGCAAAGCGCAGACAAACACCACACGCCAGCTACAAATGAAACGCAAATAAAACAGAACTAGATCTGTTTTGTTTGGAGGACAGTTAAAGCGGAGGTAGTTATACTGTAAAAGCAGTTCTTAAAGGTGCACTGTGTAACTTTTCTGGTGGAGGGTCTGCAACCTGCCTGTCTCCATGGAGATATTACTCTTTTACCTTGATTATTTCGCAGTACAGAAATAAACTTGGTAATCACAATAGAGACAGGTGAATGGTCAGATCTATGGAGAAGTAAACCTTAATTTTGTAAGAATTCATGTTTTAATTTTTTTTTTGAGCTATAAATCACCTGTAATTGATCAAATTCAATCAATGTTTAATGTCCTACTGTGGAACATTACACACAAAGAAATAACATCTCCATGGAGACAAGCAAGTAACATACCCTCTACCTTAGAAGCTACATAGTGCACCTTTAAGGTTAAAATTATACTGCTGTTTGCTGTCTGAATAAACTGGGGTTAAACCAGAGCTAAACTAGGACTAAACCAGTGCTAAACCAGGACTAAACTAGAACTAAATCAGGTCTAAACCAGGACGAAACCAGGGCTGACTTTTTGCAATTTATCAGTTTTTCACACTACTTCAGTATGTCATAGTAACAAATAGGCTTGTAACAGTATCAAAATCTCACGGTACAGTATTTTGGAGTGCCTGTAATCCCTTTTATTGAGACAGCCTCCAGTAAATTTGATAAGATCTTATCACAGCATTTCAATTATTGCTACATCCCTAGTAACAAATAGAGAAGTAGTTTTCCTTGTAAAATTTACCTAAAGCATCAACTGTTTGGAGAAAAGTGTTTTCTAAGAACGGGCCCAAGTCCTCAAAATCGTTAGATTCAAGTCCAAGTTCCCATAGCTCATAATAATACAGTGCATTCAGAATAAGTAGCAAAAATAGACAGGTGTCAAAAGGAAGAAATGTACAAGTAAAAATATAATAAATAAAAATATATATCTAGGCTATAAACAAGAAACAGTGTAAAGCAGAGTATTCAAGGTCTTATGACATTTAAGCCATGTTATAATGCTATTACCTCCCCAAAAACATACCTGAAGTTGTATTTTGTCTCATTCACACATGTTTGAGTAATCCTGCATTATTAGGCTGTCTGTCTGTCTGTCTGTCTGTATTTATTTATTTATTTATTTTTGGAGACCTCTGTTCTACACTGTGATGTCGTATAGCGGTAGTTTCAAGTTAATAGCTACTTTTTACCTTTAGTTCAGTAGGAATGGGCAGTTCCAGGCGTGAAATCATCCTAATAATTCTAGTACAGTTGTGCAGAGTTTAAAAACACAGTGGAACGCTTCCTATATTACCACATGACATCACAAGCTGGAATGTTTTCCATTTAAGAGAAGAACTATGCTTAAATATGCAGGGTTTCTGTGATAAACGTGTGAATAAAACAAAACACAACTCCAGGTATGTTTTTGATGAAGTAACATTATAACATGATTTAAAGTTCACAAGTTCAATTCTCCATAATGTAGGACCTTTAATGATAAGCTCTAAGTGTATCTCTTGTTTTTTAGGAGCAGCTTCTTCTCTCTGTTTTGCCTCGGTATTTGGCGAAAGAGCTGAAGGCCGAGGTGATCAGCCGTTTGTGCAAACCGGAGTCCAGAGGTCAGCCTGCAGCAGAAGATAAAAACAACTCTCTCTTCCACAGTCTCTACATCAGACAGCACAGGGACGTCAGGTATGGATATCAACATTAGAATTTATTATGACCATTTCTCTTTTTTTATTGTAATATACTGTGATGCACAGGCCCATCCACAGAAATGTTGGGGCCCGGGGCAAGAAGCATCACAGGAGCCCCCCTCTAATATAAATTAATAGGAAGAGGTTCCAGTTCTGGGTTCCTAAAACCATGGGGCCCGGGACAAACCCCTTTGCCCCCCTTGTCTACATGAGAACCTTTTTTTTTCTCTGCAACAATGTGATGCTAACTGTAAGCACTGCTCTGTCTGAAGCTCTGTTACTCAAGTCAAACTTTAATCTGAGCTTTATTTTAACACAAACTGACCATAAAGAACTGACTTAGCTGGAACTTCAACAGGTGAGCTGATGTGTGCTGTTAAAAAAGTCTTTCACACATATCAGATTGTGTTTTTCTGACAAGTATTACAATAACAATTAGAATTGCAATTTACGTTCTAATGAATGGATTCTGTTCAAATTTCACATTTTAAACAACTTTTTGTCAATTCCAGAAGACAACTGACAAACTAATACAAAATATAAATGCAAAATAACACAGGAGATTTTGTTGTTTGTGGAGGAAATTATGGAACTTAAAAAATTGCACCCTTTGTGATTTGTTAATTGCGTCCATTTTGATTTGATCATAAGTCCTCTTGCAGCCCCACTCAGGATTTTGTCAGACCATCTTTGTGTGTTGCAGTTTTCATTTTGACAACAACACTTGATAACCTTAGACTTAGACAAACTTTATTGATCAACAAGGGAAATTATTTGGACACAGTAGCTCACAGCATATTATAATAATAAAGAGAAATGAAATAACAAATTATAAATAGGTTGCAGAAATAATTACATAAATGTATATGTACAAGTAAAAATAAAATATAGCAATAAAGAATAAAAAATATATTTCTGTTGTACACAAGAGGTGTAAGGAAAAGATACGATGATTGAAAGGACAAAACATCTGACACACAACTCTCTCATTACAGTATCCTGTACGCTGACATTGTGGGCTTCACCAAACTGGCCAGTACGTGCACCCCGGAGGAGCTGGTGGCTGTACTCAACAAACTTTTTGGACGATTTGACGACATTGCAAAGGTGAAGAAACAGAAACACATTTTTTTTAAAGGTTTTGAAGTGGACCTATTATGCAAAAACAACTTTTCAGAGCTTTTAACCATGTTATAGTTGTTTCCGCTTCTCATTTACTTTCTCGGAGTTGTGTTAGTATTTGGCTCTTTAATTGCTTATGTTCAAAACGCCATATTGCTGTCCAACCTCTTTTTTCATCAGCATACGCCCACTGCTCTGTACTTACTTCTGTACTACTTTTATTTTCTTAATTGTTGATGTATGTAGGATTTGGCAGCTTTTTTTTTTTTTAGCTATCCATCAAAGGAGCCAACAGCTACACAGCTCTTTGTTTTGATGACATTTACGGTGACGTCAGCTCCCACTGGGCATCACAGTTTTCTAATGCAGTAGTCAGCTGGCTTTTTCTTTTATTGAGTTGTTTGAGATGAATACTGAGATTTAAAATATCCAAACTACAACATAAAAATCCATAAGTGTCACAGATTATAGCTATAGAACAGACAAAAGCACAATATGTCTATTTTAAGGGTTACTTGAATTGAATTGAAGTGTGGGCACTATATTGTTAAAATTGTGAGATAGAATAAGTGCTTTGGCAAAGGTCTACACATTTGATCTGATTTTATCTATAGCAAGCTCAAGTGCAATATATCTGATTTAATATTATTCCTTAGTATAGATTATAATATATCTTTGTTCATTTGCACCTATCCATGTTTATTGCTAATAACTAATGTAATAAGAATAATTTTAGGTACTTATAAACATTTTTTTCCACTTATTTTTTTATTTGCAGAAAAATGGCTGCCTGCGCATTAAAATCCTGGGTGACTGTTACTACTGCGTCTCTGGTTTACCTGATCCAATTCCAACTCATGCCAAGAACTGTGTACAGATGGGACTGGACATGTGCACAGCTATTGGGTCAGTTCAACTCAAGTTTTATATTTAAAGGTCCCACACAGTGCTATATTTGATGCATGTTATAATGTTTTTTCATCACAAACATACCTGGAGATGTGTTTTGATTCATTCACATGTTTTGTCTTCTCTCAAAACACTCCGTTCCACATTGTTATGTCATTTAGCAATACAGGAAGTGCTTTGCTGGGTTTTTAAACTCCATATACCTTCACTGTAATCATTTGGAATCATCATCTAGAATGACCTTCTGCCTTTTGTTTGTAAAGATTGGCAAATTTACTTTAACAAAGTTTAAAAGGAATTTGATAAATTTATAACTGCCGCTTCATGACATCACAAGGTGGAGCAAAACATTCTGAGATTTGTAGATGTAGGCATACTATAAACCAGGATTACGCAAACATGAGAGAGTGAAACAAAGCACAATTCTAGGTATTTCTAAGAAGGTAACAACATTATAACATGGCTTAAAGCTCAAAAGAGTCAATATTGTGTAATATAGGACCTTTAATCTCAATGATTATATATGACAAATATAAATACTATTAGAGGAAAGATTGAAAACCTGTTTCTCCACTACTTCCTCATTTGATGACAGACCTTTTAAAGGTGTTTTATGTAACTTTTCAGGTGGAGGGTGGAGATGTTCATTCTAATCTTCATGGAAACAGGCAGTTGGTGTATCTATCTACTATCTAATTGGGATTATTCTGACAAGCATTTTGATTTAGGTTTTCTGTTCATACTTCACATTTTTAACATGTTCAGAAAAACTGACAAAAAGATTGAAATCTGAACTGACAAACTAATGCAAGAATTACACTTCACAACATGTTTGTACAGATCTAAAGTACAGGGATAGCAGTTTTTATGCACAATAAGAGAGGAGATTTTGTTGCTTGTGAAGAAAATTATGGTAAAAATGGGAGTCTTTGTGATTTGCTAATTCAAACTGTGGTTTTGATTGCGATTAATTTTGCAGCTATAGCGCACCTTTCATCAGAAATCGTTTAAGAGTATTATGTTGTGTATTTTCTTGCAGTAAATTGCGCGAGGCGACAGGCGTGGACATAAACATGCGTGTGGGTGTGCACACGGGGAGCGTTCTGTCTGGAGTCATTGGGCTCCAAAAGTGGCAGTATGATGTCTGGTCACATGATGTCACTCTGGCCAATCACATGGAGTCAGGCGGCCTTCCCGGGTGAGATATTTTCTAATTCACAATTGTTTTTCAGATTTTAGAGTGTGAAGATGTCATGATTTCAGATGGAGAGAAAGACAGAGAGATAGATGCTTTTTTTCTTTTTTTCTTTTTTCTTTCAGTATTAGAGACAGCACAACCAAGTGTTTGAGTTTCAGTTATCTGTATCATTTGATCCACCTGTTGTTATAACAGTGTCTCAGTCCAAGTACTGGTCAGGGTAGGGTCAGCAGATCTGTGTCAGGGTAGTTTGAGGAGAATAACAGCCCTTAGAACAGAAGTGTCCATCCTCTGATTCCCTCCCTCTTGTCCACAGTCGTGTGCACATCACAGAGGACACACTCATGCATCTGGACGGAGCGTACCTGGTGGAGCCTGGTAATGGCGCGACCAGAGATCCCCTCCTCCAGGGCAGAATAACCTACCTCGTCATCGACCCCGAGAAACCACAAGGCGTTCCACGCAGGCACAAACTGGTAACTGCAACTGTACTTTTTACATTATTGCATGCGGTTTGAGCTTCGGGTTATGAAGATTTGGGGCTTTCAAAAAAGAAAATTAAAATTATTAACTGAAAATGTTATTCTGGATGTACAAATGCTAAGACCAGTCAGGAATAGTCGTACGCACAGAAATTCAGCTGTTATAGAAGAGAAATAGAATGATATTTTTTGACTTTTTAGTGTATCTGCCTTAAATCTCCACCACAGAAACTTTATTTGAACACTTAAATACAAAGAGATAACTGCATAAAACATGACAACTCAGCTCTCTTAAAGGTAACAAGGGCTGTGGGTGAGTTTATTGGGAATTTGAATTACATAATTTTGGGAAAATAATCAAAACCTGTCCTACGTATTGGCTCAAAAAAATCGGAGTCAAAAGTATCAAAACTAGATGCTCATTTCAGCAGGTATTGATGCTAAAAAATTTACTTTCACAGTACACAAATTAACCTTTCCTGAATAGTTTTAGAATGATCTTGGGCTATATCAGAACAAGTATTAGAGCACATAGACTAGTATACGCCCATGGACCACTATAAACCTACCTGGACCTCTGAGGGTTTACATAAGGCCACGTAGTAATATAAAAGAAAGTACAACAATTTAATGTAGAAAATCACATTCTATTGTCTAAATAAAAATGTTTTTAGTATCATTATTGTATCAGAATTAGTATCAAATCTCTTCTGTGGCATTGAAACTGAGTTAGAATTTTTAGTATTGTGACGACAGCAGTTCATATATTTTGTTGTTTTGTTTGAGGGGGCAAAGCTAACGGCAGAGGGCCAGCGTCAGAGAGCCTCCGTGCGGATGTCTCAGTATCTCCAGTCTTGGCAGACCATCCACCCGTTTGCTGAACTCAGCAACCCTGATGCCAAGCCCTCCAAAAAGCATCTTCTCCGGAGATACATGGGGCTGAACCACCCCCACCAACCACAAGTAAATCTAACCAATGGTTTTAAAAGTTCTATATTACACAAAATTGACTCTTGTGAGCTTTTTAGCTATGTTATAATGCCTGCCTCATCAAAAACATACCTGGAGTTGTGTTTTGTTTCATTCACACGTGTTTGAGTAATCCTTTATGATTAATCCGTCTACATTTCCAAATAATTGTAGTGAAGGTGTATGGAGTTTAAAAACACAGTGGAGCACTTGCTGTATTACCACATGTCATAACAAGATTGAACAGAGAGTTTTGCATTTGAGAGAAGAACTCAGCCTAAACAGGCAGTTTGTGTGTTAAACATGTGTGAATAAAACGAAGAAGAACTCCAGGTATGCTTGTGATGAGGAGATAACACATAACAGTGTAATAAGGGCCCTTTAAAGGTGCAGGTGTGTCTTGTTGCTTTTATGGTTTTTAATTAAGTCTGTGTTTGCTTCAGGAAAAAGGCCCCTATCAGAATGACCCCTCTGGACGGTGAGTGTACAGTATGATTGCAAATAGACTTAAGAGATGTCAGTGGGTTCAGAGTGACGAAAAACCAGCACACTTGCCAATGGGAAAACACTTGAAGCAACGTGGCAGTCACTTTGATACGCATGAAAGAATAAAACAAACTCCATTGTTTGCTAGTGTGAAACTACGAAAATTAATCATTTTTGGCACTAATTATACGTTTATTTCACAAAAATATTATAAATAAAATAAACCTGTATTTAAAATAAATATTTATTATATATTTCCTGTGCTTTCTCAGACTTGTTGTCAGTGATGCAGTTCGAAGTTCACTGGATCCAGTTGACACGGCAAGGTATAGAAGGAAAATACAATAAACAATAAATATATTTTTCAGTAATACTGTATATGTCTGTATCGTCAACTATATAAGTCCTAAACTCAGGTTAAACCAGGACTAAACCAGGACTAAACCAGGTCTGAACTAGGGCTAAACCAGGACTAAACCAGGTCTGAATCAGGGCTAAACGAGGACTAATGTCATATTAAACCAGGACTAAACCAGGACTAAACCAGGTCTGAGCCAAGGCCAAACCAGGACTAAACCAGGTTTCCACATGTCTTTATTTTAGGTGGAGAAAGAAGAAGTTGAATTGCTTAACTCTGCTGTTTAACGATTTGACTCTGGAGAGAAAGGTATCTGATCTGTTCACTTTAGCATAAGAGTAATGTATTATTTGATTATTATTCTAAATCTTGTATTTTTATGTTTAGTTTCGGTTGTCAGAAGTTCAGGGTTTGCACAGATCCATGACAGTTTTGGCTGTGATCTTTGTCACTCTTTTCGCCGTTCAGATGCTCGTCTCTGTAAAGTGAGTCATTTTTAGGTGGATTTTGGGTCAATCAATCAGTTGTAATCTGTAATATGATATGTGTTAGCAGTTAATACCCCATGGAAGTGCAAATTGATAATTAATAATTTTTCAGTAAGTGCCTTATTTTCAGTTCATTTTAGGATTTAATGGGGATGTAAGATATCCAAATTTCAGGACAAAGTCACAATTTGAAATTTAAAGTGTCATTTAACAAAGGCTGTTATTATTTAAGTAATAGAATGTTTTCCCGTCTTTTTGTTTAAATAAAAGCTGCTAACCCTGTAGTTTAGACCTCTACAAACATATTGTAAAATGCATGGGATTCTTCTATTAGTTTTACAGTTCAGCCTTCTCAGTTCAGCTTACATTGTGAAATCTGATTTGAAAACCTATCCAAAGACTTCCACAGAATAAATATTAACGTTTTTGGCTAATCATTAAGATTCTGAATAATTTTATATTTTTACAATGTACATTACTGTTTTTATTTTATTTTCAGAAACTTCCAGATGGGTATTTCCTATGGAGTCACTTTCCCTGTTTTAGTTTTGCTTCTGTCCATCACATTCATAGCATATTTAAAGGTAAACAACACCCACTTATTTACATATCAGTCAGTGTACAGATAATAGCCAGAGTCATTGGAAACATGCAAATCAATTACTGAGAACTACTGCAATTGCTTGCTTTGGAGGGTTAAAGGTCCTATATTATGCAAAATTTACTTTGAGACATGTTTATAACGATGTTTCCTCATCAAAAACATACCTGGAGTTGTGTTTTGCTTCATTCACACATGTTAGGCTGAGTTCTTCTCTCAGACAGAAAACACTCTATTCTACCTTGTGATGTTATGTGGTAATAGAGAAAGTGGTCCACTGTGTTTTTAAACTCCATACAGCTTCACTAGAATTATTTGGGTAATTTTAGCCCCGGAATAGCCAATCTCGACTGAACTAAAAGTTAGCAGTTAGCTTGAAAACTACCACTACATGACATCAAAAGGTGGAACAGAGCATTTTGATTACTGGAGATGTAGACAGAGAGATATAGGTATCTTAATCCGCATATACCATGGTCCCACCAACTGAAAATAGCTGACTTTATATCTGGCCATTTTTTAGCTGTCCATGCATGTTCAAAGCATGAATTGTTTCTGTTTTAGTTTAAGCTAGTTCCTCTTTACAGTAATTCATTTGTTTACCTGTTGCTATTGTGATGCTCACAGCGTCGTGTTATAGAAGAGTGATTAACTGTTGCCAGAACTACCTTTGTGGTTATACAAAAATAATACACAGTATTTAGCATTTTAATTCTCACTGGCTGTGGTATAAAATATTTAAGATTTTACACACAAAAAATTTGCCTATTTTTTTCTAGTGTATTTAAGTGTTTTTCTTTTACTTCCTGGTTAAACAATAGACAGCAGATTCAACATGCACTGGGGTAATTCCATAATTGTTACCTAGAAACCATACTGTAACAAGGGCAAAAAAGGGACAAAACTTGTTTAAAATGCACAATAGTTATGTTTAGACTAATAAAAATAAACAACACTTTTATTTTGTTAAATGAAGGGTTAAAGGTGTACTATGTAACATTTTGGTTAGGGGTCTGTCACCTGCTTGTTCCTATGGATATTTTTAGATATTTTTGTAAATTTCTTTTAAATTTCTTTCCACAAACTGCCACTTAACTGATGTAAAACTATGGTAAATATTGACCACAGGTACTCTTTCCTTTATAGTGTTTATATTTAGCATTTTTAAATCCTTTATTTTGTGCAGAAATGGCGTACAAAGTTGCCGATGAGTCTTCACTGGGTTTATAGTTTTCCAACCGGAGTTTCGATTCAAGCTGCTCTTCGTCTGTTTGTGATCATTCTGTGTGTCCTCATCACCCTCACTATGGGAATCCTCAATTATGTAAGTCCTAAACCAGGACTAAAAAAGATCTAAACCAGGACTAAACCAGAACTAGACCAGATCTAAACCAGGACTAAACCAGGACTAAACCAGGCCTGAACCAAAACTAAATCAAAATTAAATATAGGCAAAACTAAGTCTGAACCAGGTCTAACTAAGATGATACCAAGTTTGAACCAAAGAACTCTTTCATAAAACAGTTTTTCTTTCAGTTTTTCCAACCAGGAGACAACTGTGGCTCCATCACCAACATCACTGAGCTGCAGGGACTCAGGCTCTACACAGGACCGGTGAGGAGTTTTATGTCTTTTCCTTCTGCATTTCACATGTTTTATTATTTCTGTTGAGAAGAATCATGGCATAATTTCAGATGGAGGGTAGAAGGCTTTATTGATAATTTGCAGTGACATCACGCTGGGGGTTCTACATATATCTCTGTTGGCAGACTGTTAAGCAGTTACCATAGTGACACAATGAACACAACACAAAAACATTTTAAGATTGTCTGAAAATACTAAATGGATTGGAACATCTCATTTTTAGAAGCGATCGGTTCAAGTGTTCATGGTCCCGTTTAGGTGTTTTTATGTGAACAAAAAGGGTGAGAGTGACTAATTGAAAAACTGTTGACTAATGCTAGCTAGCGTCTGGCTGTAATTTTATATGTGAGAGATTTAACACACCTGCACCTTTAAAGGGCTCTTATTACACTGTTATGTGTTATATTGACATTGTTGTGATTCATGTGGATGTAATCTATCCACTTTAATATACCTAACATGCATTTCCCCCTTGTATGTTTCAGTATTATCTGTACTGCTGTCTGCTGGCCATGCTGGGGGTGGTGGTTTTCGTCAAGACCTGTATGTCCGTCAAGGTGCTATTGCTAACGTTAGCGGTGGTCGTGTATCTGGCCCTGTTTCTTCACGTTTACGAGCCGAGATCTGTCTGCCTCGTCAACCTGATCTACAACGGCACGCACAAGTGGGTCACATGCATAAAAAAGAGATCTAGACCAGACCTAAACCAGGATTAAACCAGGACTAAACCAGGAATAAACCAGGTCTACACTAGTACTAAACCAGAGTTTAAGAAGTGTCCATATGGGGACAGTAAAGTGTACCTTCACCTTAATCTTAAACCAGGATTAAATAAGGACTAAACCAGGACTAAACCAGAACTATACCAGGACTATATCAGGACAAGACCCAGATTAAACCTGGACTATACCTGGACTATACCAGATGTAAACCAGAACTATAACCATGACTACAATGGGTGTAGTCTGTTTTTAAGACATGTTATAATGTTGTTACCTCATCAAAAATATGCCTGGAGTTGTGTTTTGGTTCATTCACATTACTCTTTAGTCATTAGTCTGTCTACATCTTCAAAGATGAAAGTGCTCTGTTCCACCTTGTGATGTCATGAAGCAGTAGTTTTCAAGTTGACAGCTACATTTTACCTTTAGTGTAATAGAGATGAGCAAATCCAGGGCTGAAAGTGTCCAATTCATTTATTCTAGTGAAGATGTATGGAGCTTAAAAACACAGTGAAACACTTCATGTATTACCACATGACATTACGAAGTGGAACAGAATGTTTTCTATTTGAGAGAAGAACTCAACCTTAATATGCAGGGTTTGTGTGTTAAACATGTGTGAATGAAACAATACACAACTCCAGGTATGTTTGTGATGAGGAAACAACATTATAATAGATCAGAATACAGAGTAGTCCTGTCCAGCTCTTCCCACTTTAGGTCTTGTTTTTCACAGTGTCTCACTTAAGTACAGAATGTAGGTTTGAGTCTCATTTTACCATTATTATTTGATGAGTGTTATAGTGTAAACAGGGCCTATACCACGTAAAGGTAATGGAAGTGAAACAAGAGATCACAAACAAGCTATTACATGATTACATTGAACTAGGATGCACTGTGAATTTGACCTTAAAGGTGCACTATGTAACTTTTTGGTTACACCTGGTTCACCTGCTTGTTTTTGTTTTGATGGATATGTCATTGCTCTGCTTGGAATGGTCCACACTATGACATTAAACAGCTCTACCTTACATTTATGCAATTACATGTGGTTTTATGACACAAAAATACCTAAAAAAAAACAGGCATTCTGACTGTGAGCGGGTTCAACTCTTCACAGATCTGACTTGTAACTTGGTCTGGTTTGGTCTCGATGAAGATAGAAAGGTTTAATGCCATACTGTGAAATATTCCATACAAAGCAATAACATCTCCATAGTGAAAAGCTTTTGACAGACCCTCCACCAGAAAAGTTACACCAAATGTATGATCCTTACATGTTGAATCTTATCATTATCTCCTTGTGATTGACTCCACAGATTTGTCATGTTATTCTTATGGCTTAAAGCCCTTTCAACTGACAACAATCACGTCTTTGGGATTTAATAATGGCACCACATCCTGAAGCTAGTGTGAAAAAATAGTTTCACTTTTTGTTTATTTATACTGGCAGAAACGACATTGAGCTCTGTGCCAGATCTTGTTTTATGTGGTTGGACCCAGTAATTACAGAGATATTAACCGTAAACCAGGTCAACAAAAGGTTAAACAGCAAGTTCCACCATAGAGTTCTGATCAGTCCTCCAGCTCAGTGTAAAGAGGTGGTATTATGCAAAATTGACTTTTTGGGACTTTCTACCATGTTATAACATTGTTCCCTCATCAAAAACATGCCTGAAGAGGTTTAAGATCTCATACGTGCATGCTTCAGTAATTTAGCAATCTCCCAGGCTCTATTTGAACCCTCTATAGGGTTAGCTTTAAGATTTTACAGGCTTCGCCCACAAGCCTATGTCCTCCATGCTGTCACACAAGAATTGTCCATAAATATACGAAAACGTGATACAAAACTTTTCACAGCAACTTGACAAACCTGACAAAATGTGCAGTCGTTTTATTAGCGGGATGCACGCTGATTGTGTTGTGATGATGCTCTGAAGGAGGAGGGTCTTAGCATGGAGGGGAGATTCAGAGTGTCAAAAAGAAAAGTGAAGTGAATTATAAAACATGTTAATACGTTGTGGTCGGAATATAGCATTTTCAAAACAATAAAGGGCAACATGGTTTTACCTGTTTATTATATTCATTCTGATCAACATGACAACTTTGTGGTGCCAATACCAAACAAATGATAAGCTTCAACATTTGTGGATCATAAGTTTGGATATTTCTCTCAAAATCTCCAATAGAGTTATACAGGATCTCAGATGAAGGCAAGAGGCAGTTTTTTCCATACTGATTACATAATACTTTGCCATGGAGCATTTTTTTTTACCTGTTTAATATTGCTTTAATAATGTAACAGCTGATGATGATGTCTGATGTCTGATTCCTTAGGCCGGGAATCCTCAAAGACCCTCAGATCATGTCTGGAGTTTGGCTTGTCATCTTCTACATTGTGGGGTTCATTTTAGCCAGACAGGTGAGTCAGCGCTTTCAAAAAAGGGGTCACAAGATGCTTCAGAGTAATATACTTTAAATTCGCAGGCATAGATGTCATGGTGTGTAATCTTTGAGTTATGAAGAGTGAGGAAAAATATAGTGATTTTACAATTATTTGTGATTATTGAAAAGAATAAAAAATTAATAAATCAGTTATTAGTTTTATTTTGATGATGAAATGAAATAATATAATAAAATCCTTAGTCTTTGTAATTTTATAATTCAGTAATAATAATATTAATAGCTTATTTCTTTTCCAGCTGTTCTTCGCGTTGTAGCATACTTTCACTTTCAGATCACAGTTTAAATTTGTTTTGTGCCGTGAGCCTTGTGACACTTTCTGGACAACTTTATTCTGAGGATCGGACACATATTTTTTTACCTGTACTTGGGCAAACTGTGGTGGATAATTAGATTTAAGGTGGAGCTAGATCACAGCAACTTTAGCTGCGTTCACATTGGATTTGTTGTTGAGTGGTGCAACTCCTGAACTTCTGCCTTTAAAAATAATTGCATTGCATGTTTCTGTTCAGCGTAAGTCCGCTTCTACGTTTAACCAACCATGGCCAAAAATATTCATGGTAACTGAAAAAACTGTTAAAATGACATTTCTATTTCCAGATACATTTTTCCCTGTTTTAATAACAATACTCTTTGTATAGACACATGTTTGTCTGTTTTATTTTATTTTATTTTATAGTTTCAGAACACATCATTATAGCTGATGATTTTTATTATTTTTTATTATTTTTTGGCTTATTAAGTAACTTTGCTTAAAATGTATTTGAAAATATTGAAATTCTTTTTGTGGTTTTGTAGTCGTTTTAAACAGTTATATTATTGTATTAGTGGTAACTTTGGTCCACTGCAAACCATTTAAAGGTCCTATATTACACAAAATTGATTCTTGTGAGCTTTAAGTCATGTTATGATGCCGTTACCTCCTCAAAACCATACCTGGAGTTGTGTTTTGTCTGAGCAATCCTTTTATTATCAGTCTGTCTATATCTCCACAGCTCAAAATGCTCTGTTCTACCTTTTGATGTCTTGTAACGACAGTTTTCAAGTTAACAGCTACATTTTACCTTTTGTTCAGCAGAGATTGGTAATTCCAGGGCTGAAATTCTCCAAATGTTTCTAGTGAAGTTGCATAGATTTTAAAAACTCCATGGAGCACTTCCTGTATTACCACATGACATCACATGGTTGAACAGAACAGCAACTTTAATATCATTATTTATTGTGATTTATTTTGGGTTTGTGACTTGCTAACTGCTCCTCCACAGGATGAGCTGAACTGCCGCGTGGACTTCCTGTTGGAGCACTGTTTTTGTTTGGAGCGAGAGGAGATGGAGACTATGGAAAACGTGAACAAACTTCTACTCCAGAACGTCCTCCCGCTGCACGTAGCCTCAGTGTTCATGGGAAAAAACGTCAGAAACCAGGTCAGAAAAAAACATGCAACCTAAGATCTGAAATGTAATGTATAGTAAAGTATCCTATAGGTGAACTATGTAACTTTCTTGGTTGGGGGTCCATCACCTGCTTATAGTAGGACATTAAACAACTACCTAGAAAAAGAGGCATTCTGACTGTGAGCGGGATTGCCTCTCCATAGATCTGACCTGTAACTTAGTCTGGTTTTGGTTCCAGACAAAGCAATAACATCACCATTGAGAAAACCATTTGGACCTTCTACCAAAAAAGTTACACAATGCACCTTTAAAGCTCACAAGTCAAGAGATCAAACAAGTAAAAAAAAATACTATCCCACCAAACCAAGGAATAATTAGAAAAACATATGCACTTTTTAAATTACTCACTTTCCATCTCTGTTTTTGCTGCTAAATGTGATTTTCCTGCAGGACCTGTACAGCCAATCGTACGAGAGTGTGTGTGTGATGTTTGCCTCCGTACCCCAGTTTAAAGAGTTTTATAACGAAAGCAGCGTCAGTAAAGAGGGGCTGGAGTGTCTGCGCTTCCTCAACGAAATCATCTCCGACTTTGACGAGGTACCAGCAGATTGTTGTTGTGTCCTTGGGCAAGACATTTCTCTCACCATGCCCATGTATCATACCTGGAGTTGCATGTTTGAGTAATCATTTATTATTAGTCTGCCTACATCATCTCCAAAGGTCAAAATGTTCTGTTCCAGTTTGTGATGTCATCTAGTTTTAGTTTTTAAATGAACAGCGTTTATCTTTAGAGATTTAGAGAATTCCAGGGCTGAAATGTTCCAAATGATTCTGCTGAAAGTGTTTGGAGTTTAAAAACGCGGTGGCACACTTCCTGTATACTCACATGACATCACAAGGTAGAACAGTGTGTTTTTTGTTTGAGATAAGAACTCAGGCTAAATATGCAGGGTTTGTGTGTTAAATGTGTGAATGAAACAAAACACAACTCCAGGTTTTTGAGGAGGTAAAAGCATTATAACAGAGATCAGAAAATATCTGTATCACATTATCTGCAATATCACGTTATCTGCATGACTGTTAAACCGTACTTTAGAACATTCTAATATATGGAAAATTATAGGAACAACATTTTCATGGAAACGAGCAAATAAGAGTCAGATTTGTGGAGATGCAAGCCCACTCACAGTAAGGGCACATGTTTTACAGTGCAATAAAGGCAACTAAAATGAAAAAAGTGCTTTTACTTTTTTGAGACATCCAGGAATAGGATATTATAAGTGAGTTAAAACAAAAACAACTGGATTAAGTGAAACGTTGGCTTAAAAAAACTATAAAATAATAATAAAAATAGTAATAATAATAATACAGTAATCCTATTATTTATTTATTTAATTTTTTTGCTGTCAATATAGACTACAACAGCAGGACAGATATCATACCAGATATCAGTATCAGCAAACAAAATACATACTGGAGCATCCTTAAAAGTTACTTGGAATGTCTGTAAAAGTGTCTTGCTATTGAAGACCACTACATGAAGTCATTATCTATGTATTTTTATTTATTCATAATGTTTCTATCTTGTGTTTCACAGCTATTGTCCAAACCAAAGTTCAGTTCAGTGGAAAAGATTAAAACCATCGGGAGTACGTACATGGCTGCAGCCGGTCTCACTGCCCCTGGAGAGGAGAGGAAGGTCAGTCCAGATTTACAGCAGATTCTGTGTTTTGAACTATTTCTAATTCAAACTAATTTTATTCATTCCTTTATTATTTATTCATTTAGTTATTGATTTTTATGTCATTTCTATTATTATTAGAATTATTACATTTTTTAATCCGGATCTGTACTATGGAAAAATTACAACAGAAAGTGATACAGAAAAATACCAATCTGCAAAAGCTTAAATGAAATTATAATTAGACCTGATGTTCAAAATTACTTATTTTAACCCACTCAAATTAAATTATGAGGACTTTTTGTGTGTAAATTTTGAGTTTTTTGTGCTGCTGAAAACCTGGACCTGAGTACAGTGTTTGGCTTATGTGTATTTTTATATTGAAATTAAATAAACTCAGATTTTTTTGTTTCTCAGTCTTAAAATTAAAATGATGGAATCATATTTTTTGTTTTATATTTACTATTACTCAAATGAAAAAAATCATCTAATTTGAGCCCTATTTTCAAAATGTAGTCATTATTTTATTATTATTATTATTTGTTTTAGTCAGCAAACATATCACAATGTCGAAAGCTATGACAAAATATTTTAACACTAATTTGTAGAAATGTGATGATCTCTTATTGTACTCTATATTTAACATATTTTAGGAATTTTTTCTATCACTTTTCTATTTCCTCTTTTCAGTGTGTTTTTATTGTATATTTAAACTACAGTAACTAAGTAATTTCCATTGCGTCGAGATTTTTAAGTCTAAAAGTTGATGTATGGCGCCCCCTGCAGGACCAGTCTGAGCTGCTGTCCTCCCATGTGAGAGCCATGGTGGAGTTCGCCTTCGCTATAATGGGGAAACTAGAGGCCATCAACACTCACTCTTTCCAAAGCTTCAAACTCAGGATAGGTAAGTTTCAACTATTTCAACTTTTTACACATTAACTGTTCAGCTTAAAAGAGACTTGACTTTTCAGAGATTGCAACCCTGTTCTAGTTGTTTCCCCTTCTTTTTATTCTTTGATTTTTATTCTCTTGTATGAGATGTCATTGCTCCACCCACTGCTCTGTACTTACTTGGTTTTGCTTACTTACAGTTTTATTTTCTCAATTAGTGATGGACATATAGTGTCATGGAGTAATTTTGTCACAAATGGAAAAAATTTGCTGCTCACTAAAGTAATTTACCCCTGTCCATCAGAGGGGCCCACAGCGGCGTGGCTCTTTGTTGTGACACTCCAAATCAGTTTTCTAGCACGCAAGTCAGTAGGCTTGTTACTTTTATTACATTGTTTTAGATTAATATTGCTATTTAAAATGTCTAAATTATAACATAATGATCCAGGGGTTCATAGATCCTTGTAACACGTCACAGGTAGTTCACCTGAGGGGTTCACCACCTACTTGTCTCCATGAGGATTGCATCGCCTGGAATGTTTCACATTATGGCATTAGGTTAGGTTAGTTCATTTGTATTGGATAGGCATGGGCAAGAAGAAATACATGGAAAAAACTTGTATATCTACATGGAGACAAGCGGGTGTTGATACACCTCACATCTGTGGAGAGGCAACCCTACTCACAGTAAGAATGAATGTATTTTCTGAGCAATAATCACACTTATTGTCAGGTAAAGCAAGGACAACTCCAAGGAGATAAAAGTTACACATTTCATCTTTAATTTAGTATGTATTTGCCTCTTTACTTCTCTCAGGTATAAACCATGGTCCGGTGATAGCAGGGGTCATAGGAGCTCACAAACCACAATACGACATTTGGGGAAACACTGTGAATGTGGCCAGTCGAATGGACAGCACCGGAGTCCTGGACAAAATACAGGTCAGAAAAACATGAAAATAAAATTCAAATCCAAATCCGCATTATTTATATTGTACATAACAGTTCCCAAAAGTCCTGCACAATATTAAGATTAAAAATAACAAAAGGTGAACAACAGACGGTATAAATGCTCAATTTAACCTTGTGAATCCACCAAAACCAGTACCGAGTCAAATAAAAGCAAACCCATGAAATAGCAATAAAAAAAAACTAAAAAAAAAACAATAAACCTAGATTGTCTGAAAAGAGCAGCTTCAGACAGAGCAGCGCCTCCAGTTAACATCAGACTCTGAGGGAATGTTGATGACATCAGCTGCAAAGTAGCAGTTAAGAGAAACTGCATTGTAGTTTCATTATTATTCACAATATTTACCAAACAGTAGTGAAATCCCTTATTCACTTTCATTCATTTCACTTTGTCTCATAGGTTGCATTCAGGTTGTAGAATTAAAGATGTCATAGTTTCAGATCTAGGGGCCTATAGAACTTTATGGCAGATTCACTGTTTTAGAAAGAAATATTAAAGCGTATGATCCACAAATGTTTAACCTTTGGCTTTATTTGTTTGGGATTGCCTCCACAAACCTGTCATGTTAATTTCATGTGTTATAGTCCTTTCAATTGACAACAATGAGTAATGCCACCACTTTCTGAAGCTACTGTGAAAAAATAATTGTTTGTTTTCTTTATTTATGCTGACAGAGAAGTGACGCTGAACTCTAAGCCAGTTTTTGTTTCTTGTGGATAGGCCTGGTATTCACAGAGATATTAGCCTTAAACCAGGTCAACAAATCTGCAATCTGACAGTTAAAAACCTATTTCCAAAACAGCGTTATATTAAATTATATTAAATTATATTAAATTATATTAAATTATATTAAATTATATTAAATTATATTAAATTAATGATATTAAATTATTGGCTAATTAACTGAATCAGTGAAGCTGCAAATCACAATACATAAAAATATGTCTTTGAATGCTGTCTCCAACTAATCTTTTCTATTTGGCTGGGTCCTTTTCGGTAGTAAAACTGCTAGCCTTTTAGTTTAGACCTCTGCAAACATGGGATTCTCAGTTCGGATTTCAGCCAGCTTGGACGATTTATTGTACTAAAGCACAGTTAAAATCATAATATTTGAGATTTTACTAAAAAAATGTACGATTCTTTTTCCAAATTTCCTTTTTTTCTGGTTTAAATTATAAATCATAACATCACATTAGGTAATTCCATAAGTGTTGTTACCTATAACAACCATCCTGTACTCAGGGCCAAAACTCCTCTAACATACACAGAAATTATGAGTTGACAAATAAAAATGTAAGAAAACACCATAATTTTGTTGAAATAATAATAAAGTAACAGAAAAATGTGTTTCTTGTTAATTATGCTGAACTTTTGGACAAAATTCTCCCTAGTGTGCCAAGTCAATATGGAACACTAGAATTGAATTTTCTAGTTCTTGTAATTTCCTACATATTTTTCAACTTTCTTTCCAAATTGCTTCATGATTTGTGTATTTGTGTAAATTTTAAGAATCATCAAAACCTGTCATATGCACTTAAATGCCATTGATCTAAAGTTATTATGTTTTTTGTGTTAGGTGACTGAGGAGACACAGCAAAAGGTGGAGAGCATTGGATACAGCTGCACTTTACGAGGAGTTGTGAACGTGAAAGGAAAAGGAGAACTGACTACGTACTTTATCAATACAGACCACAGTGGATCAATATGAAAATGAATCAATATGAAGCCTGCACCCTGCCATTGCTACTACTATTGTGTGAAATACTATTAGGTTTAAAGGAACTGTATGTAACGTGCCCTCTTGAACCTATGTCCCCAGAGTCTTAACCTGCAGATAGAGGACACATACAAGTTTATTTTAAATTTTACATCATATCAATTGTTTTTTTATTTTTTATTTTTTTATTATTAAGAATAAATCTGAATTAATGTTGTTATCAGTAAAAGCTATATTTGACTTGAACATGTTTACCTCGTATCTGGGGACACAGTTATGTTTTTATGGAATTTGAAATAGAAATCTCACATACAGTTCCTTTAACTCAGGATTTATGAAGAAGACTGTCTACAACAACTTCTACTGTGACCACTAATATCAGCTTTAACTCTTAATGTGAAGTAAATGTCATCCAATGCACTGCTACAACTATAACTAGAAGAACTGCCATTTAGAACTAGAAAAGCACTCAGAGAGCGCAGACCTCCGCCAAGGACTACCCCCATTTTTTATATAAATTGCGATAAAATCAGTCTTCTGGATCAGATCCGGATCAGCCTTTGGAATATGAAAGAGGATCCCATTGTCCATCCCTGAGTCAAATTTCATGGGGTTTGGTCAATAATTAACCGAGATATTGAGAAACAAAATTTTTGGCCCCATTTACCACAATGTTAACTAAAATTTCAAAGTGATCCAGAATCCAGGATTTCTTCCAGATCACCCCCAAAATGAAATAAGTTCTTCCTTTTCACATTTCCAACAAATCCTGAAAATTTCATCAAAATCGGCCCATAACTTTTTGAGTTATGTTGCTAACAGACAAACAAACAAACAAACAAACAAACAGACAAACGCCGGCAAAAACATAACCTCCTTGGCAGAGGTAATAAATAGAACAGGCTACAGTTAAAGGTGCACCATGTAACTTTTTGGTTGGGGTCCGTCACCTGCTTGTTTCTATGGATTCTGACTGTGTGCGAGGTCTCCTATCCACTGATCTGACCTGTAACTTGGTCTGGTTTCGTCTTCATGCTGATAGAAAGGTTTAATGCCATACTGTGAAAAAGTCCATACAAAGCAATAACATCTTTATGAAGAAAAGCATTTGACGGATCCTCCACAAAAAAAGTTACATGATGTACCTTTAAACCATTATTAATACTGAAAAACAAATTTTATTTTGAGTTTCCAGTTTCCAATTTGGGATAGACTGACAACACGGTTACTCATGATCTACATACTTACATACGTGGGTGAAGTGTCTTGCCCAAAGACTCAAAGACTGCATGCAGAAAACAAGCATACTATTATCACAAAAAATAATGAAACATATTCCCCATTACATTTTTTTACACTTGCTTTACATTTTCTTAAATGTAAACTTGACAGAATTTGCACTCTTAAGTCACAAAATATTTCAGAATGTTTAAACAATCTCAGTGTACAAAACTTGAAAGATATGACACTTTATAATACTGTAATGCATATAATGAAGTCTATTTTGTTGGATTCCTTGCTTTACTAATTTATTGCGATTTTAAAGGTCCTATATTATGCAAAATGGACTCTTGTGAGCTTTAAGCCATGTTATAACATTACCTCATCAAAAATGTACCTGGAGTTGTGTTTTGTTTCATTCACACATGTTTGTGTAACTTTATTGTTAGTCTGTCTACATTTCCAAAGATCAAAATGCTCTGTTCCACCTTGTGATGTCATGAAGCTGTATTTTTCAAGTTAACCTTTTTATTTTTAAGTAGAGATTGGCATACAGCTTCTAGTGAAGGTGTATGGAGTTTAAAAACACAGTGGCGCACTTCCTGTATCACCACATTACATCACAAGGTGTAACAGTGTTTTCCATTTGAGAGAAGAACTCATCTTAAATATGAAGTACTTGTGTGTTAAGCATTATGTGAATGAGTCAAAACACATGATGAGGAAACAGCATTATAACGTAGTTCAGAAAATAGCGTAATATGGGCCCGTTAAATGGTACGAAAGGTAATGTTGAAGAATGTATATAAAACTAAAGATTGTACATATTTATTTTGAAATCTATGTTTGCAATTTTTGTAAATACTTATATAGTAAATAAATATAGTTTTTAAATGTTGATTATCTATTCAAATTATCTATCATTCATTCCTCCTAATATGACTTTTGTATTATTTTGTATATATTTATTGCTATTGATGTCATCAGCATTCCCTGGGGTATGGGTCTAAATGAAAGCACTGCTCTGTTAGAAACTTTAGACTTAATCTGAGCTTTATTTTAACACAGTCTGTTCAGAAAAAGTTGACCTGGTTGGTACAACTGCTGAGATTATTTGTGCGCTTAAACAAGTCTCTCACGCTTAAAAGTCCAGTCACAAGCCAGCTAGCTTTTTAAGTTAGTCACTTTCGCCTTTTTGTTGAAAATCAAACACCTAAACAAGACAATGAACCCTTGTTTTGATCATGGCCTCTTGAAAATGTGTTCTTTGAAATCCATTCTGTATTTTTTCTTGAGATTTCAGACCATGAAACATTTTTGGCTGTTTTACTGTGTGCATTGTGTCACCATGAGTACTGTTGAATATGTATGTGTATAGATAGAGATTAATGTAGAACACCCTGAGGGTAGTATATAAATGGAGCATACTTGGGTGACTAATACATTATTTTGAACAATGCAAAATATAACACTTTTTAAATACACTATGACATCATCCGTACATCCCCTCACTCTTTTTTTTCTGTCACTTTGAAGTTTTTATTTGACTTGAGTACAATTTTAACTACCCTTCCCCACCTCTAAATTAAATACTGAATCACATTGTAATTGCATAATGTAGTTTCAGTGAAAGTGTTTAATGCTAATCATAAACCAGTTCTTCATTAGTACAAACTTAATTGTCATACCTTGTTTATAACGCGGACCTATGGAATTTCCTCTTTACTTTTAGTCCCACCTTTCTCAATTCTGATTGGCTTTGATAAACTTTCCTCACTTCCTATTGGCTGTCGCTGCTGCCGGTCAAACCACTTCCTTGTTTCGTCCGGTTTGGTTTGTTTTGGAAGAGAAGTGCTTTCAAAAGTGAAGTTATCAAAGTTGGTAAGCCTAAATGTGCTCTTCTTCTTACGTTAATTTATGCAAATTACATGTTTTTAAAGCCTTAAAGTAGTTGTTAACTGAATGTGTGCTTTCGTAACAGTTTTAATTCAATGAAAAACCGTGGAACTTTACCTGTATTCTCATAAGGTGGTTGTCTTTACGCGTAGGTGTCATAACTTTTACTTGCTTTTGTTGCAGGGAAATGGCGAGATTACGTTCGCTGTGATATATCCAAACATTGAAGAAGTAAATAAAATAATAAAAAATGTCTGGGGAAATGAGGAGACGCCGACCTCCGAAGTATTATTTGGTGACTATCGATATGAAGGTGCGAGATGGTAATTCGGACAGGTCCTTTTGGGTACGGAAAGGGTTCATTTGCGTGGAGCAGGACAATGGCCCAAACCAGGGGGAATACCAGTGGGTTAAGGTAAATATCATGTTTCCTTTCGAAGTACAAAGTGTCCTGCAAACTTAGTATTCTATGTTAATTCATTGTGGGACTGCCCTACATGACTCAAAGATACAAGACACATGAGTCCTACTAGCTAATCATAATGGCAGTGAGGTCACTCTGTTGCCTCACACAAAGTTATTATTATTATTGTGTTGACACACGATCTTAAAAGGGCCATATTACGCAGTTTTCTGATTTATGTTAGAATATTGTTTCCTCATCAAAAGAACAAACAGAAAACACCCTGTTCCACCTTGTGATGCCATGTGGTAATACAGGAAGTGATAGACTGTATTTTTAAACTCTGTACACCTTCATGAAAATTATTTAAATAGTTTCAGCCCTGGAATTGCCATTCCTTCTTGAATAAAAGGTAAAAGGTAGGTGTTAACTTGAAAACTACCACTTCATGACATCACAAGGTGGAACTGAGTATTTTGAACTCTGGAGATATATACGGATTAATAATACAGGGTTACTCAAGCATGTATGAATGAAACAAAACATAACATTTAAAAATATAAAATTACACAACAACAATCTAAGAATGCACATATATCAAGTTAAATATAGTTATATCTTCCAGTCTCCTCTCTTAATAGGAAACACAATCACTGATAAAGCAGTAATCAAAACAAGAATGCATTATTCTAAGGCATTCTGGAGAAAGTACAAATATTTACAATTGAATTAATGTACAGTTGGATAAATATGTAAAATGCCATACTGTGGAACATAAGAGGCAAAACAACATTTCCATGGAGAAAAGCAAGTATAGGACCCTCTAGCCAAAATCCCTCTAGCCAGGCTTTTGGACTACTGAAAAAGAATTATAGTATTAAAATATGAACAAAGCAGGTTTCTATTGATACTTTGCAAGGGCATCCCCCGGAGGTGTTCTGCATGGATCTTGTATGCATGTAAACACAAAATTGAGCAGCACAATTTCAGGAGCCTGTAATCCAGGGTGTTCATGGTCCTGTTTAGGTGTTTCAACAAAAAAGGTGTGAATGACTAACTGAAAAACCTTTGGCTACTGCTAGCTAGCTTGTGACTGTAATTTTATGTTTTTATGAGAGACTTTTGTAACAGTACAAATCAGCTCACCTCTTGTAGTTCCAGCTAAATTAGTTCTTTCTGGTCAGATTGTCTGTTAGATCTGAGTTTTCTTTTAACACAGTGTAGTGCCTACAGATAGCTTCACACCCCCAAGGAATGTTCTTGATGACATCAGCTGCAAAGTATCAATAATGAAAATTAAAGTAAAACATATTGTATAATACACCATGCAGTGTAAGGAATTCCTATTACTTTCCCTTGTGGATCATTAGCTTTTTCTAAGAATGAAGACAGTCTTGAAGTGGGATTCTCTTTAAGTATCTAAAACCCCGATACCCCTCTGCTCCTCGGGTCTGTCTCTTGTGCAGGTGCTGGACCTCAGAGCTACACTAAAACTGGACAGGAAGTATCTGCTGGAGATGACACCAGACTTGGGCGGTTTATTGGAGCCGGTGGACCCAGAGCAGCGCTTCAGACTCATTGGTAAAAACTGATCTGAATGAGCCAGCAATAAATGAATGAAAGATTTTACATGAGAGCACATCAGTGTATCTTGTATGTGGATGCTTTTAAACAAAATAAATTAATTATAAATTACTACTTTATGCTACCTCTCCATAAAGGCTGAATCTGCTAAGAGGAAAATATAATTGTATTTTGATATTAAGGGCACTGCGGGCATGAAATTATTATTATTATTTTTTTTAATATTCTACATAATCAAAATCTTGATTTAGTAGAGTTTTAACACCAGCTTTAAAAGATATCCATTCATGGTTGTGAAACCCTGCTCTGGATCACTCAACATCTAGATTGTTTCTTTAGTATCAGTGCTAGTCTGTTGTTTGTGCTGGTTGTGTTGCAGATAACCCGGAGAAGCTGACCCAGCTGGCGACTCTGCCTGAGGGCACTCCTCTATGGGTCACCATGGGAACGGCTGATCTGGCCGAGGCTTGTCTTAGATACATCGGACCTGTGTCCTCTGGGAGCTCTGCCATCTACTTTGGAGTCCAACTCAAGGTAAAAGTGATTTTGTTCTGGTTAAATCTTAGTTTAATCCCAATTTTGATGTGGTGTTGTTCAAGTGGAAACATACACCTACAAGGTCAAGGTTAGATTTATTTGTACAACATATTTCCAACTACCAACACTCCTCACAGTGCTTCTAGCAGTGAGATAGAAAACTACTAAACAGACCAGTGAGTTCAACCTCCAGAATACCCTCATTGAGCTGCAGAGGCTGCACTAGCACATTATTGTCTGCAGGTGTTGGGGTTTAGGTAGAGACCATTCAGATCAGAGAGAGACATTTTAGAGACACTGGATTTCAGCTTTGAAACTGGCGACCCAAATGAGAGACTCATGTGAGACTCATTCTACTTTCTGATTAGATAATTGTCTTGAGAACCAAAACACCAAATTATAACATAATAACTTGGCCATGTCATGTCCAATGTCATTATAATTAAGAATGAACCTGCATTAGAATTGTTATCTGCAAAAGCTGTATTTAATATGAACATGTTTACCTTATGTCTAGGGATGAAGATCAGTCATAGAATTTGAAATACATATTCTAAATATATCCATTAACCTCTTTGCCTCCTCAGGGCTCTGCTAAAGGCCGGGGTTTGAGTGACGGTTCTTACAATGGGCAGCAGTTATTCCTGTGCCCCGAAAACTGTGCCCTCTTCGTCCCCGTGAGTCACATTCAGCAGAGACAGTGGTCCAGATCCGCTCGCAATGAAATCCCCCACGACCCTAACCACTCCAGGGTCAGACGCCACGCCAGCCGCCCCAGCAACGGGACCAGCAATCACAGGTGGGGAACAATAATAATAATTGCATCAAAATAGAAATATCAATGGTCACGATTAGGAAATTGTAAAGACATTATTGAACTTTTATTAGGGGTGTTTTCTTAATTGTGCATTGAGTTTCCCTAGTAAACATGAACATTCCATTGTAGAGATCATAGACTTTATAAAAAAGTTGATATGAATATTTTAAGGCCAAAGTGATGAGGCTGACTGCAGGTAGAGATACAAGTCTTTAGTTGACTACAGCCCTAATTATTATTTCTACCCCTCTCCTGCAGCAATCACCATAGTAATGGTCACCAGGACAAACCCTCCAGACGTATCAGCATGCACCCAGCCCAGCACGTGGCTCCCAAACCCGGCTCTCCTCCGACCAACCTCCCCCAGATCACAGACCCTGCCCTCACCTCCAGAGGGTCCACACCCTCCGGGGCTCTCCAAGCAGGCCAGAGAGTCCAGGTGATCGTTGATGACACACCCCGAGCGGGCGAAGTGCGCTGGTGTGGCCTCCTCCCTGAACGGCCCACGGCAGGGCTCTATGTCGGAGTACAATTGGTTAGTGTCCATACTAGTGGTCAGTTGTTGGGTATCAAGGGACATCACAACATTATACAGTGTAATGAATTGACACTTTACAACTGATGTCATCAACATTCCTTGGGGTGTGACTGTTTAAGACTTTAATTTGAGTTCTATTTTAACACAATCTGACGTTAAGGAACTGACTATAACTGAACTAGGTGAGATAATTTGCACTTAAATAAGTCTCTCAAGCTAGCTAGCATTAGCCAAGAGTTTTTCTCACCTTTTTTGTTGAAAAGTAAACTTCTAAACTCGACTATGAATGCTTGTATGGTCACAGGCTCCTGAAAATGTTCTGTTTGAATACATTTTGTATTGATTCTGGAGTTTTCAGACTTAAGTCTTTTGATCTTAAACTTTTGGATGTGTTTGCTAATGTGTCCGTTGTATCTCCATGGTAACTGCTGAACATTCTGCCAATAGAGAAACCTGTAGAGAAACATGAACATGAGGACAGGTCAGAATTCAGTGGTGCAATTTGCTGTTTAGATTTCAGATTTGTTGACCTGATATATGGCTAATATCTGTATTTTACTGGCCCTATCCACATAAAACAAAAACTGGCACAATGTCTTATCTGTTAGTATAAATAAATCAAAACAAATTTATGTTTACATAATAGCTTCATAAAGTGGTGCCATTATTAACCCATAAAAGACGTGATTGTTGTCAGCTGAACGGACTTTAAGCCTTTAAGCTTTAAGATTAATATGACAAGTTTATGGACCAAATCCATTCAGTGCAGTACTTATGGTTTCAGTTTGGATATTTGTATATGTAGAGTCACATCCATCTGAAAATATAGCAACCTTTTCTTAAGAAAAATTTTCCAAAGACTGTAGTTTTTATTTAGGTAATACAGTTTTCTCTGCATGCTGCCCTTTCTCCATGGGGCATTATTCTCTCTCAAAAAAAGCTTCTAAGCCTGTAGTTTAGACCTCTCCAAACATGTTCTAAAATGTCCCTGTATATCAGATGCCCTTCTTGTGTATCAGATGCCCTCCCCGTTTCTCCTTGGGGGTCTTATTTTGTGTAAAAGTTGCTTCTACAAACATGTTCTGAAATGCCTGAGATTCTTGGAGTACTTTAAACTTATATAATTATATATATATATATAATTGCAATTATATGTGTTCTAAAATATGTTTTGTGTCATTAGGATGAGCCAGTGGGAAATTGGAATGGTTTGTATGCTAGGCAGAAGCTTTGCACTTTTACAACAACTGAGCATGGGACACTACAGCCAATCAATAGAGTGACTGCTGGTAAGAAGCCTACCTCCTCTGCTCCATCTGCCCCTCTCCTCTACATCCTCTGCTCCTCTAACCCTCTCATCCATCTGACCCGCTCTGCCTTCATTCCTTTTTATTATTATGTTTAAATTATGAATGAAATTATTTGGAGTAGCATTTGCAATTATGCACCAATATTTAGATAATGGCACATCTGCTTGTCTCCATGGTTATGTTATTGCTTTACTATTTAATGCCATATTGTGGAACATTCCAGGCAAAGCAGTAACATCATGGAGACGAGCACGTGGCAGAACCATTTTCAGAAATTTTACATGGTACACCTTTAAAAACATTCACAATTTATGGTATCTTTCAAGTTCTGGATCCAAAACCGAACCGTCTCACCACATCCACCCAAGCCATCAAGTCCATGCTTAAGAATGCGCTGCCCCCTAGTGTCCAAAAACTATCCACAAGCCCAACCTCGCAAGCACCACCTGTCCTGATGACAGCTCCTGCAACAAGAACTGCCCTAATGCCCCCAAACAAGACCAAACAGCCCCCCTTACCACCCCCAAAACCTGGTGTTAAGCCTTTACCACCCGTGCCTCCTCCCAAAATAAACAGCCCTGGAAATCCCACTGAAACGGACCAAATATCATCAGTGAATAACAGTGTCCCCAGTCCACTGATGCCTCGGCGGGTCCAGGAGGATCCAGAAGAGGTAGGGGACAATGTGGTGGAGCATACCCAGGAAAAGGTGCAGCGGAGCAGGGTGGAGCTTGGGCTGGAGCTGGGGTCGATGGTGGAAGTGAACAACCCCCCTCTGTACGGAGTGATCAGGTGGATCGGACACATCCGTGGAATACGTGACAGTGTGGCTGGAATAGAGCTGGTATGGGCATTTTAATATTGATTCTTTTATTTAAAGGTACAGTATGTACTGGAGGTGGCACGTTACCTGCATGATTCCATGAGAATAGAAAATTAAAGCCACACTTTGTGGAGACAGATCAGCATTTGCCACCTGAAGAACTTTTGTTTTATTAATTATATTGAATTAATTTCAGTGTAAAATGCCCCATGTGTGATTTCAGGAGCAGGAGCTGTCTGCGGGCACAGACGGCAGTTACCTTGGAGAGAGATACTTTCAGTGCGCTCCAAACAAAGCTCTATTTGTGAAGCTGAGGAAATGCAGACGAGACTCACGCTTTCCTGAGCCAGAGACACCTGTCAATCAAGTGGAACGCTGCAACTCCATAGGTACAAACAGGCACTAGCACTTAAGTAAGATCCACGATGGCTTTGTGGTGCTCTTTGTTATATCTGTTTTTCTTTTGTTTTTGTTTTTTTGTAAATTGTGTGTCAACCTGCTCTCACACCCATTAAGCATTAGAACAGAACAACTTCTCCTATGGGCTTTTTAGCGCCTGCAGCAGAGTCAGTGCACCTTTTAGTCAAAAGAGTGAGGCGATGTGGATGTGGAAAAAGAGCCTTTGTGCTTGTGTGCCTTTGTAGACGGGGCACACATACGCTCTTACCTGATGATGAGAAAAAACAAGGCCTTCTCTTCCTTTTGTGTTTTGCATTTCACGGAGACGTGGCCCGTGCACAGATCACATAGTCCAAGGGATTCCACTCCTCCATACAGACAGGGGGCCTCTCTGGAGGGAAAATAACAGGCGGGGGGTGTTTCTACATCAACAGCACAGGGGTCTGATGTGATGTGATCCCAACACTGCCATCCTTCTCTGGAACATCTCTTCATAAACCATAAGCCGTTTTACTTCCTGCTTGAGTTTGCTTCATTCATTCTGTTTACATACCACTGAGCTGGACGAGGCTCAGTTCGCGCTCACGGACGAGGCTCAGTTCGCGCTCACGGACGAGATACTGTTTGTGGAGTGGACATTTCCCGTCAATTTCATGTCAATTTCATGTCAATTTCTTATCAATTTCTTGTCAATTTCCCAATTTCCCATCAATTGTCAAATTCCCGACCAGAGCTGGGAACTCACTGGATCACTGTCACACTACATTGTGTACCTCTCAGATCACATCATGGTCCACCTTATCAGACAGAGGCTGAAGCTCTCCAAACCTGTAGTGACGTCCTCTAAGAAGTGGACCAGTGAGACTGTGGAGGAATTCCACACGTGTGAACACTACAGACTGGGATGTGTTCAAGGCTGTTACAAATAGTAGCAGTACTATGACATCGAACATTCAACTCTGTGAAGACAGTATCATCTGTGACATTGTAAGATGGTCTTTGCCACCAAAAGATACTTCTGTATATTCCATACAGAGGATCTCTGTGTAGATACTGCTCCTGTTTTATTTCAAAGTCATAGACTTTGAGTTAATGAAAGTAAATTAATATGACCAATGATGCCCTGGGGCCGATACTATCTATGTTCCAATGAGCATAATAGTAATAATACTAATCATACAGATAATTATATAATTGTAATTAATTACACACAGGCATGGTTCAGGGACAAGGCTGCAGCTGATCCATGGTTTGTCTCTTTAGCCTTTGCAGAGTGGGGCAGTGAACGTGTTGAAGACCTCACTCCTCCAGTAGAGGGCGATGAGGCGCGAGAGCTGTATCAAGGCTGGAAGAGAGGCATCCAGGGTCATCTGAACTCTTGCTACCTGGATGCTACGCTCTTTAGGTGAACTATATGCAAACACAATAGGATTCTAATATCTTAAGGAAGACATAGTATGCTTTTTCTAGTATTTAGTTTTAAACTGTAATGTACATAGATCATTATTTCACATAGTGTTTGGTGTAGACCCTCCTCTATAGTGGCATTTCTCTGTAACAAGCAGCAGATTTTCATTCATGTATTTTTATATATATATTTTTACAACACTGAAGATTGAACTTACATCAAACAATAAGTGTGGCTACAATGCAAATGGTAGTACAATACTCTTTATGAGCATTCTAGTCTCAGATGTAGGACAATACAAGATGACTCTAACACACACAAATCACTCAAAATACAACTCTGAGTAAAATAACGATGAAGGAACATTATTATGAGTCATAAAGTTGATTTTGCTGAATACATCCCTTTAATTCACATTTTCTGCCTGTCCAGTCTGTTCTCTTGCTGCAGTTCGGCGGATTGGGTTTTATTTTGGCCGATTGATGCCGAAAAGAAACAGAGCTCCAGTCAAGCTCAAGATCTGCTCCGCTGTGAAATTGTCAACCCGCTGAGAAGGTCTGTTAAAATATATTATGTCACTAAAGCTGCACCATGTAACTTTCCACTTGCTTGTTTCCATTAGTGTTGCCACAATACTAAAATTTCAAACTCGATTGCGATAGTAAGGAATAGACTACAATACTCAATGACTCAATACCAATTAAAATACCAAGATGATAATACATTTATTTAGAATGTGATTTTCAGCATTAAATCATAGTACTTTCATTTATATTCCCATTTGCTCTTATATTTGTGTAATCCCTCAGTGGTCCATTTAGGTTATGTCTATGTTATGTCTATGTGCTTTTATACTTGTTCTGATACAGCTCAAATTCATTCTAAGGCTATTCAGGAAAGGAAAGGTTAATTTCTCTCCTGTGAATGTGACAGGAAGATTCCAAAAAGAAGTCTTCAATGTGTAAAAAAATATTGCTTTGTTTTACAGATTTGGTTATGTTTGTGCCAGTAAGACCATGGCTTTGCGGCGACTCTTGGAAGCGGCCAATAGTGACACAGGATTCACAAATCAGGAAAAAGGTGCCGTCCAGAGTCCAGTTTTATTTTTATGTTTTTAAAGGCACTGTACCTGATTTCATAACTAGTTAACTTTAAAGGTCCTATATTATGCAAAAATGGCTGAATGTTGTTACCTTCTCAGAAACATACCAGGAGTTGTGTTTTGTTTCATTCATACTTGTTTGACGAACCGTTTATTATCTACATCTACATCTCCAATGCTCAAAATGCTCTGTTCCATCTTGTGATGTCATGTAACAGTAGTTTTCAAGTTAACAGCTCCTTTTACCTTTAGCTCAGTAGAGAATGACAATTTCGTGTTTGAAATTATCCAGAATATTCTAGTGAAGGTGTATGGAGTGTTTTCTATTTGAGAGAAAAACTCAAGAACAAAATGCAGGATTTGTGTATTAAATATGTGTGAATGAAACAAAACACGACTCCGGGTATGTTTTTGACAAGGAAAGAACATTATAACATACTGTATATCAGAAAATAGAGTAATATGGGATTTAATATGGGACAGTTTCCTTTTAACATTCACTGTGTTGAGTTAATACATGTTTTGCTGCTTCCCCTTATAACAAAATACAAAAATACTGCATATCTTCATAAGTTCACAGTCATTGGGATCTGACTTTAGAATGCTGTCTTTCTGCTTTTTCAGACCCAGAGGAATTTCTCAACAAGCTTTTCCAGCTCCTCACGGTTGAGCCACTCCTAAAGATCAGGTAAGTGTCTCAAACTACCCATGGTCATAATCTGTCCGCCCAGCACACTTTCTATTTCAAGTGGAATTGCTGAATTGTAAATGTTAATGGTAATTAATGTCCAAGGGTTTAGCATTTTGAAGGTGCATTGTGTAACTTTTCTGGTAGAGGTTTCTCTTAAATGCTTTTTTCCACAGAAATGTTATTGCTTTGTCTAGAATGTTTGCACAGTGTGGTATTAAAGGGACAGTCTGGAATTTTGGACATAGGACCTCATTTCCTAGTTAGCCAGAGTACTGGAGACGTGTGGAGACATATGGAGATACGTTACGATAAGTGTTAAACGCACCCAGTGTGATGTCACAGCAAAGTATCAAATAGTATCTAATAGAGTAGAAATACTGTCAATGTGCTGCATTATCACAGTTTTTGAACTGGCTATTTGATGTTTTGCATGTTGTCTTCTATTTTCGTGTATTGTGTTGCATAAAAAATCTTGTATTCATTGTTTACAAAACTTTTTATTAATACATAATAAGCATGCTTATGAACTCACATCAAATCACATTTACTGGTAAAACTGAAGCCACAATGCTGCACAATGTTTTAAATTTAAAATAAAACTTTTTTTTAAGTGTAGAAATGAGGGCAATTTAAAGATGCATTGCGTAACTGTCCATAAAACGCTTTTCTCTGTGGAGATGTTTTTGCTTTGCTTGGAATGTTTCACAGCGTGGTATTAAACTTTCAGTCTTCATGGAGCCCAAACCAGACCAAGTTACAAGTCAGATTTGTGGAGAGGTGACCTCACTCACAGTCAGAATGTCTGTTTTTGGAGGTATTTCTGAGCTATAAAACAACCTGTATTTGAATAAATGTAAGTTAGAGCTGTTTAATGTCATACTGTGGAACATTCCAGGCAGAGTAACGACATATCCATAGAAACAGAAGCAGGTGACAACCCCCCCATCCAAAAAGTTATATAGTGTACCAATTTAAGTGTGAAAAAATGACAAAAGTTTTGAAACTTCATCTCTTCTCAGGTCCATGTCCCAACAGCCTCAGGAGTGTCACCTGTACCAGCTGTTCCCTCCATCTCTGGCCCCCTCTCCTTCCTCTCTGCCCCAGGACGATGCTCCTCACTCCCCCATCGCACTGCTGTCGCCCCCTTCTGGACGCATGAGGGTCTCCAGTGTCCAGTCCCTGCTTGAATCCTCTTTCTACCACTCACGCCTCAAGTTTGTCGAGGTCAGTCCACTTTAAAGTGGAACTATATGCTGAATCAACTGTGAATATGGTGTTTGAATAGCACTGTTTGCTGTTCCTAGTCATTTTGGTGCAAACTAGGTCAATTTACTTTCCTGGTAGTTCTCCAGACTGACATCTATCTGTATTTTTCATATAAATTTATTTCACTCTGGTCCCCACGTTCCTTTTTGCATCTCGAGCCAGAACCAAACATGGCTGTCCAATCAGATTTATTTATTTAAGCGACGCATGTGAAACGAAGGAGCTCATTGGTCATCTGTCATTTACAAATAGTATTTCATTTCTCTCACCTCAGATTTACAAAGGTTATTGCTTCTCTGCAGAAATTTGCCATGTTTTTCAGTCCCCTGTGATATTTTTTTTCTATTTTTTTCCAATTCAAACAGGTGGCTGATCCACCTGTCAATCACAGCCTTTTAAAAACTGAGATATTCACCAGTGACCAAACTCACATCTTTGTAAATTATTGGAGAAGTGTGTATTCTGGATCACAGGCAACCTATTTGCAGCTTAGTGGTTAAAAATGTATAAAAATGGGTGTGTCCTGGCTCCTGAGGTCACTGTGATTTCAGTTTCATTACAAAACTAATTTAGCTCACTATTAACATTAGTAAAATACAATAAAATGTCCTGTTTGCAAATACATAATGATTTCCTCCAAGTATTTTATTTATTCTTTATTTCAGACACAGACATTATTCAGTCCATAGTTAAAAGGAAAAACTGGATACAAAAAATATACAAGGCACCCAAACCAGTCCATAAAGTTCATTAAAAAGTGTAGAGTTTCTGTGCCCAGTGCTTTCTCAGAGCAAAGGTGTAAAGGCATGAGCTCATTTGAGGATTGGTCAAAGTCTTTATGATGGAGTCTTCAGACATCTCCAGGTGCTGCATAAATGTGTACATTAAATGTCTAAGCAGTGCTTCACACGTGGGGATGTGAGCGTTCACAAACAGTTGACTGGCACTGTATTCAAAACATTATGTGCAGGTAGATTTTCACTGATGACATCAAAACTATGAATGCATTTCTTGGCCTTCAGTGAGCTTCATGATTCATTCTCCTGAATTGGTTTTCACTTCACAGCTTCACAGTGTTTTGGTTTGCAGAGCTGTCGACAAAGCAAACGGTGGCTACTTTGAGGATTTGAATATAAAACAGAAAAAATATTTAGTTGACTTCATTCAGTTTTTTTCTTTGCTACATAATTCCATATAATTTGCTTCATATATTTGATGACTTCCGTACATATATAAAATGTGGGAAGTAGTAAACAGAAGAAAAAAGCATTGAATGAGAGGGTGTGACCAAACTTTTGATTGGTAATTGTAATAATAATAATAATAATAATAATAATAATAATAATAATTATATTATTATATTATTATTATTATTATTATTATTATTTATTATTATTATTATTATTTTTAATTAATTAATTAAATTAAAATTTTGAGTAAAATGAGTAAGGACTACAGACAATTTCAGACTCCCTGAAAGCAACTTATACCTCCTTTGTCCTTTGTTCTTTTGCACAGGCTCCTTCTTGTCTCCTCCTGCTGATGCCCAGGTTTGGAAAAGACTTCAAAATGTACGACGCCATCTTGCCTTCACTGAGTATCGACATCACAGACCTCATCGATGATAGTATGACAAATCCAAATATATAAAGTGCATATGTAAAGTGTTCATGTTTTTCTAATTACTTTGTCTTGTTTTGGTTTGGCTGTAGTTGTGGGCAAAAAATGTATTATATTTTTACATCAGTTAAGCATCAGTTTGTGAAACTATGTTGAAAATTGATACTTTGCATCTGGTGGCATCAACATTACCTGGGGGTGTGATGCTAACTGAAAGCACTGTTGTGTCTGAAGCTATGTTACTCTCGCTAGACTTTAATTTGAGCTGTCACACATAAAATGGCAGTCACAAGCCCAGCAGTTTTTCAGTCACTCTTCATCTTTTTGTTGAAAGTCACACTCCTAAACAAGAGCAGGAACACTCGTATTGATCACAGGCTCCTGAAAATGTGCTGTTTAAATCCATTTTGTATTTTTTTTCTTGAGTTTTCAGACCATCTTAAAGCTTTTTTGTCTGTGTTTGCTAATGGATGCATTGTGTCACCATGGTAACTGCTGAATATAATATTCCGCCATTAGAACTACATGTAGAACATTTCCGGCACGATGTCACTGCAAAGTATCAATAAACTTCACAACAATTGTCAAATTTGTAAAAACTAGACAAGAAGCAACTTTTTAAATGTAATTAATAATGTTATTTATGTTTCAGTGAAATGAGTAGTGTCTTTATTTAAATATAATAATTGAGTAATCTGACATTGTGTCTGCAGCTCTGAGGCAGTGCAGCATCTGTGAGTCTGTGGCCGAGTGGGAGTGTCCTCAGTGCTACGATGACCCTGACATAACACCTGGGCATCTCAAACAGTACTGCTCCACATGTAACACCCAGGTACAACACCCCGGACATCTCAAACAGTCACAGTTATCATGGCTAAATAACTGAAATAATATCACAATAAATATTGAAATAGCTTTGTCAAGCTCTCACCTTGATCTTTCTCTGTATTTACAGGTGCACAGTCATAAGAAGCGCTCGGCCCACAGCCCTCTGAGTATAGCAGTGCCACAGGAGCTCCACAGCGCCCCCCTCCGCTGCACAAGGCAGCGCATGTCTCTGTTCGCTGTCACCTGCATCGAGACCAGTCACTACGTGAGCTTTGTGCGCCACAGTGCCGCCCCTCAGGACTGGCTGTTCTTCGATAGTATGGCCGATCGCGAGGGTGAGAGGGTCTGGATTTATTATTCTGAACACAGGTTTAGATAAGACACTGTCTAAATCAGTAATGATTCTCTGGGCAAATTAACCACTTTAACAGTATCAGTTGTATCATTTTTATGACAGATTTGAGAATCTATATGTAAATTTATATCAATATAAATTTCACTATACATTTTTATTTCATTGATATGTAAAATTTTAACTCATGTTTTTAAAAAATATTTGAATCGCAAACTCTTGATGTCTGAAGACCCAAAACATTCTGTGGTGTTGGTGAACACGGTAGCAGCCCAATGCAGCACTTTCCTCCATGGAAGAAATGGCTTGTTTTGATTGGTTTGGAGCAGATCGGATTGGGATCCCTGCGTCATCTTCAAACTGTCACTGTATCACATTTACCTGTTTGTTTTTTGTGTTCCAGGCGGTGAGAATGGCTTTAACATTCCGCGGGTGAGGGCGTGTCCAGAGGTTGGGCGGTATCTCAGCCTATCGGAGGAGGAGCTGGGGAGAGTAGACCCCGCTTCCTTAAAAGAGTCTGTGAGGAGACTTCTGTGTGACGCTCACATGTGTTTGTACCACAGCCCTGAGCTCAGCCTGTACAAGTGACAACAAAACCATACAGAAAAAATATGGTTATAATGAGTTATCTATGAGGTTTCAGAATGATAATTAGGACTGTTACCATAGTGACCAACAATTTAAAGGACCTGTACCTGATTTCTGACATTTTAGCCCTGCCTACTTGTCTTTTCTTCTGCTGTGATATTGCACCATGACACAGAAATTACTATATGTTTCAAGGACAGTTGTTGTCCGTATAGTTTTCAATCTCTGCTACTGTTGATACTTTGTAGTGACATCTATATGTATGTCTAAAGGTGGAACTTTCAAGAGTTTTAAGAGTAACTGTCTGATAGTGTCAGTCCATTGGTTTCCCATAGTTCTTAGCAATAATGTACCTGACAGGATGAAAATGTGTAGTCTTTATTATGTTCTTTATTTAGCAGCTTATACCAAATAATATAAGATCATATATCATGACTACAATACATTCAAATCAGTTACAGGCCCTTTTCAAACTAAATATCATATTTTTTGAATAGGTAAGTCCTCAAAGCGTTGCATGTAACAGGAAGATGAACCCCATGCATAGCCAGGTCTTACCTAAAGGTAGGCGGGGTGAAAGTGAGTGACAGGTGGATTTAACCAATCACAGTGAAGTGTGAACTCTTACAAGAAGCAGAGGGTTTTACTTACCTCTTAATGGTCTTATATTACACAAAATGGACTCTTGTGAGCTTTATGTTATAATGCTGTTACCTCCTCAAAAACATACCTAGAGTTGTGTTTTGTTTCACTCACACATCTTTTTAGTAATCCTGGTTCATTATTCTGTCTACATCTCCAAAGCTCAAAGTGCTCTGTTCCACCTTGTGATGTCATGTAGTGATAGTTTACAAGTTAACAGCTCCTTTTACCTTTTATTCAGAAGGTGTATGGAGTTTAAAAACACAATGGAGCACTTCCTGTATTACCACATGACATCACGAGTGTTTACCATTTGAGAGAAGAACTCAATACATTGGATTTGAGTGTTACACGTGAAGCAATGAAGCAAAACACAACTCCAGGTGTTTTTTGTTTTGTTTTTTTTTTTTTTATACGGAAATAACATTATAACAGACATCAGAAAATGGCGTAACATGGGCCCTTTAAATTAAACATAAAATTGTTAATTGTGCATATAAACAAATAATTAACTTCCTTCTTTTTACACAAAGTAAACAGTGCCTTGGTTTATCATATTTGTTTTCTGTTCACTAAAATCTGCCTTGTTTAAAATTGCACTAAGAATAACTACAATGACAATCACTATATCTATGCATAAAAACACATGTGCAGTGTACCATTTAAAAGCTGCTATTATTTCATAGTGCCTTGGTTTGTAAATAAATAAAATGTGTACAATTTACAATGATGTAAATAAGCTTTAACTAAAGATTGACAAACTCTAAGCAAACTGTGCTCAGCTTTGGGTGGACTGTTCTGGCTTTGAAAGTAAAATTTTCCCTATAAACTTTTAAAATTGCACTGTGCAGCTTTTCTGATGGATCCAGTCTATTCTCAGAGGAGATGTTATTGGGGTTTTATTTTGTTTTTTTTGCCTGGGATGTTCCACAGTATGGCATGGAAACCTATTTATCTCCATGGAGATGACCAGATCATGCCGCCCACTAAGTTGAGCAAAAAAAAAAAAACCCTCTAATTGAATACATGCATTTTAGGTATAGTAAAAAAAAAATTAAAAAAAAACATACTATGGGACATTCGAGGCAATCGCATCTCCAGGGAGACAAGCAGATTTTGGACCCCACATCAGAAAAGTTACGTAGTGAACCTTTCAAGACATTATTGGAGTTATAAGTTGAGTAGTGTCAATGATTAATTTGCAATTTCTTATTCTGTGTAAAAGCGCTAAATCTGGTAGTTCAGATGTCCTCCCCTGTATGTCGGATGCCCTCCCTGTGTCTCCATGGGGTCTTATTCTGTGTAAAAACTGCTTACCCTATAGTGTAGACCTCTACAAACATGTTCTGAAATGCTTTCTTGGATTAGTTAGGCAGTTCAGATTTCAGTCTTCTTTCAAATGAATGAATTTTACTTTCTCACCCAGAATATTCCACCCACTGTTGAACTCTTTTGCGGCAGCAGTACTGTTTTATATTTCCTGTTTTCACCTCTGCGCCTTCTCTGTCCACAAACTGTTGTGAAAGTGATGAATGCCTGACAGATTTGCACTATTTTTACATTTGTATTTGTTTGTAAAAAAAAAAAAAAAAAGAGAGAAATGAAGAAACACAATGTGAATTCTACACACAGCATTTATAAACTGTTTATATTACAGCCATATGAACTAAACTGAGCTAATAAAGGCTCTTAATACTTTTTAAACGTCCCTGTTGTTTTTGTTAAATGTACACAGTTTAATTTTTCCGGTTATATATCAGATGATAGCTTGCTCCATGGGGATGTGGCTTTGCTTTGCCTGGAGAATTCCACAGTATGGCATTAAACCTCTAAATTTGCACCTCCAAGTGGCAGCACCAAGTTATATGTCAGATCTTTAGAGCGGGGAACCTACTCTTAATTTAAATATTTTCAAAGATGATTTGTACTTTTGAGCAATACTGGGCAATATCAGAATTATTTTGTGTTCTATTATTTTATCAGTTACCGTGATCATAAGTCATTATGAGTGGTTGTTTATTTATTTTCATTTATTCATTCATTCATAGGAATATATGTTTAGGGCTGCAAAAGTAATCATTATTGCAATTTAAATGGATGCAAATAGCAAATCTCAAAGAAGGTTTAGAAGCTCCACAATTTCTTTCCCAATAAAAACTAAATATCCTGTTTTATTCTGGTTAAAAGCTGTAGTTTAATTTTCTACAACAAAATTTAAATGAATACAATTATGAAATCACAAAGAATGCAATTTTAAGTAAGTACCATAATTTCCTCCACAAACAACAAAATCTCCTGTCTTATTTTGCATTAAAACCGCTAACCCTGTAATATACATCTGTAAAAAACATGCTCTGAAATGTGATTCTTAAGTTCACATTTCAGTTTTCTTTTTAAATCAATTCTTCTGGACGCGTTTAAAATGTGAACTTGGACATAATTCTATTGTTAAAACATAAAGCTCAAATCTAATTACACGTTTTCCCCACTTTGGCCGCTAGAGGGCGCGCAGTGCTCGTTTCCGCCTATGGTTTACGCAGATCTACGTCATCAGTACGAGCCCTGAGCTTGCGGCGCAGTGGGGGTCGACTTTTCTGCGCTTTTTTTTTTGTATTTTCCTCCCTTTTTCTGCCCTTTTAACGTTTTAATCTTCGCCATCAACGACAAACCTTTCAAATATTTCAGTTTTATGTTTAAATAAGGTAAGATCGTTGCATGAGAGCTGTTTAATGTGATTAAACAGCGCTGTTTTGCTTTAGCTTCGCAACACAAGCTTCGTGTTTTCAGCATAACATTATATAGTTATTTTACGTTAATCTTCAAACGTTTGGTCTATTTATGACAACGTTTTATTTAAATTATGTCTGATTTGAATGATATGATTGGAGTAAGTAAAGGAAATACAGTCTATTTTATATTTGCATATTTAGTGACAAGTGTAAATAATAAATAATCATACAGCTATTTGTTCCATGACGTGACAACTAACTTATTAACTAAATAAACCTGTCAGTGGGGTAAGTTTAACCATGACCTCCTATTTGAGGTTAAATTAGATATAAAGAAGATTTTACGTATTTAAACAACCCAGAAACATCTTGAAGTAAAATTCAGACGTTTTAAAACTATAATAACAGCCTGAAAAAACTTTATTCAAGTAATATTCCTTTTGTTCTGTGTCAAATAATATTTATTTATTTATTTATTTATTTTTGCAGCTGTGTTCCTGAGGGGAAACTTTACATTACGTTGCCATGGCGTCTCCAGGGGGACAAGGCGGAGCTCTGTCCATGCGAGAGAGAGGAGCTGGAGCGGGCAAGAGAATGAAGTGGGCTTTGGAGCTTAGCATGGGCAACACAAGGTACTGAAACAGGACTAGAGCCATGGACTAGACCAGCATGGGAAAACAGGTAGTGAAAAGCTGCTGGGGATAGGGGTAAAGGTTCATATGACATATAGACTTAATTCCATAACTGCAACCATAATTTTAAAAACGATGAAAATGTGTCTACATTACACAGCAGTTAGTGTTAGTGTTAGTTAATATAATAATGTGTTTGTCTGTTTGCAGGAGTCGTTCAGATCGTCAGGGTGGGCAGGGTGATGTGGTTTATCCCATTGGTTACTCTGAGAAGCCTGTACCAGACACCAGCATCCAGGAGACTGATAAGAACCTGGTGGAAAAGGTGAGATTATACCAGCTAGGGTTGTTAAAAATATTACAAATTAGACATTAATCGATATTAAAACTAGTATTGAAATGAGATACTGATTTCAGTGGGTATCGATACTAAAAAAAGTCATATCAACCGGACAGTAATGAACCTTTCCTGAATATCTTTAGAATAATCTCAAGCTGTATAAGAGCACACACTCTAGTATACACCTATGGACCATTATTGAACCTACCTGGACTATTGAAGAATTACAGATATAAGGCCACATGCTTGTAATATAAAAGAAAATAGTTTGATTTAATGTCCAAGTAAAGATTTTTTTTTTTTTCGTTTTTTTATCGTGGTATCGGAATGTGTATGAAGTATCAAGTCGAGTTTGAAATTTTAGTATGGTGACAACACTTTTACCAGCATTCACACTATGCTAATAATTTTAATGGTACTCTATCTCAGACTAACTGTTAACAGTCATAATAAACTGGTGTATAGCTATGATTTTATGTAGCAAATTTATAGAGTCAGCCCCAAACAAATAATAAATAATAAAGGTGCAAAATGTGTAGATTTCTATGTTGGACACTTCTTTGAAAAACAGTGACTCTCCCATAGAGTTACATAGGCCCGTGCCCTTCATCTGGAATTATGACATCATCAAGTTTGAGAACTTGAGCTACAATTATTAGTGTTTTTCAGAATCGAGAATGAGATGATGTCATACTCCCAGATGGGGGTCAATGCCAGTTTTCTCTGTTGATCACATAGTACTTTGACATAAAATACCTAAAAAGTAAATTTACTAATATTGAACCTAATCGTTTCTATTAGTGACTAGACCCAAGAACTCACTGTATTACAACATCATTTTGCTTGTCTGGTGGGCGGTCTGCTACTTACTTGTCTCCATGTAGATGTTATTGCGTTGCCTGGAATGTTCCATGGTGTGACTTTAAACAAATCCATGTCACATTTATTTGTTACGGGTGTTTCTACAATAATTCTTGTGAATAGGAGCGACTCTTCACATATCTGAATCGTAATGTTGTTGCATAGTGCTGTAACCTGCTTGTCTCTCTTATGATAGATAGGTTTAATCTATTTATCTAGAATGTTCCAAACAGGTGGGGGGGCGTTCCACTAGATGAGTCTAGAGACTTATGCAGTGCACCTTTAATATTGGCCTACAGAATGCTGTGATGTCATCTGAAACCTAGCTCTTGTTCTTGTGTTTTTGTAGCGCTGCTGGGACGTAGCTCTGGGGCCTCTGAAGCAGATCCCCATGAACCTGTTCATCATGTACATGTCTGGGAACACCATCTCCATCTTCCCCATCATGATGGTCTGTATGATGGCCTGGAGACCCATTCAAGCCCTCATGTCCATGTCCGCAAGTGAGTACTGCCCTCTACAGCCTAAACAGAGTAGGACAATATATTAATATAAACAATATATCGCTATTGATACTTTGCAGCTGATGTCATCAGCATTCCCCTGGGGGTGTGATGCTAACTGTAGGCTCTGCTTTGTCTGAAGCTCTGTTACTCAAGTTAGACTTTAATTTGAGCTTTGTTTTAACACAATCTGACCAGAAAGACCTTACTTAGCTGGAAGTACAATAGATGAGTTAAAGAAGTTAAATAATCCCCCTCAAATACTAGCTAGCTACCGTGTTGCTGTGCACAGAGCCAGTAGTGACGGGTCTAGATGGACTTAGACCCATAAGGGAAATTATTTGGACGCAGTAGCTCACACAGTACAATATATTATAATAACAAAGAGCAAAGATAAAAATGGTAATAATAAATACATTTTAAAAAGTAGCAAACCATAGCAAAAGACTGGTGTCAGTGACTGAGTTTTGTTCTCTGTGTGTCAGCGTTCAAACTGCTGGAGAGCTCAAGTCAGCAGTGGTTGCAGGGCCTGGTGTACTTGGTGGGGAACCTTCTGGCTTCAGCATTGGCCATTTACAAGTGCCAGTCTATGGGTCTGCTGCCCACGCACTCGTCTGACTGGCTCGCCTTCATCGAACCACCACAGGTACGGGCGCAATACACTTTTAATGGTGCACTATGTAACTTTTTGTTTGGGGGTCCGTCACCTGCTTGTTGCTAAGAATATGTTATTGCTCTGCCTGGAATGTTCCACAGTATGACATTAAACAGGTATACATTACGTTTATTCAAGTGGTTTAATAGCTCAAAAATACCAAGAAAAACAGGCATTCTGACTGTGAGCGGGGTTGCCTCTCCATAGATCTGACCTGTAACTTGGTCTGGTTTGGTCTCCATGAAGTTAGATAGGTTTAAACCATACTGTGAAACATTCCAGAAAAAGCAATAACATCTCCAAGTAGTAAAGCATTTGACGGACCCTCCACCTGAAAAGTTTTACAGTGAGCAGGTGTTTTATGGTTAAAACGTTGAAAAACATACATTCTTACAGTTTTTCTCCCTTTTGTCACACAGCGGTTGGAGATCATGGGAGGAGGGATGGTGTTGTGAAGAAGTCCTGTTCATAGTTTAAAGTGTATATATTACCGGTTGTCTTCATATTCTGTCAGATTAATAATAAAAATAGGTTCCATTCACATAGAACAACAGTCACATCTTGAATAATGGCACCACTTTCTAAAGCTATTGTAAAAATGATTCAACACGTTTATTTGTGCAGACAGAGAAGGCGTTGAACTTTGTGCCAGTTGCCAGTGCTTTGTGTTAATAGGTACAGTAATTACAGAAATATTAACTATAAACCATGGATTAACCTTCTCAATTTCTGCGTGTCTTGTATTGGCCATTCTGTTTAGCCACACGTCTTTGCACATTTCTTCAGACGGTTTCATAAATTAAATCACATTTTGGATTTGTTTTTACATTGACCACTAAAAATGTTGTTAGTCTAATAATTTTTTGACATTGACATTTCTTAATATATACTGGCCTGTTTTTCTTAAATGAAAATATGATTAAAGATGAATTAACAGCGCTTTTGTTTTGAGATTCCTCTAAACACCAAAATTAACACCTCCCCATTGCTCGTGCCTCAGTTGCTCTGCACAACGTGGAGGAGCAGCAGCTCTACTCTGAGCTCCTGTCGCATGACTGAGCACCCGGCAACTATGCGGAGGAAACTCAGTTCGACCACTTGTATCTGACTGTGATCTTGTTCTTTCGGTCATTACCCAAAGCTCATGACCATAGGTGAGGTTAGGAACGTAGACTGACAGGTAAAATCAAGAGCTTTGCCTGTGTATTCGGCACAGTGGTCTGATCCAGATCCACAAAGCACATGTGACTGTTTGGGCAAACTCCCATGAACCCTTGAGCACCTGATGGCAAGTAAAATGCCGGTCCAGTGTTCCACAAATGTGATGAAAACTGCACTGTTCTTCCTGAATACTGGAGGTGCATTGTGTAACATTTCTGGTGGAGGGTCTGTCAAATGCTTTTCTCTGTGGAGATGTTGCTTTGTCTGGAATGTCTCACAGTATGGTGTTAAACTTTTCTATCTTCATGCAGACCAAACCAGATCAAGTTAAAAGTCTGTTTTTTCTAGGTGCTTTTGAGCTATAACACCACCTGTAATTTAAGCAGGTCACGGACCCCCAACCAAAAGTTACATAGTGCAAATTTAACTAAAATAAAAACTAATAAAATTACATATGATATAATGCGTTTGCAAATTGTGCTGAGGAGGGGTAGACATCTGTATTGTATCTTCATAAATATTGGTTATTGACAGGGCTTTTTTCCAGGTTAATTTCACACTTGGACTGAAAGTTAAAGTCAAGTACAGAAGAAACGGAAAACTGCTCGACAAAAGGCAGAATCATTTTGTGTTATTTGTGAACTGTGTAATTCTAATTTATTTTCCAAAAAACATTGATACCATAAATCACTTGAGTATTTATAATATACAATGAGTACTTCCACTACCAACAAAAAGAGATTGTGTTCATTTGGCTTCAACTGAACATTACTGGCTCCTCCACGTCGAGAGGAGCCAGAACACGTTGGAGGGACTATGTCTCTCGGCTGGCCTGGGAACGCCTCGGGGTCCCCCCAGAGGAGCTGGAGGACGTGTCTGGGGTGAAGGAAATCTGGGAGTCCCTGCTTAGACTGCTGCCCCCGCGATCCGGCCCCGGATAAGTGGAAGAAAATGGATGGATAGATGCACATTACAGGTGACATCACACTCTCTCTGTCTTTTACATAGTCTATGCTCTCAACACTGTTTTCCTCTGGCAAAAACTGGAGAACGGCCTTTCAGGTTCACCAAAGACAGAGAGGAATGATGCTTCAGTCCAAACCCAGGGAACAAGAGGCTCAGTGAAGGAGGAGGAGAAAGTGTGGAGAGGAAAGAGGTTTTTATTAGTGCAGATCTGATAGAGTCGAAGAGCCAGCCTCATAGTCCAGGAACACACCCACTCTGAAGGAGGGCACCTCTAACTGGGACCTACTTGAGGGGACATCCAAATTAAACACATTTTCTGTTGCCGTTGTCCATTGTCCAACAAGGAAGTAAAAAAATAAACTTAAAAAGAATTCAAAACTAGACCAAACTAGTAAAGATTTTTAGTCAGATCTTAAATATAATCATGTTAATGTTGTTTTCGTGAAATGAGTAGGCTAAAGGTTATTATTGTTATCATTCTTATAAACTGGTGTGACAGGAAAAGCAGTCAGTGATGGCGCGGCACTGTGATTCATAAATTATACTAAACTTATTCTGTGACATGTTACACTTGTTTTAGATACTAGATGTTGCTTAAAGCTGCACTCTGTAACTTTCCTGGTGATGGACATGCCCTGGGCGTGCACTGCTAACTGTTGGCTCTGCTCTGTCTAAGACTTTTTCAGACTTTAATCTGATCTTTATTTGAACACAATCTGACCATAAAGATCTTTAAGACTTGACGAGCTGGAACTGTAGCGGGGGAGATGATTTGTGTTGTTAAACACGTCTCTCACAGAAAATTACAGTCACAAGCTAGCTAGCATTTGCCAACAATTTTTCAGTTAGTCCCACTCACCATTTTTGTTGAAAATAAATCCCTTAAACAGGATGAAGAGCAGTTGTAGTGATCACATGCTCCTGACTATGTGTGTTTTTTTTTTTTATACATTTTGTGTTTCTAGTGTTTTAAGACAATCTTAAAACTTTTTTGACAGTTGTCCTCATTGTGTCACCATGGTAACTCTTAAACATTCCACCATTAGAGACATGTAGATCACCCCCAGCGCGATGTCACTGCAAAATATCAATAGCACACTATATAACATTATCTTTTTTGTATTTATTGATTTTTTTTCGCTCCTTGAAAAAAATACATTCTTACTGAAAGTGTGTTGCCTCTCCACAGATCTGACCTGTATCTCAAACTTTGGAAAATTAAAGAAAAAGCCTGCATCAGTTATCAGGAAGCATGTGTTAACATGCTAGTTATGGTTACCCTCTTGGCAAAAGTCCACAACTAAAAGTCATTGCTGTAAATAATTAGATGCTTAAGTGAAGAATAATTTTGGACCACCTCTAATGTTTTTAAAATAATCCAATTCAGTTTTTACATTGTTAAGACGATAAAAATCAAGTACAGCGCCTTTACATTTCATTCTTGTGATGATTTTGTAAAATGGCCAGGGTAAGTGTCTTGTGCAGACTTGTGAGTTGGTGACTCCGCCTGCCTCAGAAGTGAAAGTACAGTGCGGCTGGAGACAGTGGAACAGAGACCAGCAGAGACAAGCCAGAAGAAAAACATGCAAGGTAGGCATCTTCCACTCTGTTTTTGAAGCAAAAACTTGTAATTTAGCGCTTTTCATTTGTTTTCCCAGGAGAGGACAAGCACGTATCTCAAACCAAATTCTCCTCATCCATTCGTTTCTGTACCAATGCGAGCTCCCCCTGGTGGCCAGTATACAATAACTCCAATAACTCGTGTAGTGACAATAGCTCATGTAGTGAATGTATGAAGTACAGAGCAGGCGGTTTTGTTACAGTAATGAACTGGAAAACACAGACTATACACAAAATGAATGAATGAATGATTTTTGGGATACTAATTTGTTGTTGTTATAGTAATAGCGGCAGTAACACAGAAGACCAAAACGTCATGGTTCACTGTACCCGAAATAATAAATTAGTCATCTTATAGCTTTACATAAATATAGAAAATAAAATTTTGAGATGGGGATAATTTCTTATATAGGCTCTTCAGTTTAGATTATGATATCTAATCTGGTAAACTTGTTTCTTTTATCAATTTGTTTTATGTCAATATTGTGATTTAAAATATCAAAATTCTAACATAAAGATCCACGGGTGTCATAGATTATAATTATAAAGCAGACACAAGCACAATATGTTTTCTTTAACAAACACAGTCAAAAACTTTTAAGATAAACAACAACAACAACAACAACAACAAAACCTACAAAATGGATTTAAACATTTTCAAAATGAAAAAAAAAAGTGGAAAAGTAGACAATAAATATTAAAACCAAAACATTATACTCAAATTTGCCTAGAGCAACAACTTTGCTAAGTCTGCCACTGAATAAAGCTAATATTAAAGTCTAAGACATATCTAATATGAGTAACAGCTTCAGACAGAACTAGGGAGACCAGATGTCCCTATTTACCTGGGACAGTCCCAGTTTTGAGCCCTGTGTCCCCTGTCCCAACAGATTTATCCAAAATCATTGATTTATCCCAGTTTTATACAAGAAATGTCCCAGGTGTCCCTATTTTTGACTAATCTGATCCCTACCAACAGTAAAGAGAGACATTGTCATTTGTTTAGATAAAATACAGAAAAGCTGCTTAAAAATGACAAAAATTAAAAGAAAATCATACTATATTGACTCACATGTTTGTCATGAATGGGCCAAGTGCAGAACAGTTTTCCTTAATTATGCACTTATTTTTTACAATTTTATTATTACCACCACATACTGGGGGTGTCCCAGTTTTTTATTTTGAAACTCTATTGATCCTAGACAGAGCAGTGCCCTAGTTAGCATCACACCCCAAGGAATGTTGAGGATATCAGCTATTAAATATCAGTTCATGGGTTTCATGCACATTATTCCTTCCTGATTGAAGGATTCTCCATATTTCAGTATCATGACCACTGGATGTCGCCATTTCACGTCTTTTTTTGTGGAATTTTCAACACTAATAAGATTCACAATCACTGACATATTTTTATTTTATTCAGAGCCAGACTTGCTGAGAGTTGTCCTGTTGGGGAAACACGGCAGCGGGAAGAGTAGCCTGGCAAACAAGATTCTAGGAGAAGAGATTTTCACCGTGAGCCACAGAAGCGACGCAAAGATCCGATGCTCGCAGACGCACACCAAGCTGATTAACGGGCTCAACGTGACGGTGATCGACACTCCGGGGGTCCTGGGAGCAGAGCGGGCGCACCGGGAGCGGGCAGAGCAGGAGCGGCAGTGCGAGTGGCTGAGCTGCCTGGTCCAGTGCGCTCCGGGGCCTCACGCACTGCTGCTGGTGATGCCCGTGCAGAGGTACACACGGCAGGAGCGAGCTGTGGTGGAGCACATCAAGACACAGTTTGGGGAAGAGGTGAGTCCTGGAATATTATTGAAAATGTTGATATTTTGTTTTTGTGATCTATCCCAGCGGTATCCAAAGTTTTTCTTCAAATCACAGATGGACCAAGGGCAGATTGAGGGCCACTGACTGTTAGTCAATAAAATAAATAATTAAAATATATGTATAACAAGTTAGAATGATCCATCAGACCTTTATTTGGCCTATGTTTAGAAGTAGATTTTCCAAAACTTTGACAACAAAAGGCTACTGCTACTTAGGGTATAATGAGACAATTCACCTGGAAGTCTGGGGGCCAAGAAAAATTGGTCTGAGGGCTGCACTTGGCCCCTGAGCCACAGTTTGGAAGTAGGAGATACTAGTAAATCTGTGTAACTCACCCCTAGCTCTCACAAACTTTTTGATAAATAGTTTGGTGTATGAATCTGCGCAGTTTTAGAACAGCTTTGTCCTCACGGCAAAGTGAAACTGGGGTGGACCGCCAAAGATCAGCCAGTCAGAATGCTGCTCTCTGATTACATCCAGGTTCCAAGTGCCACCTGATTATCGGACAGTAAAACGCTTTCTAATTAGATGTAGACAACACGTAGCAGACTTATTTTGACCTTGGGAGCTGCTTATACAATATATCTGTACTGGGGCAAGATGGATTTTTCTCAAATATGTGGAAAAGGCACAGGAGCTTTAATTGCTCTTCTATTTCCATTGTAACTGAGGAAAATGGGCCACTATTTTTACTTCTACTCGCGTGACCTTTGGCACCTCTCTCATTGTCTCATTACAGGTGTTCAGATTCACCATTGTAGTTTTCACTCATGGAGATCAGCTCCCGGAGAACACAGACATCTTGGCGTTTGTGGAGCAGAGCGAAGGGCTAAAAGAGCTGGTGCTGGCCTGTGGGGGACGCTGTCACGTGGTCGACAACAAGTACTGGACCAAAGAGCGGCAAAAGGGAGACCCACAGCGGAGCAATGAGTTTCAGGTATGATTTCGGGCTGCAGTGAATGAAAGTGCATATGATAGGTGTTCATGCTTTTTTTAAAGAAATTTTACTTTTCAGAATATCGGTATTTTTCTTGCAGAGTACTTTTACTCCTACATGAGAAATATTTCATTGAAGTAACAGTACTCTTATTTGAGTAAAGGTTTTGGTTCCTCTTCCCACTGTGAGTAAGCCGAAAGTGACAAAGGCTTTATGTGAACATTAAACAGCTCTAACTTACATTTATTCAGTTACAGGTGGTTTTATATCTTAAAAATACCTCTAAAAACAGATATTCTGACTGTGAGCGGGGTCGCCTCTCCACAGATCTGTAACTTGGTCTGGTTTTGTCTCATTAACATAGAAAGGTTTAACACCATACTGTGAAACATTCCAGATAAAGCAATAACATCTCCATGGCAAAAAGCATTTGAAGGACCCTCCACCAGAAAAGTTACACAATGCACCTTTAACTTAAAATAATAAATCAAATGTTACTGTTACTAGAGCTCATTTAGCTGCAGAAATCTTGTCAGTTTGGACCTTTGTAAATCTGGTAAAAGGCCCAGTCTTTGATATTGTGTACATCTCAGTGCTTAACTATAATGTCTGGAACTCCCACAGAATTAGTTAATTGTCATGTCGTGACATTGTCACGATTATAATTTTTTTGTTGTTAAGAGATTGGTGTTAAGATTTTTCGATTAACCTTATAATGTTGGCGTTCGCAGGTGAAAGAGATCCTGGCCACAGTCGTGAAAATGACCAGTGAAAACCAGAGGTACTTGAGCAATGAAGCATTGGAAGAAGTGGAGAGGGAGATCCAGAGTGAGCAGAGCCGCATTCATGCTGACAGCGGTTTGAGCCTGGAGGAGAGCAGAGAACAGGCTAAAAACTCTGTCCTTGATAAATACATAGACCAAGCATCAAGATGCCCATCCTATGTGAAATATGCTGCAGTTGTGGCCGGTGTAGCAGGTGTGGCACTGGCGGCCATCTTGGTGCTTCCGAAAGTGATTAAGTTTTTAAAAAATAAGCCCCCATTGCCACTGCCCGTCCCTGTGATGCCCATAGAGCTCCCCACTCTGCCAGATCTGCCGCCTGCACCTGAAGTGGTCCAAGAGGTTGTCCCACCTGTGATATCTGACCTTCTGGAGTCCATTCTGACAGAACCAGAGGTGTTGTTTGAGAGATATGATCCGTTCAACCTATTTGAATGTTAAATGAAGTGCTGTTCTATTTTAAATTCCATAAACATGACCTGTGCCCCCAGAGGTAAACATGTTCAAATCAAATATAGCTTTTACTGATAACAATTACAATGCTGATTTATTATGAATTACAAAAAATAAAAATAAAAAAATAAAAAAAAATACACATGATGTACTTTAAGTTATAATTTGGTGTTTGGATAATTGGGAACCAATGAGAAAGCAGAATGAGCCTCACATGAGGTTTTGGTTGCCATGTTCAATGTTGAAATCCAGTTGGTTTAAAACCATCACGCTCTCCTCGGGGTCACATTGACCAGAATAAATTCTTTTTTTCCTTCCTGCTCTCTTGGGGCGGGTCAATCAGACTCAAAAATGTATTTTCAAATAAATTCTCGCCAGAATTGTTGGGTCTTGACCCACCCCAAGAGAGCGGGAAGGAAAAAAAAAATAAATCTTTGAGTTAGTGTGACTCCGAGGAGAGCGTGATGATACCTAAAATGTCTCTCTGATCTGAATGGTCACCTAAACTCCAGCGCCTACAGCCAACCATGAATCAGTGGTAGTGCAGCCTCTGCAGCTCAGGGAGGGAATTCTGGAGATTCTGGGCTTTCACATAAAACATGGTCTGTTCATGTACTGAGAAGGAGCCAAACTTGTGTGTCCTCTATCTGCAGGTTAAGGCTCAAGCAACACAGGTTAAATTGAGTGTGTAGTTTTTTTTTTATTAATTTTTTTTAACCAGTAAGAGTGCAGGTTATATACAGTTCCTTTAATACCGTTAAACTAATGCAGCAGGTCACTGCATCTTAAAAGAACTGTGCATAAGATTTTGATTTCCACAAACATGACCTGTATCTCCAGATACGAGGGAAACATCTTCAAATCAAATAGTTTTACTGATAATTAAAAAAAACTGATAATAATGCTTATTTCTTCTTATTTACAAAAACATCAGACATGACATACCTATTTGGGTGACAATTCAGTTTTGGTTCTCAAGATGATTATCCAATCAGAAAGCAGAATGAGCCTCACTTGAATCTCAGAGCAGCTGTGGTAACAACAGAAAAGAACTCAGAGTGTCGAATGAATATTACACTATAAAGCATCTTTGAGAGTCCAAAAAACACTGCATAAATCTAATGCATTACTATTCATTAGAGATTTTCCTGTTTACATGTAATTTTCATAGTTGCTAATTAGATATTGAATATGTATGCAACCACAGCCAGTTACTCATTTGAATGCCTAACAGTCCATAAACTTGGGCCATGTTCTATTCTCTGTAAGCACTGTATTCATTGTACAAGAAAACAACAAAGAACAAAATGGATCACTGTATAAATGCACAAACGGGTATTTCAGCACTCATATTTATTAGAAAAAGTGAAGACCTTATTTTAAACAAAGTAAAACAGACATATTACTGAAAGGGTTTAAAACTAAATAAATCCTCATTTCATTTTGGCAGCTCTATGCCAACTCCTGGTATGGTCATCTTCACGAGTCGCAGTAGATTGATGTTCAAGTCTTTTTTCCTCGCATATCCATCTCTTCTCTATCGCTCCTCTGTGCTCTTCCCTTCCTCCTCCTCCCTCATCTTACAGAACAGGCTTGGGTTGCTGAGTGAGAAGGAGTCCAAATCTTTTCTTTAGCGTCACCCTGTGTCTGGAAAATTTGTCGTCAGGAGAAAATCTAGCTGGATGTGCCGAACTGGTGGGCTGACCATCTGGAGCCAATTTCTATAAAACAAACATGGAAATAAAGAAATTCCATTGTTAAATATTAGAAATTGACCAGTGCTTTTCATCAATATTTTTTGGCCGGTGATGATTATTTCCCCCCCAAAAATGTATGACTTGAATTTAGCAAAAATTCACCCACAAGTCTGTTTTAATACAAACTGTATAAAACAACCATGTAGCCATATTTTACAGTGTCTCTTCATAGTAAAGTGCTCAAATAAAGCTTCATGCATATTCTTTAGGGAGCTGGTTGGTTGAAGCAAAATATTGACCTCTGCTGGAGATTAACGTTACGGCTATTGGCCTAAAAAGAACAAATATATGCACGATATATCTATTAAAAATTATAGTCAGTGGAAGTTAAAAATGAAAAAACAAATGCAGACACACTGTTGAATTACAACACAGGCATGTAACAGCAGATGTTTGTAAAAGTCTGAACTACAGTTAGCAGATAGTTTTACTTAAGGTTATAAATGACTAGTAGCATTCAATGTGCAATTCTGATATAATGGCAGCCCAGTTAAGCATGCATTTTCATTTTTATAATAACACAATCCTAACAATCAGAACAAGTAATTCGTTCTGTGAGTTTTTGTACATATGCAGACAGTGGCATTAAGAACGATTCTCGATGGTGGTTTTAAAATATGTGTTAGACTGACAACATCACGTAATAAATACAAGTATTTATGAGGTTTAACAGTATCATTTTAGCAATTCAACGATTACACGATGCTACCAGCTAACTACCTTTAGCGTGTAGACTCTGTCGCCATTTTCGTCCAAATAATACTGCAGAAACATCTTGATCCGACGCTTTTCTTGTCTCCTCAAAGGTGAAGAATGTTTTAAAGTTCGTATTTCTATCCAAAAACGCTGAAAAACACGCTGCTCAGTGTTTGCGCTTTGCACGTGTGGCGGACAGACTGAACAGAGCGGATATCCGGTGAAGAATGCCGCTAAGCAACATGGGAAATGTTGTTTTTCAACCAACCTACGAATTAACACTGCCTTATTTATTTAATTATAGCACTAATTAATAATAGCTGCACAAATAATATAATTTGTAATTTGAAATAAAAAAAAAACAAGATCAATAATGTTGTAGAGGAAAATAACTGTAATTAAATATGTTAAATGTAATTACAGTACAGCTAATTCAGAACAGTCCAACTCATTTACCCCCTCATTCTCAAACGTTACCTCAGACATTTATTGAAGACCATGTTATCCACTATTTTAAATAAAGTGGTGGATGAAGTACTCAATTTTGTCACTTAAGAAAAAGTACAGATGCCAGAGCAATGAAATACTTAAGTAGATTTTTCATGTGATACTTTTACTTAAAAGTATTAAAGTACATGTTTGAAATTGTACTTGGAGTAAAAAGTAAAAGCATTTTGCGCAGTTTGAGATCTAATAAAAGTTCAAATATAGCGATTTTGATAAATATTTGTTCAACAGAAACAATTTAATCCATCTTTTTTTTCTTAGCTGTTTTGATTTGTATATTTTAGTTTGCTCAAATATGAACATATGAAAAATAAACCCTCAGAATTTTCAGTAGGTCTCAGACAACAAAAACACTTACTTTTCAGTCCTGTTTAAAAACATACTGGAGTAAAAAGTACAGATACCTACTCTTAACTGTAGTGAAGTAAAAATAAAAAGCATACACTTCAAAATGTATGCAAGTATACTTTACTACTTTTACTTTGTTACATTCCACAACAGGTGAAATTAGTAATTGAGAATCGTTTTGATACTAACTGAAGCTGTAAACTAATTACACTGAAAAGAGAATTTGAAATGGCTAAGAAACCAGTTATAGGGGTGTGCAACATTTGTGGCATCTCGATTGCCCGAGACATACCAGGAGTTTGTGAATCGCAAAACCAGAAACGCAAGTTAAAGAACACAGTGCAGGCACAGTGAAAGAAGAACAAAAGCATGAATGAACTACAAAGAGATTTTAAAAGAAAAATTCTGTTTTATTAAATGGTAGATATAAAAATGTTTTTAAAAATATCAAAGTGACAAGTTTGTTTTCCTCCCTATATCCAGTCTTCCCTTAAAATATCAACACATACATAAAAATAAGTTATGGCTTAAATGACACAAGTTCATAATTTTAAAGCATTCTGAGGCAATAAGGCAAATTGGTAAACATTTACACACCATTTTAGCACTAAGCATGAACAAAATTATTGCTACAATACAAAGAATAACATTTGAGATTGTCCATTAAAAACATTCAACCTGAGGAGATGTTTGGTGGCTTTTTTAGTAGTCCGTGAAAATGTAAGATCTATTGTTTTTTCATTCAGATTTCTTGGAGTGTAGCGTCCCATTGCCATTGACAATGCTCTTGTTGTTATTCACCGTGTTGCCATTGGTCAGAGCAGTAACCGACAGTTGAGAGCCTGACTCCTCGGGCTGTAGGTACTCATTTGTGACTCTCTGATAAGTTGGATGGGTGGTCAGCACTTGCAACAGATTGTCTGGAGAAAAAAAAAAAAAAAAACACCAAAGAAAAACAATCAAAATTTACATTTAGGCTCTGTGCAGCAGACTGCTCACTAGCTCACCGTCTCTTAAAGCGACTGTTAGCTTTAACTTTGATTACAATTGTAAAACATAAAAATAGCAACCTTTTAAAATTCAAATAAATTAAAATAAACACACACAGAGACTGTTAGATTTAAATGAAGCAAAGATGGCATTGCATTGTTCTCAATGGCCTGTTCTCATTGGCGCATAATGCTAAGATCAAGATGTGAGATTTTATGCAGAGCAAGGCTATAGCTCATAAAGCAAAGCAAAACTTTTGGGTACTTTGAGGATTTTTAAAAATGTCATGTTGTGAAAATACAAAAGAATCCCTACAAAATCCAATCTTTGTGAATGCAATGCTCCATCAACTGAACATGGGCAGTTTGAATTCATATAAATACATTGTGCTCTATGGGAGAGTTCTGGGAAATGCAATACCTGCAGTGGCCCCTTATCGAACTCGCACCAGGACAGAGGAGAGTGTGTTTTTATAGTAGATGTGTGATTTGAATTTCTCATACCTTCAGTGACTCCATTCTGTCTGCAGGCTGCACTGTAGAGCTCTGACGTGTTGTACTGAGGAACACCTAACATCGCCCCCATGAGGCCAGACAGCTCCTCTACATTCAGACTGCCTTTGCTTTCTCCGTCATACAGCTGTTGACACATTTAAACATTTTATTATTAGGAAATATTGAACCAAAAAGAAAAACAGGGGGGTAAAACATTCTCAGTGTACCATTATTTAGGTAAATGTGTTGTCACAATATTACATTTTGAAACTCAATTAGATATGAAGGAATAGACTTGATATTCAATACCAGGGGAGTTGACGAGGGGGACAAAGGGGTCTGTTGTCTTGGGCCCCAGAGTCTTAGGGGCCCAAAATTGAACCCTCTTCCTATTAATGTATATAAGAGTGGGCCCATGTAAGGCTTCTTGCCCTGGGCCCTCTGGACCCACAAAATTCTGTTGACAGGCCTGTTCAACGCAGATTCAAATACCACAATATTAATTTAAAAAAATGTATGAATGTAACTTTCAACAATAAAAAAAATTTACTTTCTTTTATATTACCATGTGGTAATTATTAGAGCCCGACCGATATATCGGTTGGCCGATATTATCGGCCGATATGAGCAACAGTAACCATATCGGCTATCGGCCGATATACTTGCTGATCGGGGCCGATATTTCACATGGGCATGTTATACCTCGTTATAAAGCTTAGACTCTCTACATTATGTTCATTTAAGCCAATTTACAGACAGATAAATGTCCAGATATGTGGCTCTGCATCAGTATTTATCTGTGGAGTCATTTGTCTGTGTGTGACCGTACTGTTCCTGAACACACCACAGAGGCGTGTGTTTGTTTACACCCGCAGCAGTGCTCAACACTGAGATTATTTTCTTTTTATGGACAATCGGTTTGTGTCTGGATTAAAAGGACATTTATTAGTGCAGACTTGTGATGTGAGGAGGAGCTTGTGTGAGCGGTGAGTGTTGGAAATATGTCAACTTTGAAGCTAGTTTTGGTTCGTTCTGATATGTTAGTGATTAGCTACTGTAGCTTCCGCACATAAACAGTCTGTTTTCTATTGGTCTATTGTAAAGTGACTATATTGGCAGTATATTTGCTACTGGACCTGCATTGATATGTAAATGAGCTGTAAATAGACGTGTGAACGATGAACTTTGCGCATATAATTAATTACCGCGGTGCGCTAAAGGCTAATAGCGCTAGTTTATTTACTCGCTAGTAGTGATGGTCGGTCGCGAACGAAGCGGCTCTTAGATCCGGCTCTTTGAAGCGAACGACGGGAGCCTGATCCTTACAGGGAGCCGTGTTTTCTCTTTCTCTCACTTTTTTTCTCTTCACGCCGCGTGCAGACTCGTGGTAGTTTGACAGCGGCAACGGCTCAAAACGAAACTTTCAAAAATATATGCAAATATATATATTCAGCATAAAATAAATAAACCAGGACTAATCTTGGGGTCGAGAGAGGGAGAGAGATAGAGACCGAGTCCCGAAACTTAGTCCTGGTTAAGTTCTGGTTTAGTCCTGTTTTACACATGGTTTAGATCTGTTTTAGTCCTGGTTTAGTCCTTTTTCAGTCCTGGTTCAGTTCTGGTTTAGTCCTGCTTTAGTCCTGCTTTAGACCTGCCTTAGACCTGCTTTAGTCCTATGACAAATCATGTAAAGAGGCAGAATAACAATAAATGTTGCCTAAATAAACCCAGTTTCTGCCCACCAGAGCCAAACCTAAGTTTTTTTTTTTAATAATTCAAGATTAACAGTGAATTTTTACATCACTAAATATATCGACGATTATATTGGCTATCGGCAGCGCCAACTCCCATTATATCGGTTTCATATTGGCCACAACAAAATCCATATCGGTCGGGCTCTAATAATTATTACTCTGCAGCACGACTGCTGACAAGGACCAGGAAGCGAGAGCACATCACCCCAGTACTGAAGTCTCTGCACTGGCTCCCTGTGAGCTTCAGGATAGATTTTAAAGTTCTTTTATTAGTTTATAAAGCTCTTAATGGTCTTAGTCCTATTTATTTATCTGATCTGCTTTTATCATATGAGCCCTCTCGGACTCTCAGGTCTTCAGGTAGTCTTCTTTTAACTGTCCCAAGAGTCCAGACTAAAACTCACGGTGAGGCGTCATTCAGCTTTTATGGCCCCCGTTTGTGGAACAGTCTACCTGAGGATCTGAGGTCCGCTGCGAGTGTTCATATTTTTAAAAGTAAGCTCAAAACCTATCTTTTTAATTTAGCTTTTAATTGTAACTTTTATCTGTCTTAACTTAAATTATTATTATTATTATTATTATTATTATTATTATTATATTTATTTATTCTAAATTAAATTATCATTACTGTTTTACTTTGTCTCCATTTGATTTTAGCTCTCCATTTTGATTTTTATAATAACCTTTAGGAGTTTTATGTTTATGTTTAAATGGTTGTATATATGGATGAAACAAAGGGATGGGGTGGGGGGGTTGCTCTTGATTTTAATTATTGTATTGTAATTTTTCTGTTGCATGTGAAGCACTTTGTGCTACATTTTAAATGTATGAAAAGTGCTATACAAATAAAGTTTGATTGATTGATTTTGATAACTTTATTAGGCAATATAATGCCATGCTATGTCTCCATGGGGTCTTATTCTGTGTAAAAGCTTAAAAGTTGCTAACCCTATAGTGCAGACCTCTACAAAAATACATGTGATTCTTATTATATATATATATATATATATATATATATATATATATATATATATATATATATATATATATATATATATATATATATATATATATATATATATATAAAACAGTAAAATTATCAAATGTAAATGAAATCAGAATGTGTGTCAGTTGTAATAGAAAAAAATGTATAGGTGAAATGGATGGACTTACAGTAAAGGCTGTATGCAGCAATGATTTGAAGGGGACAGACCCAGAGATGGAGGCTACGCTCACATAAACCTGTCTGAGGTCGACACTCTGGTCCTGGAGGTAAAAAAACAAAGTAATTAGGTATTTCATAGTAAAAACAATTGTGCATACACTGACTTGACACTAAAACTTGACAAACTCCATAGGTAGGTAATCAGGTAATCAGACAAAATAGATACAAGATAAACATCTTCAAATCAAATATAGCTTTTACTGATAACTATTTTTGTAACCAAAAATAAATCAACATTACGATTTTGACATGACAGCTGATTTATGTTACAATTTGGTGTTATGGTTCAAGATGATTATCTACTCTGAAAGCAGAATGAGCCTCACATGAGTCTCTCATTTGAGTTGCCAGTTTCAGTGCTAAAATCCAGTGTGTTTAAACCTAAAATGCTTCTCTGATCTGAATGGGCTCTATCTAAACCCCAGAACCTGCAGCCCAACATGAATCAGTGCTGGTGTAGCCCAAGCCCCCAGGTTCCAAAATGGCCGCCCATTCAAGTCAATGGGCTGAGCTCAATGGCGCATGATTCCAGATTAGCCTAGCATGGCTAGGTACTTCCGGTGGCTGTGGGCCGACCGAGCATGCGCAGTAGTGCTCTTTTCTCCCACGGGCACATGCGAATGCACGTGGCCACACGCGTGGAGCGCGGGCTCGTGTATCACGTGATCGCTTTGACCAATCAGAGCGAGAGGAGCTAGAGCGGAGCCGGAGCTAATGAATATAAAGCGTTTTTTTAAGACAACTGAAGGATTTTGAGCGAGAAAAAATTTATGATCTAAAAATAGGTAAAAATCGCCAGCAGTCCGATATTTTTGAAAGCTGTAGGTGACCTGTCAGACGAACACGAGCAGTTTGTGATTACATTGCGCTCTATGAGAAAAATCTTGTCTCGGCCCATGGGACTTTTTCTGCTGAAGTTCCAGTGAGTGACCACTACATCAACTGGAGGCAGCTACAAGCTAGCAATACTGTATCCAGTTATTTTAATAGATCCATGGTGTAGCCTCTGCAGCTCAGGGAGGGAATTCTGGACGTTCTGAGCTTTCACATGAGGCCTGTCTATAAACTTAGAATGTGACAAAGTTGTATGTGTCCTCTACCAGCAGGTTAAGGCTCTGGTGACATAGGTTCAGTTGTGATGTACCTTTTAAATATTTTAGTGCACAGGCTACAGAGTTCTTTTCTAAGCAATCTTAAAGAAAATAATTATTTCTGATTATTGAGCTCATCGCCAAATAACAGTGAAATCCTTCATTCGATTTTGATGACAATAATTCTGTAAGAGTTCCTTTTACCCTGGAGTAGAGTTCGCAGATCGCTAAAGCTGTTTCTCTGTCCTTCAGCTTCAGAAGTGACATGAGGTCATCCACGCTGACCTTTGAACTCTGACCCTGTGACTGGCACCTGTCAATCATCCTGCTCAGAGCAGCTTCAATGTCAGAAGAGGTGAAACTGGAAACAAAAATAAAATTGAATGGGTTTATTACATAAGGCAGAGCTGCAAGATTAAATCACAATCAAATCGAAATTTTTGAAGCACCATTATTTCTTCCACAGACAATATCTCTGGTCTTATTCTGCATTAAAATTGCAAATCCTATAGTTTTGATATGTGATTCTTGTTGGGCTGGGTGATTTTCACTGAAAATAAAATGGTAATTTTAATTCAATTCAATTGTCTTTTTTTTTTTTTCACTTTTTCCCCTCTCTCCATTAAATATAGAAACTAAAGGAAATTTATCAATGACAGACAAAACAAAACAAAAAATAAACAAACATGCAGTTCCAACATTGTATTTTATTCCAAACAGCAGACTTGAACTTCAAATTCACATCCAGCCCTAGTTTCTTGTATAAGTTTGTCAGTTCACATTTCAGTCTTTGTGTGTGTTTAAATTTTGCACTTTGAACAGAATCCTGTTATTTAAACAAATCATCAACCTCCCCATCAACGTTTCTAGTGGAAGGTCTGTCAAACGCTTTTCTCCATGGAAATGTTATTGCCATGCCAGGAAAGTTTCATAATATGGTATAAACATTCCTAAATTCATGGAACAGGTGACTGACCCTACCCCAGAAAAGTTACACAATGTATCTTTAATATGAACTGAATTCTGTGCTTACCCATTCTTTCGGAGCAGAGCCAGTGTTTCTCGAGGAGGAGATTCAAAGGGTAAAGACAAACCTCCCAGTTTACTCACAGGGACACGTCCCTCCAGGACGTAGTCTGTGGCCGGGACCCCCAGAGCCCTGCAGTGCACAGGAGCACGCATCATTTTATTTCAATATTTTTATTTATTATTATGGGCACAGAAAGCACATATGGTCCATAGTTAATACATACATAATATAGATCTATATTGTATATTATTATAAAGAAACAATAGTACATAAAAAAGATAGTAGCAGTAGCAGCAAGCATATTGCAATGACATCACGCTGGGGGTGCTCTCCATGCATCTCTATTGGCGGAATGTTCAGCAATTAACAGGGTGACACAATGCCCACACTAACAAACACCATCAAAAAAAGTTAAGATTGACTGAAAAAGGAAAAAAAAAAAAACAGATTTGAAAAGCACATTTTCAGGAGCCTGTGGTCAATATTTGTTCATGGTGCGGTTTAGGTGTTTGCTTTTCCACAAAAAGGTGAGTGTGCATTTATATCAAAACATATATCACAACATTTATATTGTAATTTATCAAAATATTATTATAATCATCATGTGGACGTTTATACAGGAATTTAGCACCATCTAGTGACATGAGAGAACTGAAATGATCTTTTCAATCATTTCATTTTTGAAAAATAAAGTGCATTAGATATATTATTATATTTTTTTCATCCCAAAATTACCATTGCATAAATGTTAATCAAATGGACAAATAAAAAAAACTCACTTTGCCATAAGTTTCTGAACATTGTCGGCGTAAAGACCGGGGTTGCTTTTCTCTTCCTCTGAGGGTTTGTAAACTGGAAGAAACTGCAACACAGTTAAATTTTAATACAATACATTTAATAGAGTCCAATAATACATAATCTCAGGACTTAAGGTGTAACTTTTCTGGTGGAGGGTCCATCAAATGTTTTTCTGGATAGAGATATTATTGCCATGTCTGGAATGTTTCACAGTACGGCATTAAATGTTTCTATTTTCAAAGAGAACAAGTTACAGGTCAGATCTGTGGACCCAACTCACAGTAAGAATGCTTGTGCTATAAAACCACTTGCAACAGAATAAATGTAAGGTAGAGCTGTTTAATGTCATACTGTGGAACATTCCAGGTAGAGCAATGACATATCCATAGAAACAAGCAGACGAGGAACCCCCAACCAAAAAGTTGCACAGTGCACCGTTAATAAAACTGTTTACCATTTTAAAACTAGGCTCACAAAGGTTTTCCCCTGATGGATTATACTACCCCATCAAAAACATACCTGGATTTGTGTTTTGTTTCATTCAAACATGTTAGAGTAACCCTTTATTATTTCTCTGCTACATCTCCAAAGCTCAAAATGCTTTGTTCCACCTTGTGATGCCATGAAGCAGTAGTTTAAGTCAACAGTAGAGATTGGCAATTCCACAGCTAAAATTATCCAAATGGTTTCTAGTGAAGGTGTATGGAGTTTAAAAATACAGTGGACCATTTCCTAAATTATCACATGATGTCACAAAGTGGAGCGATGTGTTTTTAGTTTGCGTGAAGAACTCAGCGTAAATATGCAGGGTTTGTGTGTTAAACATGTGTGAATGAAATGAAACATAACTCCTGGTATGTTTGTGATGAGGAAACAGCATTATAACAGATCAGAAAATAGTGTAATATGGGCCCCTTAAAACTGAAGCTTCTGGCGCAGCTGGGGTCCTATAGGAGCAGAGTTTAGAGTTTATATTTCAGTGCGTTATGTCATGTGTAGAGTATGTGCAGCATGTGTCCTACCTCCACAGTCATGTTGGTGTACGGTTGAGACGCAGTGTGCCATAGACACTCCAGCCTAAACACAAACAGGAGAAAATCATATTATGAATTAAAACAGACTGCTTTTTCCACTTTGTTTACCCACACCAAAATCTGATCATTATCCATTTCTGGAGTTCACTCAAATGTCATGTAAACAGTTAAATCTGATAGGAATAATCCGATTTCACAGCAGTGAAGGTTTAGAGAATGGAAAAAAAAAAAAAAAGGCAGAATAATGTGGCAAAGACAAAAATGAAAGACCTCACTATCACGCTCACCACAGACTGTTTATATAAATGGACATAGCAAACCCGCTTGCTGTCCAAATAGGAAGTGTGCATGGCTGCGCTTCTGGTTCCATCAACTTAGACTCAAATTCACTTTGTATTTGTATTGAAAATCTGTCACCCCTCAAGCTCCTCATTTTGGTCTTAAAATGTTTGTATTAACTCTACAAGATCCTGGCCTTTTTATTTTTTCATTTTGTCTGTAAATCAATTCCTATTCCAATATGGGACAGCTTTACAATTATAATGGGCCCTTCACAAGCATGTGGCGTTAGGACCTAATCAGGTACAGGTGATTTAAAGCTTTATTTGAATATAGTCTTGGAATAAAAAGAGGAACTCACCATGTTGTGCCTTTAAATGTCCAGCAGACAGTGTCCTGTGAGGGTCACAAAAGTGCATTAAAAACTGGCACTGATCCAAAACTACAGCCTTTGTTTCTACAGCAACAACCAGCTGGTCTGTTTCCCAGCATTTTCTATGGTGGCTTTATAATGATATCGATATGAACCTTATGCAAACATGGGCAAGGTTAATCATGGCACACTCCACGTAATAAAATACAGTTTATCTGAACGACTGAAGGTCTGTAACAAAGAGGGCTCTGTTTGGGCTCGGCCTGCTGCTCAACATTTAAGGAGAGCAGATGTTAAAGTGCATATGAGGTTTTTAGGTTTTTCTAATTAGAGACACACCAATACTGGTAATAAATATCACTGTCGATCCAGGTTCAGTTGTGTTCAGACGATATCCTGGTTGAGCCAATTATTGGTGGTTTTCAAATTCAAGAATGCGATGAGGAGGTACTCCCAGATGGGGGGATTGAGACAGATTTCCCCCATTAACAACATTGTACTTTGTCATAAAATATCCAAAAAGTGTATTAAAGTGCATATGACAGGTCCTGGTGATTCTCCAATTTTGACTTAATTTGGTGGGATAATACCTGCTGTAATAAACTGTAGTTTTACACAAATCATGAATCAATTTGTAAAGAAAAGTTGAAAAACGTGTTGAAAACATGGATCTATAATACAAACTGGATAAGACTTTCCCCCTCTGTCCCACCTTGAGACTGACTCCCATAGAAGCACAATGCATTTTGGAGGAATTTAAACTTCCTGTGTTTGGCTAACAGGGCTCTGACAACTTTCACAAAGGTCGGATTTTGTAGGGATTGTATTCTATTTTCACAATATAAACTTTTTAAAATTTTGAAATCCTCAAAGCACCTTTAAGTTTGCTTTTCTGAGCCTGCTCTGAACTCGCTCCGAGCCCGCTCCAAATTTTAGACTATTTACTGGCAAATCTTAGCCTAGAATGTTTCATAAGAACTTTTATTCATACAAAACCCTTATAACTCATGTCCAACGAAGAAGTACAATTATAGTCAACAAAATAAACCAAGATTTTTAGTTAATTATGCTTTTTTCAAATGTATTCTTTGCATTTTAAGAGCTAAAAAGCCAAAAATGATGAAGGAAATAAATGGTTTAAATGGTAATGGTGCTGTGCAAATTGAAAACAAACCTTGACCCAGAAACATCACACAGAAACAGGGGCTGAATCTGAGTCTTTGCTTAAACCGGTGCAGTTGGTTTAGTAAATATGTGGATTTCTGAATGTCATTCATGTTAAACTGGTTTTAAATCATTAAATCATAAACCAGGTCTTTAAAAGGACATGAGACACGCCCAGATGCTCTATCAGGGAGCTATTAAAAAATAAATAAATCATGAATTCATTCAGCAAAGAGTTTCTGAATTTGCAACATACATTTTATGGTTACACTTTATATTATATTATATATATATAAATATATATAAAAATAATAAATAGTACCAACCATCTCTCTTTCTTAGGGTTAGGTACCTTTTTCTGTATTTAAAATTATACCTGCTTTTATAGTCTGTAATTTACATTGGAAAATTTTCAACTACAATGACAAAAGAGGAAAATTATGTTTCATTTATTTAGACATACATTAAGTGAGTCTACAGGAACGGCCTCATTTTTGTCCTGGTTTAGTATTGATTTTGATCCTGGGTCTGTACTGGTTCTGGTCCAGGTTCAGTACTAATTTGGTAAGACTGTAAGAATAAATGCGTACATTAGAACATATGCATTTACTCTTAGAATAATAAATTATTATGTTTTTTTTTTAATTATTATTTATTTTAGTCTCTGAGCTCCATTATGGCTATGAATTGTTATGCTAATTAGACCCCACACCCTGTACAGGCCAATAGGCCCAACTAACAAACAGAAACTGTAAACAAGTAGATGTGTTAGCTCCTCCCTACAGATATAAGGAAGTGTCCACCAGCATTCTGACCAGAACTGAAGAAGCAGCTTGGATGAGCTGCGAAACATCTTCAACCAAACTAACTTTTGTCCAGTCGACAAACAGAATTTTCTCCTCGCCTTTAATCTCTGAGGCATCTTTTTCAGTTACTATAGTAGTATCTTTAATGCAAGACCGACCAACTTTATATATAACACAAATGCTACATTAAATCTAATCACCAGAACTAAACCTGGACCAAACCTGGACCAAAACTGGGACCAAAACCAGGCCAAAGGTGAATCACTCATTCAGTTGTTTATCTACAGTTTGATTGACAGTCTGACTGGCTCCGCCTTTTCCCACTATAGTAGAGAAACCAGTGACTTGTGACACCGCCCATTACTCACCACTTTATTGGGGTAACGCAGCAAAACTGGTTGAACTGGCACTCCAGCAAGAAATGCACCTAAAACAAAAGAGACATTGCCAGGAAGCAACTACAATAATGTCCTCTACACCTCCCACATGCCAGTCATTCCACAAACACACCTCAGGGCTGTCATCAGAACAAGAGCACTATGGCTATGCTGCACTACCATTATTGATTTTTCTTTATTACAAAAAAAGGTTCTGCTTTTTGTTTTTTTCTGAATTTATTTTGGTTTATGTAGTCTTTTTTAAAAATGTAAAAAAAAACAACAACACAGTCATAAGTGTACAATGTACACAAACATAAAAGCCTAATAAAAAAAATGTAAAAATGTCCCTTATCAAACTTTAATCATAGTAAAGCATTCAGATTCAAATCTGAAAAAACATGACAGATCAGATGAGTCAACTCACCTGGTTTGAACTTTATCAGTGCCTTCCCATTTGTTGTTGTTCCTTCAGAAAACATTAACATCTAGAGAAAAAAAAAAAAAATATATATATATATATATATATATATTATAGTATAATATATATATATATATACATGCATGCACACACACACACAAACAATAAATAACTGATAGAAAAAGCATAAAAATGCAATTTAATGTCAAACTCTAAGTTATATGTGATGGTGTTTTTGTACCTGGGGCCAGTATCCATTGGACATGAGCCTCTCATTGAGTTGAGCCACGGCCTTTTTACGAGACTGGGGGTCCTTACGGCTCACCAGCACCGACTGATTAAACTCAAGAAGAGCTAAAACAGAGGAATAATATATGCACTTTAAAGGAAAAATGACTCTTGTGTGCTGTAAGTCATGTAATAATGTTTTCATCATAAACATACCTGGAGTTGTATTTTGTTTCATTCACACATGTTTGAGTAAACATTATTAGTTGGTTCACATGTCCAAAGCTCAAAATGCACTATTAGAAAAGCTTTTTATTGTTTGATAATCAGGAAGTGTGCTGTTAGCATGCTAGTCGTCATTAACATTACCGTGACAGCAAAACTCCACACTCCACTGACAGAAGATGGGGATGTACTGATTACTTATACTGAAGTAATAAACAAAGTTAGCTCAAATTTAAGAAGTATTTCGAGAATCCAGAGTCTATGGAAACACAAAATAAACAGAGCGGAGGGAGGAGCCAGAGGAAGAGGCCACAGCTGTTAGTCAGACTTCCACACACTGGGTTAAGTTTGAAGAGCCTATATTATGTTGAATTGACTCTTGTGAGCTTTAAGCAATGTTATAATGTCGTTACCTCCTCAGAAACATACCTGGAGTTGTGTTTTGTTTCATTCACATGTGTTTGAGTAACACTTTATTATTTGTCTGTCTCTATCATAAAATGCTCTGTTCTACCTTGTGATGTCATGTCGTGGTAGCTTGCAAGTTAGCAGCTTCCTTTTACGTTTAGTTCTGTAGAGATTGACAACTCCAGTCCTGGCTGAAATGATCAAAATGATTTTAGTGAATGTGTATAAAGTTTAAAAACACTGTATCACTTCCTGTATCACCACATGGCATCACAAGGCAAGATTAATCACAATCAAAATCACAATTTGAATGAATGCAATTGAAGTCACAAAAGCTACATTTCATCCGTGGTCCTAAAGGTAAAGGAAGGGTCCTCCTCCTCAGACAAACTGCCAATTAAAATTGTCAAAAGTCTCAAAAATCAGATGCCAATTGATATTAAAATTAGTATTGAAAGTAGATATTAATTTGAAAGTAGATACCAAGTATTGATACTGAAAAAAAATCACATTAACAGGACAGAAATTAACCTTTCCTAAATAGCTTCAGAATGATCTGGAGCTGTATCAGAACAAGTATCAGAGCACATAGACTAGTCCATGGTCAACGCCCATTTTCCACTATTGAACCTACCTGGACCACTGAGGGATTACACAGATATAAGACCATATGAGAATATAAAAGAAAGTACAATTTAATGTTGAAAAAGACAACCCATTGTCTAGATCACTGTGATATCGGAATTGGTATTGAGTACTGAGGCTATTCCTTAGCAGCACTAGCCCAGAATGAGAAGTTTTTACCTTAACTGACAACAGATGAAATCTAACTATTGTACCAACTTCTGTATATTTATTTTCAAGATAAAACTTTGCTTTATATGAGCTGTTCTTAGTGGTGTGCAAAAATATCGAACTATCCATATACTGTATTGCTACATACAGTATCGATATCGTGGACAATTTTGTTGCTTGTTTAGAAGAAGAAAAGTTGTTTATGCAACACATTTGACATTTTCTCAATTTTGATGATTAAAATGGGTGTGTTTCATATGAACTTTGCAGAAGTTTATTTTAATAATTTAGCAATTATTTTTATTTAACCGTACTGAATCAATTTGAAATATATCATATTGAACCGAAAGTGCACTGTATCGTGGCTTATGTATCGAGGTATGTATCATATCGCCAACTTCTGAATGATACCCAGCCCTAGATGTTCTAATTCAATTAAATAAAAATATAACACAATCTCTTCTTACAGAGTCACAAAGAGCACAGAGGGGAGCACTGCCACTTCCAACTGTGACTGTGTTTTGGAGGGCTTCAGATCAGAGCCTAAAAATAAACCAACAACTCTCAAACTATGGGACAGCAAGGTCAGTGTCCTTGTGGGGAAATTTTCACACAGAAATTCCCAGGAATCAAACCAGGTACCTTTTTAGTGTGAGTTAAGCCTGCCAGCCATTCAAGCCAGTCACTATAATTCAGATAACCTGTTGCAGCTCAAACTATTATATATTTTTTTTGCCTGTGTTGGAGCAGAATGTTTCCTCCAGTACAGATTTATTGTAAAAGCAAACGGTAAAAAATTAGACCTCTGTCTAGTGCATGCATGCATGTTTTATCAATGTATTTTTTATCTTCCACAAACCAGGTAGTGCACAGTAGCATGACAGTTGTTGTCAGCTTTCCAGTTACGGCTAAACTGTGCTCTGGTCTCTGAATGTTAAAGGTGCATTGTACAGATTGGTAAATCTGGTGGTAGGTCATTCAAACACTTTTCTGCATGGAGATGTTATTACTTTGTCTGGAATGTTTCATAGTATAGTATTAAACATTTCTATCTTCATGGAGACCAAACAAGACCAAGTTACAGGTCAGATGTATGGAGAGGCAACCCCATCAGAATGTCGGTTTTCTAGGTATTTTTGAGTCATAACACCATCTGTAATGTAATACATGTAAGTTAGGGCTGTTTAATGTCATACTGTGTCACACTGCAGGCAGAGCAATGACATATCCATAGAAACAAGCAGAAAAGTTCCCCAATGCACCTTTATTTTAGGCATATAAAGTACATATAAACTCACTGCCGTGTATTGACACTGCAGCTGATGTTGTCAACACTCCCTATAGATGATGATGATTTCAAGGTTCTGAAAAAAACTGAATGATACAGAATTTTTATGAATGATTGTAAAGACATTTGCTTTGTTTGATTTTTTTTTTTTTAAACTATAACATCAGCCTGCCTACGGACTACAGGTGGAAATTAGCACTAGTGCTACAACCTGGTACAATGCATCTCTCCTGGTTAATGTATATTGTGCACTGTCCCTGTCTCATTACATAAACTAAACCCTGGTGAACTGGAAGTTCTACTCTGTAACGTTCTGTCAAAGTGTGTGGATCTGGAGCTGTAGCTTGTCTCCCTGATTTCACATGATCATATGGATTAACAATGGGCAGGTGGATTAACCTATCAGAGACACATGCTCTGTTTGTGTCAAAAACAAACATGGCTGCTAACACATAAAAAAGGAGAAAATCTACTTTAAGGACTATGAAACAGTGTGGACTTTAACAGACTCAACAACTGAGGAACCAAACTATTACTTTTTCAGGTAAAAGAAGTTATACATTTTGTTCTGAATGTTACGAGAATTTTCAACAGGAGACGTCTTCTGCATTTGAGGGACACATGAGGTAAATTAGTGGCTCTGGTTGGATCATTTAAAAAGTTGAGGTTTTCACACTATGGTCTGATTCTAGTCCCTTTTGGATTCAAACAGAACGTAGACGGGACTGGCTGGTCATGCAAGTAAAACTCAGGTACAGTGCCTTTAAACCTGCCTCACCTCCGATGACGGGCAGACTGGTATTCTCCGAGCGTGACACCACCGTAGGGAGCTGAGTGGGCATAAGCACGGACATGTCCAAGAAACCGCTGTGAGGAGCCACCACCAAAACCGGAGCTTCTTTGTTACTCGCACGACGACCTTTGACCTTGAGCCAGAAGAACCCCAGGCAGAAGAACACCCCGCGACTCAGCACCCACACGATCGGATGCAGCAGCCACCTCCGCCAGCCAGTCACAGGACGGGAACGCTCCTCCTCAGATAAACCAGCCAGTCGTAGGCGAGCGACGGGCCACATGAGCAAGAAGAGGAGGGCAGCCAGGAGGATGCGCACGGGGAAGAGGATGCTGCCCAGAATGATGCCCTGGAAACAACAACTAAATTTAAATTACATAGAGAAATTTGTCCTCTGCATTTTAAGTGATGGCCAAATATGGATTTCTTTTAGCCCATACTTAATTTCTGGATTTGCTGTTGTGGCCAATAATTTACGTTTTTCAGTGACAATATAATCACTGTATGTAGTCTGAGCTCTTACAGTTTAAAAAAAGGTTCTATAATCATAACTGAACCTGTTCTTTAACCTGCAGATAGAGGACACATCCAAGTTTGTCTCATTCTCAGTATATGGACAGACCTCATGTGAAAGCTCAGAACCTTCAGAATTCCCTCAGTGAGCTGCAGAGGCTGCACTAGCACTGATTCATGTTTGGCTGCAGGTGCTGGGGTTTAGGGAGTGACCATTCGGATCAGAGAGAGACATTTTAGGTTTAAACACACTGGATTTCAGCACTGAAACTGGCAACTCAAATGAGAGACTGACATGACCAAACAGCTTGGCATCAAATTCAGTGTTTTTGTAATTAAGAATAAATCAGCATTACAATCGTTACCAAAAAGCTATATTTGATTTGAACATATCTAAATCACAGATAAGTTTATGAAAGTTCAAATCCAAATCTTACATATGGGTCCTTTAAACACAAACAAGTCCAAACCAATACTTGCTCAAATTAATATTTAGCCTGAAATCTAGTTCTGAATCGCCATCTTGGAGGATTACGGTATATGTTTTTGTCACTTCAAACATCAGTTAGAATAAAGACCCAATCTGTTTAAAGGCGCCCTGTGTAAAGGCCATAGTATGGACTTGTCTCCTATATTATTTACTATAGTGTTTAGTGTTTAGCAGATCTGACACGTTTGACCAATGTGGAGCAGTATACAGAACTACAGTGTGGTTTGAAGCATGTTTACAGAGAGCGGAACTCAAACAGCAATAAATCACCAGGACCAGAGAGGATCTAGGACCGGACTGAACCAGGGACTGAAATAGGGACTGAACCAGGGACTGAACCAGGGACTGAACCAGGGACTGAACCACACTATAACTGGTCTTGGTCTAGAACAAAACTGATTAGGACAAAAAACAGAGACTAAACCTAAACCAGGAATACATCTCAAACAGGACCTAAAACAAGACTAGGTTTAAACTAGGACCAAACTAGGATTAACCAGGGACAAGAACCAGACCAGGACTAAACCAGGGACTAGGACCAAACCAGGACTGAACCAGGATTAAAACAGGGACTAAGCCAGGGACTAAACCAGGGACTAAACCATGGACTAAAACATGGACTAAAACATGGACTAAAACATGGACTAAAACAGGACTAAACTCTCCAAATTAATTAATCTCTCCAAATTAATAAATCTAAATTAATTGCAGCGGCTGAATGACTGTGGACCATTTTCTTCCACTTATAGTTCGTTTTATTTCACACAAACATGTTTAATTCGTGTAATCTTACCCTTATTCTCTGCGCCTTGGTTAGTTTAACTTCGTGGATGAACGGGTGAGGAGGGTCCATTGTTACCAAGTGACAGAAAGCGACAGAATTCCACACAAAAACAGGACAATTTTTCTACTAAAAAGAAATTAAAGACTTAACTGTGATAAAAACGTCACTAAAAATACCAATTAAACTTCAACGTAACATTACAAATCTGTCCGGAGCGTCCAAAACTTCCGTTAAAAGTTCTGGAAAAAAAATGGAAAATCCTTAAAAACACCGACAAAAACTTGATACAAAGTTAAATCTAGCAGCTTAAATGTGTGTCCCTTGGCTGTTCTCTTTTACACGTGTTGTCACGATTGAAAAAAAACACGTTGTACTTTATGTCTCCGGGGCTCCCTCCGGTTCCTCTCACCTGGCCCGCCTCCTCACGCTGTGACAGGCCGAAAGCAGAGCGCTAGAGGCGGGTACGACGAGTCCGACCAGTCCCCCTGAAACGAAAAACCTCCAACGACCCCCAATGTCGAGATGAAATTCCACTATTTATATTCATGAAATCAACTTAATACTGATTTTAAAAAAAATAAAATAAGCATAAATGTAACTATTGGGCATTATATTTGTATTTTATATATGTAGATTTCAACTATATTAAAGGGCCTATATTACACTATTTTCAGATCTATGTTATAATGCTGTTTATTCATCAAAAACATAGCCAGAGTTCTGTGCTCCACTGTGTTTTTAAACTCCATACACCTTCACTGGGATCATTTGGATAATTTCAGCCCTAGAATTTACTACCTCTGCTGAACTAAAGGTAAAAGATTAACTTGAAAACTACCACATGACATCACAAGGTGGAACAGGGCATTTTGAGTTAGACTAATAATAAAGGATTACTTAAACGTGTGAATGAAACACAACACAACTCTAGGAATGTTTTAAATCAGCTCACTATTGAGAGAAAATATAAAATAAATAATTGTAGCTATAGGGCATTTTATTAGTATTTTATAGATGTATATGTTAACTATATTAAAGGTGCACTGTGTAACATTTCTGGTAGAGGCTCTGTCATATGCTTCTCTACATGAAGATGTTATTGCTTTGTTTTGAGTGTTCCGCAGTATGGCATTACATTTATTTATATAAACTAAGCACAAGCAAGTGATGCTACAGGGTCAAGTTACAGGGTCAGATCTATGGAGAGGCAAGCCCATTCACAGTAAAAATGCATGTTTTTAAATCAATAAAACACATATCATTGAGTGAGATGGATAGTTTAACATCATAGTGTGGAATTTTTAAGACAAAGCAATAACATCTCCATAGAGACAAGCAGGTGATGGGCCCTCCACCACAAACCTTACACAGTGCACCTTTAATATGTATTTTATAAGATGAGAATAACTCATGATTTTTAAGTACAGTGTAAGTAATTATTTTAATAGTTTAACGTCTCTGTACATTGTCCTAGACTAAACAAAACTACATTCATTCCCAGCTGTGCCCACATGCATGCAGTTCTTATTATATAACAGACACTGCCCACATTTTTGAGTTGGCAGGTAATCTTTCATAGTTGAACTGGGCCAGTGCCAAAAAGACAATTTCACAACATTATAAAAATCCAGACCAAAAGATGACTGAAGGATGACCAAACTAGTACTAAACCTGTACCAGAACCAGTAGACCCAGGATCAAATACAGTCTAACCCAGGATCAAAACCAATACTAAATCAGCACCAGAACCACTCTAAACCAGGATCAAAACCAGTTCTAAACCATGACAAAAATGAACTTTATCAAAAGCCATTTCTGTACACTCACTCATGCCCTTTAAAAACAAAAGGTGGGGCCATCTGTTGCAGGGTGTGAACCAAAGTCTAATACAAAACTACATTTATGTGTCACAGTGTGTCACAGTCAGTGTTGGGGAGTAACAGATTACATGTACCGGAGTTACGTAATCAGAGTACAAATTATGAGTAACTGTATTCAGTTACAGTTACTGTTTCAGTGAGTGGTAATTGGATTCTGGTTACTTTGTTGAAATAAATGGATTACACGGTGGTATTTTCCTGTTTTCACATTTTGGGGATATATCCCTTTTTTTTTTTTTTCTTTTTTTTTTTCTTTCGGTAATTCCATTTATTTCTGGAAACTAAACCAGGACTAAACCAGGACTAAAACCAGGACTAAAACCAGGGTCTAAACTAGATCTAAACTAGATCTAAACTAGATCTAAACCAGGTCTAAACCAGGTCTAAAACAGGATTTAACAGGACTAAACCATGCTGCGTGGACGTGTCTCGTCGTCTTCTATCAATAATATTTTTAATACGGTTCAGTAAAGTCTGGGCTTTTTATTTTCTTTTAAAACATCTTATGTTACGATATCCTGGTCTTTTCTTCTCTACAGCAAACCAAGTAATCCAAAGTATTCAGATTACATTACTCACTTGAGGTAATTTAATGGATTACGTTACAAACTACATTTTGGGGTATGTAATCTGTAATCTGTAGGGGAATACATTTTAAATGTAACCTTCCCAACACTGGTCACAGTATAGATCCACACAGAGTCTGGTATTTATCTGGAGTCACATTATGGAAAAATACACCTAGATGAGTTTTAGTCAGTTAAGTGTACTTGAGTAGTTAACTTGCGTAACTTTTAAATTTAAACAAAAAATACAATTTAACTAGTTTTAGTTGTGTAATATAGGCCTATTGTAAAATAGTACTATTTCTTGAGTAAAAGTTTTGGCTTCTCTTCCCACTGTGTGTAAGTGACAATATGAAATGATTTGAACATCAAATCAGAAAAAGCAATATGTTTAAAAAAATATTTTTCTTGTTTTTGTTCTAAGAAAATCTAAAATTATGGTGAGCAGATGATCACAGCTCATAGTTGGTTGTGACGGTTAATTGAGTAATAATTTAAATTAATTAATTCTGTACTCTCCTGGTCTTTCTGTAGTGTCCTGTTCTCAGAATGAGGAGCTAATGGCGCAGATTAGCAGCCACACCTGTTATACACTCTGTCTGCCTTGTGGCAGCTGTAGCAGCAGCCACTGTGTTTGCAGTGAATGATGCCCGGATTTACAAAGCAACTTCTGAAAGAGCTCTACATGACTAATACACCAAGTAAGCCCTGTAGGACTATTGTAGGATCTGGCCACTCAAAAGTGGGAAATAATTAGCTTTTTTATTGGAAATACAGTTCATGGCAATGTTAATTAAAGATCTCTATTATGCCTTAATACATGATTATTTCTATGGACCTGGTATCTCTGAACATTCACATGATCTCAGGTATAGCTTGTACTTTGAAAACTTGTATATAAACAATAACATTTTATAATACTTGAATTAAAATATAAATAAATTAAATATTGTGTATTTACCAATATAAAACTACACAAGTCAATATATGTGATGCGTCTTCATTGCTTTAATTGTTAAAAGACATTACAGTGAAATCAGCACTCAAACTGGTGACCCAATGGTCAGAGGTACACACTTCTCCACTAGTCCACACAACCAACGTGCTGTTCACTGCAGAAAGCCTGACAAATGAACAAAGATCTGTAAAAATGCTCAGAAGAATGACTGCCAACAAAAACATCAACAACTGCAAACACATCACATTTTAATGGATTTTGACTTTTTTTTTAATACATTTTATTATGCATGCTAAATATTCAACCCATTTTATATTTATTTTGAGTCCCAAGAGCTCCCTTAATTATGTTTAAAAATATATGGTCTATTTTAAAGCTTATTTCAGATACATAACATTTTCCTCCAGATGGATTTTTAACAAGAGGAAAAGGTTTATAGATGGACTGGGTATGAGTGTCACATGCACCAAAATCCATAATCTTTAATCTAGATTTAACATGTAGTCTTGTCCAATCAGATAACTAAATATTTTAAACTGGATTTCTCATCATAGTCTGTTTAGGATTCACATCAAGAGGAAAACATTTATATATATGCTCTGAGTATGAGTATCACAGTCTAAAGATTGCCCCCTGGTGGTTATGTAAGAAACACAAGTGCACCAAAAGGCATGCAGTGTAATTTAGATTTAACATGTAGTCTTGTCTAGTCCAATTTTTACTAAATGTTTGGATTTCACATTATAAAAGTGCCTGCTTCTTGTGTGTACTCAAAAATCACACAAAACACAAAAACACAAAAAACAAGTCACTGTATTAATTGAAAATGCCATGTAGTTTCATAATTAAAGCCAATGTAGAATCTCATTACATCCAACACACAATGTCCAAAACCAAGTCTAAAACAGGTCTGAACCAGGTCTAAAACAAGTCCAAAGCAGCTCTAAACTAGGTCTAAACCAGGTTCAAACCAGGTCTAAACCACACATAAACCAAGTTAGATTCTGAGTAAATCCGATATTCAAGGTCCACATTTACTTTATATGATAGCCTGGATATTGTAGCTCTAAAAGACAGTTCAAGGACAATTATGTCTCTTAGCAATTAACAGAAATTACATGAAGTCCAAAAACCTCCATCACCTTTAAATCAAAAATAAAATTTCTAAAGATTTTCATCCTTTCTTCCACCACCTCACATATGCATCATTCTTATGAAGACCCTCTTCACAATCAACCCTGTAAAGGGAAATAAATACATAAATTAATATAAAAATAAATAAAAAAAATAAAATTACTGAGTGGTGCATATTAACACTATTTTAGAAAAAAAAAACAGGATTAAAACAAGACCCCTATCAGTTGATGGTCTAAACAAAGTTTAAGCTAGAACATAACCCGGTCTAACCTAAGACTAAAAATGACTGAGCCAAAACTAAAGAAGGACTCATGGGAGGAGCTTACCTGATTTCAGCAGTCCATGCTCATATAATGCCAGGACAGGTCTGAAAAATAAAAGGGCAAAACTCTAATGTTAATAAAGACACAAAAAGCAGTTAAACAAAATGTACAAAATTAGAAATAAACTAGGTCTAAACCAGGTCCAAAGTAGGTTTAAAGTAGGCCTTATCTATGTCTAAATCAAGCCTAAACCAGGCCTAAACCAGGTCTAAACCAGGTCTAAACCAGGTCCAATCTAGGCCTAAACAAATCACAAGCTATGTCTAAACCAGGCCTAAACTACGTCTAAACCAGGTCTAAACCAGGCCTAAACCAGGCCTTAAGTACTATAGGTCTAAACCCACCTTGGTGCAGCCTGCAGATTTGAGGCAGAGTTTGGTGTTACAGTGCAGGTAAACGTCTCCGTTGCTGCCCAGAAACTGGAACACTCTGAAGAAGAAGACACTGGCCAAGCTTTCTCCATTAGAAACCACCTTCACAGTCTCCTCACTAGAACAGCTGCAGAGAGACAACAGAGTGAGTCCTGCTCTAGTCCTGGTTAAGTACTGCTTTAGTCTTGCTCTAGTCCTAGTTTATTGTTCTATTCTGCTCTAGTACTGGTTTAGTCCTGCTCTAGTCCTGGGCTCTAGTCCTGGGCTCTAGTCCTGGGCTCTAGTCTTGGTTTGTGGTCTAGTTTTGCTTTAGCCCTGATTTAGTACTGTTTTATTTGTCTAGTCCTGCTCTAGTCCTGCTTTAGTCCTGCTCTAGTCCTGCTTTAATCCTAGATTAGTTCTGGTTTTATGGTCTAGTAGTCCTGCTCTAGCCCTAGTTTAGTGCTGATCTAGTCCTGTTTAGTGCTGGTCTATTTCTGGTTTCATTCTTTAGAACTGAACCAGTCCTGAGACAGGGCTAAACCAGGACTAAGTTCAGGACAATTGTTGAACTGAACCAGGACTAAAATTGGACTCACCCATTCTTGAGGTGATATTTCTGGGTTGCATTGTAGTTTTTCTCCTCGGTTGCCCAGCAGTCCTCGATGACCACAGCCAAGAGCTGCTGGTCCACCTCTGAGACTTGCGCCTTGACAAAGAGTGGCTGGTCCAGACGCAGCCCGGTGCCTGAGTCCACGGGTGATTTCAGCTCCTCGTCTGTGAAGGCCGCCATGTTAAAGACATAGGTCCACTCTCCGGCATCAATCACTTTCACTATGGAGCTGCACACACACACACACGCAGAATTGTGAGACATAATTTGGGGACAGGCTCTTGTCCCTGTCCTGCTCCTGTTCCACCTGCCATAATGTCTGTATAATGCATCCCTATAGCCAATGAATGCAAGACGATGGACTGCTAATCTTTTCTATGTGGTATGTTTCCATCTGTCTGTTTAATTACTTTAGCTGTGTTCAGACACGGTTTAAGCCAGGTAAATCAAAACTAACCCCAGTCTGACCCAAGTGTCAACCTACTTAAACCACTACCAATGCCACTACTATTACTTCGACTAGAATAACATTTGATTAGGTGAATTTGTGTTGGTAATTCTTGGATTAGAGTCAGCATGGCATGTGACAAGGTTGCTTATTTTCACCTGAAATCTTGTTTTTAGTTTTCATGGAATCACAAACTCTCAGATAAAGTTAATTGTTATTTACCATCCTAAGAGACATTTATCCAAATTTATTTTTAAATTATCTTCTTATTTTTAAACTCTAAATCTACTGTGGCTACATCTGCTCGATATTGCTGCACAGCAAAAACTGGAGGGTTTAGGGTAAAATATTTCAGAGTTGTTTTTAACACCAAAAGTGTTATTTTAACTATTTGAAAGTTAAATGGGGGTTCGAGTTGGGGTTATTTGCCAGAGTTGACGTGGTTGAGGTTAATTCAACTTCCTCTAGTGTTAATTCAACTTCCCTTAGTGTTAATTCAACTTCTCTTGTTGTTTTCTCATGTTAATTTGGCTCCTCTCATTCACCACTTCAAACTCTTGTAAGAGAAGACCAGTTTGAACCAGTTTTGTACATAATTTCATCTTAAATGAACTCAAATAAAGTAAAACTAAAATAAAACTCCTCCGTGTGTTAGTTAAATCAGAATAACACTACAAAGTATTATCTGTTTACTAAACGTGAATATAACTCTGGATTTCGGGGTTAAACAGGAACTTTGGTCCAGTGTTACTTAGTTAACATTTCCAAAAATGTTAAGTTAACTCTAGAACACATTGGACTCATATAAACTCTGAGAAAATGTTAAAATTGATTCTGTGAGAGTCAATTTTAACACTCAACTTTTTGCTGTGTGTGAATTGCCCTAGTTTGTATTAAAGTTGCCAAGACATGATAAGAAACAGTAGATAATTCTATTAAAAAAGTAATATTATTATATTTTATTAATTATTTCTGTTTTTTGTAATTCTTACTTGCACATATACATTTATATAATTATGGCTCATATGACACCCGTCTCTTGCTATTTTTGCTACTTGAAACCCAAAAAACATGCGCCATAGCTCATTGATTCCAATAGCTGTGTGGAAGCACAGCTAATGGAGGTGAAATAAATAAATAATAATATTGTGGACCATCACAATATATCGAATTACGACTCTTTATTATGCTTAAATTAATAGTTATGGTGCAGCAGTAGCTAAAAAAACAACAACAAAAAAACAAAGGGAACTACATAGACCATGATCCTTTGCTTTCAGTGCAAACTACATGAAGAAATTACTTATCAGTGTAATGGTTGTAAAACAAGACAATTTATATACATTTATGATACAGTATTGCTACAGTTAACTATATAATTCATAATACGAATTATTTTAAAAACTAAAGTAATTTTATTTTATTTATACATGATTATTATTTGTATTAGATTATATATATTATATCATTCTATTTTCTGGTGTTGTGAAAAGATGTTGTGTGCTGTTCACCACACATGCGGTCCAGTGAATAGCAGGGGAAGCTCCGGTTCGGTCTCTGGTCATTAAAATCACCGAGTTGAAACCTGAACATCCTCCGCTGTTTTATTTATTCAAGATTTATCAACCTTTTACATGGGCCGTAGTTGTAACATAAGCACATTTAAGTCTTAGTTCTTTGGATTGAGGCTTGTCAAGGCATTTTAAGAGGAAAAAGTGAGAAGCATATCGAGAAAATTTTGTACCCAGAAATTTGGATATCGTTATATATCTCTACCATATACACAGTGAAGTAGTGAAAAAAATTGATTCAGTTCCACTTTAACTATGTCACCTGTCCATGATCTTCAGGGACATGGTCTGGATCTTGGGCTGGGTGTAGGCACAGGAGAACTTGATGGACAGGTGGTCTTCTCTGTTGATGACACTTGTATTGTCATCTTCTGGAGTGGAGATGGTGTTGGTGTAAATGATGTTGCTACCCTTTATCTGAAAACCAGAAAACGTGACTAAAATTAAAGTGTTCAGGTCACTGAGTAAAATATTTCATCATAGCTTTAGACAATGTCATATTTTCACAGTAATGATGAAAAACAACTAGCATGCTAGCAGCAAACTTCCTGGTTCACTAAAAAAAAAATAATAATAATGATAATAATAAAAATAAATAAATAAATAAAACCCTCACCCTCTTGCTTCAGACCTGGTCTAGGCCTGATTTAATCTTGGCCCAGTCCTGGTTCAGTCATGGCCTGGTTATTGTTGAGTTCTAGTGTAGTCCAGTTTCAGTCTTTGGTCAGTCCTGGTCTGGTCCTGGTTCAGTCCTGATCAAGTCCTGGATTGATCCACATCTTCTTATCCAATTTCAGTCCTGGTGGTTCAGTTCTGGTCTAGTCCCAGTCTAGTCCTGGTCTAGCCCTGGTCTAGCCCTGGTCTAGCCCTGGTCTAGTCCTGGTCACACCTTGGTCAAGTCCCAGTTCATTCCTGGTCTTACCGACACATTGGCGGCACAGTGATCTGCGTCGCTAAAAGAGAAGGTGACTTTGTTGAGGACAGGGTCGAGGACTCCGGTGCACTTGGGGTCATTCAGGTGGAGACTGGAGATGTTTATCCCTTTTTCCTCCAGGAGACAGTGCAGTAGAGAAACAGATGCACTTTTAGAAGCACAAACCGTATCATCTCCTGCAGATCACAACACAATCTTTCAATCTTCAGTCCTGGTCCAGTCTCGGTTCAGTCCTTGTTCAGTCCTGGTTCAGTCCTGATCCAGTCCTGGTCCAGACCCAGTTCAGTCCTGGTTCAGTCCTGATCCAATTCTGGTCTAGTCCAGGTTTAGTCCTGGTTCAGTAGAGCATTTCAGGTCTGAAATTATTTAAATGATTCTAGTGAAGGAGTATGGAGTAAAAAGAAACACAGCGGAGCAATTTCTGATTTACCACAGGACATCACAAGGTGTACTAGAGTGTTTTCTGTTTGAGAATAGAACTCAGTCTAAATACTCAGGGTTTGTGTGTCAAAAGTGTGAATGAAACAAAACATAACTCCAGGTATGTTTGTGATGAGGAAAAAAACATTATAACATATCACAAAATATAATGTAGTATGGACTCTTTAAAATGTTATAAAATTATTCATTATGATTTTAATGACAGTAAAAGTTTAGTCAGACATACCCAGTGTGCCTTTGGCCTTGTAGGGGGCAGCATAGTTGGCGGTACAGAAACACTTAGGGTCTCCACCGATAGACAACCCGCAGAACTCTTTGCCAGGTTGACAATGTTTACCATAACACTTTGAGGGAGCTGTAAAACATCAAAATACATAAATAAATACAACTATTTCCACAGCATTACAGGGAGGGTCGCATTGGACAAAAGCACATTTCAAACCAGTAGTGGAACGTTATAAAGTAAAAGTACTGTACTTAAAGGTGCATTGTGTAACTTTTATGGTGGAGGACCTGTCAAATGCTTTTCTCCATGGAAGCATTATTGTTTTGTCTGGAATGTTTCACAGTATGGTATTAAACTTTTCTACCTTCAAGACCAAAACAGACCAAGTTATAGGTCAGATCTGTGGAGAGGCGATTGATGAGATCAGTCTGAATCAGTTCCTATGCCTTGATATCTTAAAGTTAACATTGGACAATTGCCCTGCCTTCAAAATGTCTCTGTGTGTTAACAGAGCAAAATGTTAATTGTTAATGGCAACATCCTAAGTTTTCATTACTCTAAATTCTGAAACCCATAGATATGATCTTAAACCAGTCTTAATCTAAAATCAATTTTTTTTTTATTTATATTTTAAGTGTAATAAACTTGACCTGAGGGAAACATGTTCAAATCTTTTAATGATTACAATTGCAATGTGAGAAGTGAGAATGAGGAAAACTTGTATGTATCCTCTATCTGCAGGTTAAGGCAGTGGTGACACAGGTTCAATTATGACTTTAGTAACTGAACCAGTAAAAGTGCATCCACCCTGTCCTCACTAATGGTTACAGCTTTCCTCATGTGAATGTGTGTCCTTACAGCAGCCCAGAGTGTCCATCCAGTCCTGGAGCTCACAGGTGCGTGCGTAGCTGTCCAGCAGGTGGCAGAAGAGGCCATCTGTGCCGGTGTAGTTACACAGGAGGTTTATGCAGGCAGTGATGTAAGGCTCTGGGTCCATGGGGCATTCACTAAAGGGCTCTTTGAGCAGCAGATGACACCTGAGAGAAAGTCAGGTTATAGGGACTATAGGGACAGACACATATATAGGGACAGACACACACAGGGACAGAAACACTTAGGGACAGACACACGTATAGACAGATACACACATAGTCACAGACACATATATAAGCACAAACACACTTAGGGACAGACACACATACGGACTGAAACACATATGGACAGAAACACATAGGGACAGACACACATAACTGCAATATTCCTATTTTAATATTTTTGTAGGTAAATGTGGTACAGACCCATTCTTAAATAACTGTGCCAAAGTATTTTGTTTTTAAAGTCTTTATTTGTAATAAAATTGTCTAACATAAGTTAAAAAAAAAAACGAAGTCAATGTTGCAGTGTTAAAACTACTGCTGTTTTTGGTGACCTCACGTAATCATAGTCACTTAATTCATTGATTTGTTCCAAAATGAACGTATAAGATGAGTGGTTAAAGCAGCACCCTAGCTCTTTGTCTAACAAAGTTGGAACAAAAACATCTTAAAAAAAAAATAAAAAAATAAAAAATAAATAAATAATAATAATAAATAATAATAATAAATAATAATAATAATAATAATAATAATAATAATAATAATAATAAATAAATAAATAAAATACACATAAATAAACAAATAAAATAATAAAGAAAATAATTTAGCTGTAACATAATAAAATGATTCAGAACTTACCTCTGTGTCACTGCTCCACAGTTGATGCCGTCTCCTCGACTGTCATTTAACACTGTGTTACAACTGGAGACAAAACAATATTGAGACTTTTGCTGCTGGTGTGTGTGATGGTGAGTGTGATTCTAACTGTAGGCGTGCTCTCTCTGAGGCTTTGTTAGAATAAACCTGCACTCACAAGCTAGCTAGCATTAGCCTTCAGTTTTCCAAGTAGTTACTCTCACATTTTTGTTAAAAATCTAACTCCTAAACCGTGAAACCGGTCCATGAACACTCATATTGATCACAGGCTTCTGAACATGTGCTGTTTAGATCCATTCTCCTGAGTTTTCAGACTATTTAAAAGGCAGTGTTTGCTAATGTGTGCATTGTGTCTCCATGGAAGCTGCTGAGCATTATGTCATAGACATACATGCAGAGCACCCCGAGCGCAATGTCACTGCAGCAAATTAATTATTTCAGTATTCTGACTTATATTGAACAAAATGTAAAATTATACACAGGTGAAGTTTAAAGGTGCACTGTGCAACTTTTCTGGTGGGGGGCCTACTACGTGCTTGTCTCCATGGAGACATTATTGCTTTGCCTGGAAGCTTCCATGGTATGACTTTAAACATATCCATATAGCATTTGGTCATTACTGGTGTTTCAACTGCTCAAAAATACAATAATTCCTTCTGTGAATAGGGGCGACTCTCCACAGATCTGAATTGTAATGTAGCTTAGAGCTGTAACCTGCTTCTCTTCCTCGATGGGTTTAATCTATAGTTTGTAACATTCTAGACAAAGCAATAACATTTCTACAGAGACAAGGAGGTGGCGGACCCTCCACTACAAATGTTACACAATGTACCTTTAACAATAATTACCAGACAAATTTTTTTTCTTGTCACCAGCATAAACAAAAGAAAGCAAATATAAAGTGTGTCTTACTTGTTTATCTGAAGGCTTTGAACAGAGCCCGATGTACAAGTGTCACTACCAACCAGATCCTGTACATAACCTGTAAAAAAGAGCATGAAAAAAAAGTTGTACTTTTTGTTCATCCTGAGATATTAATTTAATTGCTACAATGAAAAAGAAATTTGAGACCCTGACCCTTCATCATTAAACTTAAACACATCTTTAACTGACCAAAAATATGAAAAGAACATAGGTACTCAAAGCCCATATGGCTTGATGGTTGGATAGTAGGCTACCTGTGGAAAATGTTTATTATGGTTTCAAGTTAATTTAAGAGACCATGAGTGGGAAAAAAGAAACATTCAAATATACAATTTATGTAAGCATTAAACAACAAGGAGCTGTGCGTGTTGCAGTTTTAACGAACTCCGCAGAGTCGTAGAACACCACTGCAACAAACTGAACACCTGTGAAAGTGAAAATCCTGTTCACTGTCTGTAAATGTCTCAAATATCAATAATTTCAGTGTTTTAAATTAAGCTAGTCCCCACATTTTATTCAGAGCAGTTGAGGATGTGTTACCTGAAAAAAAAAACAATATCTAGTTAAATTAAAATGAGTTAAATCAAGAACATTTTACTTTATTTGAGTAGATTCAAGTAAAACTATCTACCAATGAAATAAGGGTATTTTTCTTAATTCATGCAATATTAGATTTTGTTTCTTATTTTACGTGCAAAAAGTTGTTGTTTATCTTATTTTAAGTGTAGCAAGATGTATTTTCATATTTTATTAAGTACAAAAAATGTTGTTCCACTGGCAGATAATTTTACTTGTCAAGTGAAATTTACTCAGATCATGATAAAATCTTCTTAATTCAAGTCAACTTAACTTGACTAGATTTTGTTTTTTTGCAGAGCGTGGCGATGGCCACAGAGTGGTGATATAGAACAGTGATATGGCTATTGCCGGAACTACTTAAAGTATTAACGCACAGCAGTCAGGCATTGGAATTCTCACCCACTGTGGTATAAGCAGTTTAAACATTCATTCATTCATTCATTCAACTTTTGGCTACTGTTAATGTTATGGTTGCCTGGGCAGGGAACACATTCACAAACCTCAAAGCTAGTATTTACAGTTACTGACTGAACCCAAGAACTCACTGTATTACACCATAATTTTCCATTTGAATTATTTTCATTTTAGCTGTCCCCCATTTGTATTAATTAATATTGGCCAATAAAATGCTGTGATGTCATTTGAAACCCAGCAGTGCATGCCATAGATATTGCCCATGTCCAACTAGGAAATCCAATAATAATTTTTTCTGAGTAAATCAAATGTGCATGTTTAGAGTATGTATAAAATATGGATAAAGCGACCGCAGGGGGAAGCTCTTTCTTAAGTTTCTTTCTTAAGTTTCTTAGTTCTGTTTTAGAAAAAATTCTCTTTTACGTTTTGTTCTGCTGCTGTGTTGTTTTGACCATTTAGGTTGGGCTATATAGTGTGGATCTCATTCAGTCAGACTACTATGCAATGATGACGTCCACTCATTGCTACACACTGATCATACAGTGCATTATAATATATAACAAAAACAAAAGTACATGACTCAAGAATGACTTTTAACAAGGCGATGTTATAATCTTTCCTCATCAAAAACATACCCGGAGAGCATTTTGTTTCATTCACACATATTAAACACACAAACCCTGCATTTTGCCATGTGGTAATACAGGAAGTGCTCCACTGTGTTTTCCCTATTGAACAAAAGGTCAAAGGTGCTGTTAACTTGAAAACTACCGCTACTACGACATCACAAGGTGGAACAGAGCATTCTGAGCTTTAGAGATGTAGACAGACGAATAGTAAAGGATTACTCAAACATGTGTGAATGAAACAAAACACAACTCCAGGTATGTTTTTGAGGAGGCAACAACATTATAACATGACTTAAAGCTCATTTTTGCATAATAAGAGATCTTTAAATGTTTAGTCGCATTATAAATATTTGCATGTCAGTCATGTGAACATACCGCTATATTGCATGTGTAGAGTTGTTCCATCAAAAAAGACCTCAGCAGCGCTTTTGTTCAGTTTAACTGTGACTGAAACGCCCCCTGGAACCTTTGTGAAAACAATGTTGTTTACGGTGGTGCCGTTCTCTGTGGGAACTACTGTGCCATTTTGACCCTGTTTGAAAAGATTTAAATATTATTATACACACTGCACAAGACATGTCTAAGTGAAGGGAGGTTAAAATGACTTCTATTAAGAACATTTAACATTTAATAAAAAATGTTGCCAGTGATGTACATAATCTTTATATAACCAGACACAGCCTGACCAGAGAGAGAGAGAGAGAGGGAGAAGGAGAGAGAGACAGAGAGAGAGAAACAGAGAGACAGAAAAGGGGAAGAGGAAGAGACAGACAGAGAGAGAGAAGGGGGAGAAGGAGAGAGAGACAGAGAGAGAGAGACAGAGAAGGGAGAGAATAAGAGAGAGACAAAGAGAGAGAAGGGGGAGAAGGAGAGAGAGACAGATACACAGAGAGGGGGGGGGGGAGGGGGCAGAGAGGAGGGAGGGGGGGGGGGGGAATAAGAGAGAGGAGAAGGGGGAGAATAAGAGAGAGAAAAGGGAGAAGGAGAGAGAGACAGTTTAAGAGAGAGAGAGAAAATGGGGAGAAGGAGAGAGAAAGACAGAGTGCGTATACATGCACATGAGTATCCCGGTTATCGGGTTTTTTGAGTATCCCGGTTTCATCATAGTGCATGTATCCCGGTTGTGGCAGTATCCCTGTTGTGGGAAACCGGGATACTGTAGCTGGTATTTTCCAATAGTAACCGGGATACTGTGTCATGTATACGCAGTATCCCGGTTACTGCAACATGACACTGAGTGCGCATTCATCCAAAAGACATACATTTCAGTCTTTTCACCACAACAATAGCGTTATAAAGTGACCATCATAAATAAAGTGACCATACATGAGTGAAATAACTGCGCTAAATCTGCCCACGAATCTACACTCGTACGACCTGCACACATATGATCACTGAAAAGCTAACAGAACAGACTTACCATCATCAATGTCCCTCTGTCACAGAAAAAAACACTCATATTCCACTGAGTTGTGTCCTTTAGTCCGACAGAAGCTGAACCGCATCAGCAGCACAAGGAAAGAGCTGTTTTTATCGCTAACAGTTTATGCAAATTAGTCATGCGGTCTTAAGTTTCGTTTCAGTAAAACGTAAACAAATGTGGCAAAGCTGAATTATATTATCAAACGGGCTGATGTTGTTATGGTTTATATGTTATATAGCTGAGTTTATTTATGCAGAATATTTTAATAAAAAATCTACTTGATCTGCGCAATGGATTGTGGGATACCTCAAAGCTTGTCAGAACCTCCCGAGCTTCCTGTGTGAAAGGAGCTCATGGTTGTTTGTATTTTTCCTGGTTTATTAACTTAAATTAAGTCAAATTTTGCACTTGCGCATTTGTAAGATTATGTCAAGAAACCGGGATACTCTATTTGATCATGTATACAGGGATATGAGTATCCTCTGAGGGCAGAGTATTTTGTATTCACAGTATCCCAAATACTGACATAACCGGGATATGGCTAATAACTGGGATACTGATGTGCATGTACTGTATATGCACTCATAGAGAGAGGGGACAGTGAGAGGGAGTGAGAGAGAAGGGGAAAGAATGTGAGAGACTTCTTTATTAAGTCTATGGTTGGAGGATGGGGATTTTATAGAAGACTTACAAGGATCACGCCTGATTGGAACAACTGAAAATCATAACCCTGGTGAAAGATGTGAACTTTGTCCAAAAGAGGAACATCAGAGAGGCGCCGTTCGGAGTGATAGCTGAGGATGGTCATCAAACTGTTATTCATTAGGAACTGTGGACAAAAGTCTTCGACAGCGTGGGCTTTTTCTTTGGTGTCGATGATGGTGTTTCCAACCAATACACATGTGAAATGCCCTTTCTCCATACACCTGTGAAGAAGAAACAGGCAGTGAATATAAAGAGACAGATAGAGAGAGGAGGGTAGCGAGAGAAGGGGGCGAGAGAGGAGGGGGAGCAGGGAGAGGGAGAGAGAGAAAAGGGAGAGATAGAAAGAGAGAGACAGAAATAAGAGGGGCAGAGAGAGGGAGAGAGAAGGGGGAGATGAAGAGAAAGATAGAGAGGGGGGGAGGAGAGAGAGAGAGACAGAGAGAGGGGGGACAGAGAGAGGGAGAAAGAGGTAGAGAGAGGAAGAGAGAGGCAGAGAGAGGGAGAGGGAAGGAGAGAGGGGGCAGGAAGAGGGAGGGCAGAGGAGGGAGGAGAGAGAGTGAAAGAGGGGTGACAAAGAGAGGGAGAGAGTGTCAAGGAAGGAAATAGGGAAAGAGGGGTCGGGGCTTCAGGAGGAAAAGAAGGGCAGAGAAAGCAAGAGAGAGAAAAAGGGGAGAAAAGGAAAGAGACAGAAAAGGGCACACAGAGAAGGAGTGGAGAGACAGGTGCAGAGAGAAAGAGAGAGAGAGGGTATAGCAGGGGCAAGGGGAAGGAGAGGGGAAGAGAGGTAGGGGAAGAGAGAGGCACACAGAGAGGGCCAGTGGATCAGAAGCATGGAGAAGGAAAGAGAAGAAAAGAGGGAGGGAGACAGAGAGATAAAGAGAGATAGAGACAGAGAATACTAGATAATAGAGTCCAACTGCATAACTTTTCAGAATTATATTAACATTTTAAGTACTAATACTCTTAAGTTTCTGTTACTCTAAAACAAAACAATTTGTGCAGTAATTTTTGAATCACCTTTTCTTGTGTTTGTGTAATTTATTAATTTATTTTGTAATATAATATGAGCCTGTATGTCTATGGAGGAATGCTCAGCAGTGACCATGGTGATGCTCTGCTCACATTATCAAACACAGCCAGATAAATTTATGTTATTGGGGTATATTTTCAGACTAAAAGTTTGTTTTCATATCTGACAGTTTGGACTTTTCCCTGTGGTCTTCCTCAGAGTGATCATGTGATGTTGCTGTGACATGTCTGGTCATCTGCACTCCGTCTTCCTCAGGACAGTATCCCAGGTGTGTGAGAGTAAAAAAGACCCTTGGTCTCGGTTTATAGTCCCATGGGCACGTTGCTGTATTTCAGTTGCCTCTTTAAACCAGTAACAGTGTTTGTTTTCCTTTGTCCCAGTGATGTTTGCTCCGTCCCAATCCATAATGTGGTTGTCTCTTTTACAGTGATCAGAGATGTTTTACATAGATGTTTTTACTCTCACACACCTGGGATACTGTCCTGAGGAAGTCAAACTGCAGATGGCACTGTCGTCTTGCCTCCACTGGTAGGAGGACAGCGCCAATCCTGTATAAATCAGCTGACCAGACACGTCAGAGCAACATCACTTGACCACTCTGGGGAAGACCGCTAGTGAGCAGTGCAAACTGTCAGACATGAAAACAAACTCTTGGTCTTGGATTATCGCCTGATAGTTTTAGAGAAGTTTTAAACTGTCTTCAAAGTCATTGAAAATACTCCAAATGGATTTTCAGGAGCCCACGATCCGAAAAAAACAAATGTCCATGGTTCTGTTTAGGCATCTGATTATCAATTTTAACATTTGATTGTAATGAAATTTGAGAGAAACTTTCACATTACAAATCAGCTCACCTGTTGTAGTTATAGGCAACATGGGTCTTTCTGGTCAGATTGTGTTAAAACAAAAAGCGGATTAAAGCCTAACTTGTGTAACCCAGCTTCAGACATTCAGACAGATCAGTGCCCCCAGTTAGCATCACACCCCCAAGGGAATGTTGAGGGCATCAGCTGCAAAATATCAATAGGTCTTTGCCCACCGTCTGAGATTACGACATCAAATTTTAAAACATTAACACAGCTTCCTCTGTTTAAAGTACATTTGGAAGTTTAATTATTTTATTTCTAACTACAGATAAAAGCAGAAGCATGATACGTACTGGTTATTTCTGCAGTCGTCTGGACACATGACCTCCTTCACCAATCCAGATATGTTGCAGTATTTGTGCTCACAGGTCCCAAAGACTTCCTCTGGAGGATCCAACAAGCTCATGGGAAATTCTATTAAGCAAAATTAGAAAACGTTTTCAGTCAGAGTTCATTTTTGAAAGCCATTTTTAAATTAGTATACAGCATTGTTGCCTTTACTGAAAATGGGGGCTGCATTTGACATAAATATTGAAATTCTGATTCTGAAATGTTTTAAATTATGGTCAAGATGTTAAATACTCTGTACCCCTTTTCCCATCTATTTGACCAAAATATGTCTTTTCACAGTGCAGATATCTTGTTAAAGCAGCTCTTGAGGTCAAAACGTCTGTGTGGCTGTATCCTACCTGCATCTAATCACAAGTTTTATTGTCCAACAGTAATGGAGGAAGTAAAAGTAAATAAGTATTTAAGTACCTGCTGTAAATGTAGCCTACTTAGAGATTAAAAAGTAAAAGTATTTTGCAGACAGTTTTAGAACAATTAAAGGATGAAATGTAATGATTTTGATGATGAGTTTAGTGAATTTTAAGTGATTGACATGATTTCTTTATTTTTCTAGCTGTTTTGTGTTTTTGTGTATTTGGTTTGCTCAAAGTTGAGATGTTAACCTAAATTAAATGTGCTAAAAATAAGTCTCAGCCTTTTCAGTAGGTCTCAAACCATAAAGAAAATAACCTTTCACTTTTCAGTCAAGGTCTAAAATGTAGTGGAGTAGAAAATACAGATACCTGCTCTCAAATGTAGTGAAGTAAAAGTAAAAAGTATACACTAAGTGAAGCACAGTTACAGTATTGTACTTTTACTTTTATACTTCATTACCTTCCACCATTGTTGACCGATAATTAGGACGTGCGTGTTAGCACTGTGTGTTGCTGTTTTGAACAGTGTGAAAACCAGACAGGATAACTGTTCTGCCACAGTAACACAAAGAGGTTTTACTTTTTATAAAATCATAGATGTTCTGTCTGTACCTGGGCCTCCTGTTGGGCATCCTTCCAAGACATAATCAAAATTTTTGCCAGTGATGTTCTTAACCACTGACAAACCAGATTTCAGCGTGACCTGAAAGAGAAAGTGAAGAATAGAGAGGGGCGCAGAGAGGGGAAGAGAGAGAGAGAGAAGGGGGAGAAGGAGAGAGAGACAGAGAGGTGGGGGGGCAGAAAGAGAGAGAGAAAAAAAAACAAGAAACAGATCAAACACTCCACAATGAACGATTAAATGGACTCTACCTGTATTTACAAAGGCTCTAAACATGCTTCAGCTCAAAGCATCAATGGACACAGGAATAGGAGATTGGGATTTATATAAATAAATAAATAAACAAATCAAACAGTATTATTAAGAAACTAAAGACACTGAATAAGACACTAATAAGAATATCACACCAGAATACAGACAGTTCTGTGTGATTTATACTAATTTTCCTGGGATGGACACACAGCCCCTTGTAATTATGCAGCCCTGTTTTGTTAAAGACTACTTTATGTAATATAGAACAGTCTTAGGGCCCGGTGTTGTGAATTATAATAAACACTGTAAAAATAAATTCTAGTGTACATGGGGCACTTTTTTTCCCCCCAAGATAGAGGTATATGGTGAATGGACTGAGGAGTGTCTGGTCAAGTGAGAGTTCAGTGAGCTTTAAAAAATGCTGTTCTTCACAAACACTGTTGGATTAAAATGGACCCATGTGTGCAGATCTCTGAGCTGAATGTAATGATATGCAAATAAAGCCACTATATGACAAAATGGGCCTCTAGCACCATCTTAAAAAATATTTCAAAAATTCATAAAAGAACAATTCTGAAAAAATAAATTTAGCAATGGTCATTATAGGAGCAAAAAACTTTTAATTATTATAATTATATTGGCCAAATTAATGCCATTTTGACTCACTGAATATATTAAACAAAAGTACTATACAAGAGGTCTTTTTTTTTTTTTTTTACCACCAATTACAAACTACAAATACATTGCGCTTATGGGAAAAGGGGACCGAACAAGTACCCTCTGGATCTAACCTAAACCACACAGAGAGTCAAATTAATTTTGTTTGTATTAAATGCATTTCTTTTTGGGCTGTGTGATTATTTCAATTCCCTGGGCACTCTGTCACATGATGTTACTGGTGTGTTTTACTTACCTTTTCACCAATGTTGCGTATAAAAAGCATTGCCACAGACCCATATGGAATAATGTAAATATCCGCACTTAGCTACAAAGAGACAAAATAAAAATGCATTTTTATAAACAGTCTAATCCACAACCTCCTCACTGAGAAGCCCTCTGCCACAGTAGGACAAAATGCACTTACGTTTGCATTATAGAGGTGCAGAGCGCAGGTTGGGGTTTCTTTGGGGATATGAGAACTGTACATAGACTCCAACATCTCCACCGGCTCTTTCAGCCCAAATGAGGTCAGATTTAACGACGTCTCTATTTTGAAGTCAAAATCTGCCATGTTTGAGTCGTAAACTGTAATAGTGTTATTCGTGTCCACAGATATTTCAAGTTCGGTTGATGGTTTGAAGGTTATCTGGAAAAATAAGAAGACAATTTAAAGACGACATACTGTGCTTGAGTCTGCTATATAGTTATAATCTGTGACACCATCATTATGTTTTAATTTGAACAGTTTAAATCGCAATATTGACCTAAAATGACTTAATAAAAACATAATAAATTATTGAAGATTAAATCTATGTGATCTCAAAGAAATCAGAAAGCTTGCTTTTAAATGACAGCTCCAGCTTGAACATAAACATCAAGTACTTGCCTGTAGATGGAAAGAACCAGGCTCTGTCAACATCTAAAATGGCTTCCTGACTTTTTGAACATAAGCAGGCTTGAACAATGTGCTTCACAAATGTACAATGCTAAAATAAAAATATTTTTAAAATACCATAGAGTCAGGGGTGGCCTGGTTGGGTGGGTTCATAAACTGTACATATATAAATGGATATAGCTAACCTGCTAGCCGCTGCGTTTCAAATAAGAAGTGCGATGCAGCTAATTATGTTGTATGTTATGCTAAGTATTATAATATGTTTATATATTATAATGCATCACCTCATCCTTGCTTTTATTATTTGAAAATGAATTTTCAAAGTTGTTACAAAAAAAAAAAATCTCTGAAAAGTAAATTTTGCAGAACAAGTTATGTTTATTTTTATTAAAGGCCCTATATTATGCTAGTGTGTGTGTGTGTGTGTGTGTGTGTGTGTGTGCGTGTGTGCATACATATAATCCTGATTTGATTGAATGCATTGAGGTGCAGTGTACTTACAGTAAGATCCAAATAGAAGGAACCATAATATGGGAATGGACAGGTGCTCAAGTTATAACCTCCTGAAAAACACAATTGTAAAACATAAAGTACAGTAAGAGAGATATGGGGTGAGGGGTGTGGAGAGAGAAGAGAATTGTAAGAAGAAGAAAGAGAGGAAAGAGGGTGTGACAGATGGGGAGGAAGAGAGGGGGGGAAGGAAGTATGGGGAGAACAGAGGAAGCTAAAGAGGAAGAGCGAGGGAGTGTGAGGAGGGGATTGTGGAGAGAAAAATAAGAGGAATGGGTGGGGTGGAGAGATGGGGAGAGTAGACGAGAGAAATGTAAGAAAAAGAGAGGGGACAAAGTAAGAAGAGAGTGGGGGCTGAGGAGAGAGGGAGAGAAGAGGAGAGAGTGAGAGAGGGGGTGAAAGGAGTATGGGGAGAAGACAGGAAGGTTAAGAGGAAGAGAGAGGGGAGGAGGGGTGTGGGGAAAGGAGAGAAACGTAAGAGAGCAATAGGAAAGAGGGTGTAAGAGAGAGAGAGAGAGTGGGGAGTGGGGAGAAAAGAGGGGAAGGTAAAGAGGAAGAGAGAGGGAAAAAGAGGGGATGAGGGAAGGGGGATGAGGGGAGAGGAGGATGAGGACAGAGGGAAGAGAGATGAAAGGAAAAGTAACAGCAGGGGTGTCAAACATACGGACCGGGGGCCAGATCCGGCCCTCCAAGACCTTTAATCTGGCCCTCAGTTGATTTTCTACTAAAATATTTTAGTTATATTTTCTATTAAAATATTGGTAATTTTCTGTGCTGCTTAGCATAGCAGCATCTCCAGCGCCTCTGTGCGTGTCTGCCTCCCACCAGAGCAGTACAAATGAAGACTTGCCTCATTCCAAATGCTCTTAAAGGACAATCATTTTGACTGTTGACCGTGACACCCTCATCAGTAAAATGTCAAAAATGAGAAAAGTGGATGCCGAAAAATTGACTTATTGCTATTTGCATGCAAGTTCATGTTAAACATTGTGTTGAAATTAAATTTTTCTTAAAGTTTCAGGTTGTTCATAATATTATAATATTTTGTAAAAGAAAGAGTTCATCAATTAAAAAAGATTTCTGTAATAGATTTGCATTTCTCTGCACAAATATTTGAACATATTGCTATTTTTGGGGTTTATATGCCATGAGTTTTCTGATCCGGCCCCTTTGGGATCAAAGTAGGTTGGATACAGCTCCCGGACCAAAATGAGTTTGACACCCCTGAGTAAGAGGAAAAGAGAGGGGGGAGAAAGAGGGAGAGAGTTGCTGAGGAGAGAGGGGTGGAGAGAGGAAGAGATGGAGAAGTAAAAGTAAAAATATCACAAAAATGTACTTAGGTAAAAGTAGTACTTTTAGTAATACTTTTAGTACTGTTTTAAAATGTACTTAAAGAGCAAAAAGTATGCAATTTTGAGCTCTATTAAAGCTTCAAATGATTTTGAGGCAGATTTGTGATGAATTTTGTTCAACAGAAACAATATTATTATATCATTTTCCAGATATTTCCAGATATTTATATCTGTTTTTTTAATTTTTTGCTTATATATATATATATATATATATATATATATATATATATATATATATATATATATATATATATATATATATGTACACACATATACACGTTACATCTCTCGTGGTCAGAAAAAAGTGAAAAAAGTGTCAAGAAAAGACTTCAAACTTAAAGGAAAGCTCGCGGTGGACTTTTTCAAAATAAAAGCCAGTGAGAAATAGACGTTTACAATAAAATAAATAAATAAATAATAAAAACTGCGTTAACGGCGTTAAAATAATTGTCGGCGTTAATGACTTAATTAGTTAACGCAAAGTTAACGCGTTAATGGGCCCGGCCCTAATATATATATATTTAAATAAACCCTCAGCCTTTTCAGCAGGTCTCAAACATTAATACAAAAAAAAAAAAAAAAAAAAAAAACTTTTACTTTTTCTTTAAGTACAGTACTTTACCACTTTTACTTTGTTACATTCCACCACCGAACTTTATTATGTAAAAAAAAGTCTTAGCATTTTTTCATAGAACTAAATCTGACTCTAAAAAAGCACATACCTGCCACCAGGCCAATCAATGACACGCTCAGGAGAAGGCGGAGCATCTTGGAAAGGACCAATCAGATCACAACTATGAACACACATACAAACAAATGTCATTCGGATTGTATTATTTTGTATGGGGCTACCGATCTTGACAGCAAATAAGTTCTATCCGCACCATGAAGTCACTTTAAAGCCCCTCAGAGAATCTGTGCAGTGTTAACTTGTTGGTGCACATGAACATTGAACATTTTACACAAATGAACTGGCTTTATGTCATATTTAAGGTGTAAAATGTTCCCCAAATTCTCCTCTGACATAAGTGGGATTTCCGTTTCCCATTCCCCACCACAAGAAAGTAAAAGAAAAACTGTCACATGAAAAAATCTATTTAAGTAAAAGTATTTGTGTGCCTGTTTAAAAATGTACTTTTAGATTATACAGTATTTTATGCAAATGCTGATACTGATTAAAAGTTATACATATATTTATAGCAACTAATCCATTTCTCATTTTTTCTTATGAATTTTGTGTATTTATTTTTGTTTGCTCAAAGTAAATCTTGAATTAAATGTAGTCAGAATGTTACCACAAACATGATAAAATAATCCCTAAAATAATTTGAAAAGTACTTTTTACTTTTCACTCCAGTCCAAAAATATAGTGGAGTAGAAAGTACAGATAAGTAAAAGTAAACAGTATCCTTTGTAAAATGTACATGTACTTATAAAATAGAGATACCTAAAAATTCTACTTACTTGAGATATTTTTATTACTTATTTTCTATTTTTCTGTATTTTTTGTAAGCTAATGTGTCTAAGTAATTTCCCTTGTGGATCAATGAGGTTTGTCTAAATCTAACATCCCAAACAGTTTGAAAATCCACCTCAAAAGTTACACAATACACCTTTAATACAAAAACAAGATGAATAAGGTGATATAAGTTTTAAAACCTTGGCCAGATCAGAGAAATTTGCAGTGTAGTCATTTATTCTAGAATTCAAAAATCAGAGATACACAAATGTTGTTATGGCCTTACCTGGATCAGGCTGGTCTGGTGATGCTGTGGAAAGCTGCTCGTTCTTCGCTCTGAGATTCTGACAGATCTACATTCATTTTTATATACCTTTCACACATAGCCCCAGGTGAGATCATCACCTGGGGCTGTGGGAGCGCTTTTCACAAAATACCAAAAATGAAATTTTTTTTTAAAGCTTGTCTTGGAGGATGAGTAAAGTGAAACCTGTCACAATATCAAATCTGCATACAATGCTGCATTGTGAAACTTTTCTGCTGGAGGGTCTGCCAAAATCTCTTCCATGGAGGTGTTATTGCTTAGCCTGGAATGTTTCACAGTATGGCATTAAACATTTCTCTCTTCATGGAGACTATACCAAACCAAGTTACAGGTGAGACCTGGGGAGAGGCGACCCCAATCACATATTGCCACAATGCCTGTTTTTCTGGGTATTTTGAGCTCTAAAACAATCTGTTTGATTGAATTTATTTATTCAATCTGAATTAAATAAATGTAAGGTAGAGCCATTTAATGTCATACTGTGGAACATGGTATATCCATAGAAACAAAAAGTTACATAGTGCACCTTTAAAGTTCAACAAGAAAATATAGACAGTAATAAAATTAAATAATAATGAAATAACTTATTCCAGTGACACAATAACAATATAAGCAGAATTATTCCCCCAAACCCCTTTGTATATTATTGTTACTAAAAACTAAAAACTAAATAGCTGAATGAAATACTTACTTGTTACAGTAGTAGTTATAAGAGTAGTTATTTTAGCATAAAATGAGTCATAAAAGTTATTGATTTAACTGTCATCAGCTCAAATCTTATCATAGTATGGAAAAATAACACAAAGTTCCCTACATACTAGCAGGTACTCTAAGTGCTAAATTAAAGGGCCCATATTACATTATCTTCTGATCTATATTTTAATGTTGTTTCCTCAACAAACAAACAAGAAAACAGGAGTTGTGTTTTGTTTCACTGACACATGTTTAACACACAAACCCTCCATATTTAGGGTGCATTCTTCTCTCACATTGAAAACATTCTGTTCCACCTCATTATGTCATGTGATAATACAGAAAGTGCGCCACTGTGTTTTTAAACTGCATACACCTTCACTAGAATCATTTGGATAATTTCAGCCCTGGAATTGTCAATCTCTACTGAACTAAAGGTAAAAGGTGATAACTTGAAAACTACTGCTTCATGACATGTTTGTGTTTGTGGATCTTTTTGCCCCAGTGTCTGGCGAGCAGGGTTGAAGATCAGATCATCATCTCCATATGGAGTACAACTATTGCACAGATGGGCCACATGTGAAGATTCTCCGGTCACAACGGCCCTTCTGGTTCAGGATCAGGAATACAGAAGTGACAGAAAAGTACATTAAATGTTACAGTTTAGCCATTACAGTTCTGTACTTTAAGTGAAAAAAGCTGTGGAGATAATGGACAGCTCACAAGAGAATGGAAAATCAGTTTGTCCTAATTTTTAAGGTTTACTATCTGCCCATATGTGTCCAGGCCCAGGTTGTGACAAGGCAAACTCCGGTCCAGATTCAGGCCCAAATCCCGACCCGTCTGGACCAAACTTCTGACACAAAAATTTGGACTTAACTGCATAATAAATCCCTACATTCACCGAGAGTGTGGCTCTGCACTGTCAACCCACTCACACTGTAGAGCTGTAACAGAGAGAGGAGCTCATATCTGATGCTGTCCAAAGGCTGCTGGTGGAAACTATAATTTTTTATACAATTTGGAACATTACGTTTCCTTTTATAAGACTCATGTTTACTATGTAAAAAATTAATTAAAAAAATAAAAATAAATAAAAAATATATATATAATATATATATATATATACATATACAGTATATATATATAAATTAAAAAAATAAATAAATAAATAATAAAAGTAAGGAATAAATTGTGTGCAGTGGTGAAAACAAAGTGATGAGCGAAGCGAAATGTGCGCCACTGCTGTGGCTCAGTCCCTCTGTTTACCCTGTGGTCAGAGAGAAGAGAAAGTACAGTGTGGGTGAGTTCTCATGGTGGAATGTAACAAAGTAAAAGTAGTAAAGTGCATACACCTGCACTAGATTAGGTTGAATCATTTCAGACCTGGAATTGTCAATCTCTACTGAGCTAAAGGGAAAAGGTGTAACTTGAAAACTACCACTTCGTGTCATGTTCAAGTCGTTGATCTTTTTGCCCCCTTGCTTGGCCAGCAGGGCATTCGAAGCTTTGACTCTTGAGTATAAGTCTTAATTAATCTTTCCACTGTGAAGTAACACAAGCTTTATGTGGACAATATGAAATTATTTGAACTTAAGATCTGTGGTTCAAGGGTCCTTTAGTAGCATGTACTAGGCACACAGACAGTAGCCCACCTTAAAAGTAAGATAGTCATAGTGTACCTTTAACTGTACTTTTGTTTATTTGACAACAACAACTCTAGTTTTAAGCTTCAGTTTTAGTTAATAACTCGTTCATAGCCTCGACCTGTGACAACAGTGGGAAATGTTTCTTTCTGTGACAGGAGAATGTTAGTTATACCAGATACAATAGGAGTGATGTCAGGTCAGCTTCAGGTATGACAAAGGTCTTTTAACTCCTGTCATACCAGCTCTTCTGGTTGTGTAATGAGTATACCATCAGAGCATCCAATACAAGCTCCTGAACACTGCGTACTCGATACTACTGGTCGATGCTCCACTTATTCATGTCTTCTTCATAAAACACCACAGACTCTATATTAGGAATAGGATTTTTTGGATGGACAAAACAGCAGAAAAACAAAACAAAAAAAAAACAGGATTATGTGGAGCGGGTTAATACGAACATTTTAAGATCAAAATGATGAGGCTCACAGTAGCAGTTACAGAGAGGGGCCACAATATTCCAATGTAAATCAATGCCATGGTCAGAAGGAGCTGGAAGAGTCCCCACGTTCATGTCCTATTTGGAATGCAACAGCTAGCACATTAGCTATGTTATTTTATATACAGTGTATTTAATACACATACTCCTTGTTAAATATTATTATTGATAGATTCATTACAGCACGATTTACATATTCTGATAATCTGAACAACAGAAAAGCACGTTCCTGTAAAAAGAGTGGGAAGAGGATGGACTAGATGGAATCCCCCTACCTATATTATCAATACGTTTTAGAACTCAGTGCTACTCCCAGTGTTTTTCAACATATTTCCAAATCTTTTTCAACAACTGCTGTATAATGGATGTAAAACTATATGTTATAATCAGTGGTGGATGAAGTACTCAGTTTTGTTACTTAAGAAAAAGTACAGATAAAGGGGCAGAAAGTTACTCAAGTAAAAGTAAAAGTATCACATGAAAAAATCAACTTAAGTAAAAGTACTGAAGTACCCATTTAAAATATACTTTTAGAGTAAAAAGTATTTCACACAGATTTTGATAAAGCGTTGTTCAAATAACATTTAAAGTGTCAGAAAAAAGTGCTGAACTTTTGGACAGAATCATCGCTATGGGACACTTCCTGTCATTTTCAACACATTGAAAATATATAAAACAGATATTATCCCACTAACTTAAAGGTGCACTATGTAACTTTTTGGTTGGGGGTCTGTCACCTGATTGTTGGATGGATAAGTCATTGCTTTGCCTGTAATGTTGCACAGTATGACATTTAACAGCTCTGCCTTACATTTATTCAACTACAGGTGGTTTTATAGCTCAAAAATACCTAGAAAAACAAGCATTCTGACTGTGAGCGGGGTTGCCTCTCCACAGATCTGATCTCTGGAGAGGCAACTTGGTCTGGTTTGATCTCCATGAACATCAAAAGGTTTAATACCATACTGTGAAACATTCCATGCACAGCAATAACATCTCCATGGAGAAAAGCATATGACCCAGTTACACAATGCACCTTTAAGGAGAAATTAGAGGAGGTTTGTCAAAACCCGTCAAAAGCACTTAAAAGAATGTGTTTTTTTTTTCTTTGAAAAGGGACACAATTTTCACACAGGTGTAGAAATTCAAATATCTGAAATATCTTGTCTCATCCTCAGGGTGTTTCGGAATGGTATATGGAAATATGTGAGAGTATAGTGCGAAACACCATGAAAAAGAATATACAAATTGTAATTAGTATGATTCTGGGGGAGTGATTAAAAAGCCCATCTTACTCTATTTTCTATTTTCTATGTTTCCTCATCACAAACATGCCTAGAGTTGTGTTTTGTTTTACTCACACATGTTTAGCACAAACAATTCGGCATATTTATTGGAGTTCTTTTCTCAGACTGAAAATACTATACCTGGTCCACCTTGTGATGTCCTGTGGTAATAGAAGAAATGCTCCTCTGTGTTTTTAAACTCCATACACTAGAATCATTTGGATGTTTTCAAACATTGAATTGCATATGTGGACTGAACTAAAAGTAAAACTTGGATGTTAACTTGTAAACTATGCTTCCTGACATCACAAGGTGGAACAGAGCATTTTGAGCTTTGAAGATACAGACAGACAGGCATGTTTGTGATGAGGTAACAACATTATAACGTGATCTGGTTGGGGGTCCTGCTTTTTTCTATGGGTATGCCTTTGCTCTGCCTGGAATGTTCCACAGTATGACATTAAACAGCTCTACAAAATAT